CTTGTTTTTTTTCAGTTTGTGGGTCCCTAGAATCTGGGAGAGTGTTTTCCAGGTCTTTTTTATATCTCCTCTTGTGTCAGTGAATCTGCTGGAGTAGTATAGTTGTTTGGCTTTCTTTATTACTTTGGTGAGAACTGATGAATAGTGTTTAAGAATATCTTTGTGTATTAAGCCCTGTCTATATTGCTTTTCATATTGGTGTTTCTTATCAATGGATTTCAGAATGGTGCTGGTTAGCCATGGGCAACCAAGCTGTTTATTTGTGATCTGTTTCGTTTTTATAGGACAATGTTTGTTGTATAGTCTAAGTAATTTGTTGAGAAAAATGTCTGTCCAGTCATCAGTACCATTGGCTTTGGAGAATTCTGTAGGCCAGCCAACAGTCTCTAGGTCAGCTGTGAAATTCCTTATTGAGGCCTCGTCATGGAGTCTAAGTGAAACTTTGTTGTATTCCAGTGGTGGTTTACTAATGTTTGTCAAGAGGAAGGTAGGGTAGTGGTCTGTAGTGCTGTCTGTGATTATCTCTGATTTAAGGGGGGCTAGTATATTGGTCCATATGTGGTCTATTATGGTTGCGCTTGTCTCAGTGAGCCTGGTTGGTTTAGTTATTGTTGGTATGAGAAGTGTGTTGTTCATATTGTTGATGAAATCAGTTACAAGCTGATCATCTAGTAGGCCAAGGTTGATATTGAAGTCTCCAGCTAAGAGAAGGTGGTGCTTGTTCATTTGTCTGTTTGTTATTAGTGCCTTTAATTTCTCACTGAAATTTGGGATGTTTGTGTGGGGTATCCGGTAAATGGCACCGATTGTTATAGGCGTCTTAAGGTTTTTTACAGTAAAATTAGCAAAAATGTATTCCCCATATTCATCACTAAAGCAAGTGGAGCTAATACAAGATAATTGGTTAGAGTAATAGATTGCAATACCACCCCAACTTGGTATGGTCTGCAGTTGTGGATTGCTGTGTATCCTGGTAGAGGGTAGATATCTATTGTGTCCTGCTTAAGCCAGGTCTCAGTAAGAATAATGCAGGAGAAGGGTGTTTTTAGCGACTCAAGGAGTGCCAGGAGGTCATCATAACACAAGACACAGATCTCTTTTTGATGTACCCCGTGTCCATATCACACTGTGTAAAAACTCTATGCACATAAAGGGCCCCAATATTTTGGAATTCATTACCAGAAAATACCAAAGTCACTCGGTCTGAAAATCAATTTAAGACTCTTCTCAAAAGCCACCTAATCACCCTAGACTAAATACTCAATAATTAATATCTAATACTACCAATAAATCTACCAGTTACCTGAATCTTAAAACATCATGACTAGACAACCAAGCTCATATATTGACAAATTACCACATAGAAAATACAAACCTACCAAAACCAGTATTGCCCTTCGCCAAATTGTAGCAGTCTCATACTGTAAACAACTCAAAACTACTGAAAACCACTGGTCTCATAAAAACCATTTTTGAATACATGAATACATTGGACCCCCGCTTTACGATCAGCTCCCAATGCGACCAATTATGTAAGTGTATTTATGTAAGTGCGTTTGTACGTGTATGTTTGGGGGTCTGAAATGGACTAATCTAATTCACAATATTCCTTATGGGAACAAATTCGTTCAGTAATGGCACCTGAACATACTTCTGGAATGAAATAATATTGTAAGCCGGGGGTCCACTGTATATCCTTTTGTTTGTGTAAATTAGATTCACTTAATATTATTAATATTAATAGAACTACTGTACAACTATGATAATTTCTTTAGTGATAAGTAGTCAGTAAGCTATTGAATTAAGTCAGCCCATAATGCCAAGGCATAATAGAGGCTCTCTTTGCACTGCAACCCATCATTGTAAAAATATAATCTCAATGTACTACTTGCAAAGAAATAAATGAATCTGAAAAATCTGAATCTGAATCTAAAATCCATTGTTTTTGATGTTTTTTTATTAAGTGCGACTGTGAAATAAGTCACCATGGGCCCCAAGAAAGTTCCTAGTAAAGTGCCTTTGGTAAGGAAAGTACAGAACACGATGGAATTTAAGAAGGAAGTAATAGAAAAATATGAGAGTGGTGTGTGGGTGCTGGAACTTGCCAGGATGTATGGCAAAAATAAATCAACAATCACTTCTATCCTGGCAAAGAAAGAACAAATCAAGGAAGCTGATTTGGTGAAAGGGGTAAACATGTTAACAAAAAAAGAGATCACAAACAAATGAAGATGTGGAGAAGTTGTTGTTGTTGTGGATCAGGGAAGAACAGTTAGCAGGAGACAGTGTTTCAGAGACAGTCATTTGTGAAAAGGCAAGGCAGTTGCATGCAGATCTCAACAGAATATTATTCAATATCATTATTCAGTATTATTCAAGCGACAGAAAATTATTCAATATTATGCTAATATCAACTCTGTGGCTTATTTATCTATCATAATTGATCTAAAATGACATAATAAACAATATAAACAACATAGAAACATGGTATATATTCTAGAATGAATAAAATATATCATTATATGGTGAGTGGTCGCCATCACTCCCAAGGTAAAGTAATTATCCCTCTGACCATAGCTTCCTATACTTCCCCTTCTGAGGTATAAGAGAAAAGAGGGTTTTGGAGAGGCTAACTACACTAGATCAATAGTGCAGTAAAAAAAAAAAAGGCTGAAACAAACGTGATTTTCTTGAAAAAAAAAATGCCAAAGAGGACCTACATCATGCTGGAGGAAAAGGCATTGCCAGGACACAAACCTATGAAAGGAAGGCTTACCAAAGCCCTAGAGAGGGCTTTGATACCTGAAGTCTTTATGGAAGGGGGATTCCCCTTCCAAACAATAATCAATCCTCCCTCTCTCTCTCTCCTCTTCCCTGTCTTCCATAAGCCAACAAGAGTCTTCAATAAAGGTATGTAATAGTGATTTAAATGTTCATTTATTTATTTTATTTAGTTCTCATTGTTTTGTGTATGTAAAACTATAATTGATTTTTAAAAAATGTATTTTTTAATGTTTTTGGGTGTATGGAACGGATTAATTGTATTTACATTAATTCTTATGGGAAATATTGCTTTGAATTTAGGCCATTTCGAATTTAGGCTGACCTTCTGGAACAGATTACAGCCGAAAAACGAAGTTCCTCTGTACTGATTATTTTAAGTAACAAAACTCTGTATATTGTATTTGGTTATAATAATTATTGGTGATAGAAATATAGTGGTGACAGTTAATGAATGATTATTAATGCTTATTGGAATCTGGATAAGTAGGTTGCTGTAAGTATACGTACGTATTTGATATTTACTGTACATTCATCTTGTGTAAATTTGCTTCAAATTCAGGAGGCATTTTAAGCAATATTTTTGGAGCAGCTGGCAGAAATGAGAAGTTTAAAATCTTCTGGTAGAGTTTCCATAATTTTGGGCCTTTTATTTGCAGGGAATTGGTGCTCCATGCATGCAAATGAAAAACCCATACAAATAACAGGACAATATGATATCAGATGAGTGTTTTTGTTTTGTGTCTATACATTCGGTTGCAGCTCTCCTGGAAACATTTCAGAAATGGATTAATATTTGTATCCAGTGTCCTGTATATATACCATGTGCAGTAGCAAGTGTGGATGTTTTGCATGTTTAAACTCTTGAATAGTGGGAGTGTATATTGTCTAGAACCTGATTGAGTGAATATTCTAATAGCTTATTTCTGTTGAGTTACAATGGGTTTTAGGTAATTTGCTTTTGTAGATCCCTATGCACATATTTCCTAAGTGATAGGATAGATTAGAGAGTAGTACAAAATGAGTTATATTGTCTGAGGCACAGTATGCAGTAACATATTTTTAAAATAATATTCACTTTAGAAATTTTCATAGATGTGTACAGGATATGAGTGTTAAATTTTAGCGTGCTGTTTATTTATATGACTAAAATTTTTCACTTATTATGTCTTTCGATTTGTGCATTATTTACCTTTATGTTCAATTGAATATTTTTAGCTTGATTCCCAAACAATATTGCATGTGACTTTATTGATTGTCATCCAAGTACATATCTTTATGAGCTCATCATTAATAATGTTGAGGATCAACCAGATCTGGATTTTAAATGGCAAAATTTGTCATCTTCAAATAGAAGTTCAAATAGATACCACTCAAGGGAGGTGCCTCAGGGGCAGTGCCAGAATTTCTGTGTCTGTGTCTAAAAGAATAATAATAATAATAAAAATAATAACAACAATAATAACATTTTATTTATACAAGTACATGTACAACTTATAGAGGTCTATATATAGAAAGCCCCTTGTTTTGCAGAGCATTTCAGGCAAATTACGTCAGTTTTGTCCCCAGGTTGCGACCCACACTAGTCGACTAACACCGAGGTACATATCTATTTTACTGCTAGGTGAACATGGACAGCAGGTGTCTTAAGGAAATATGTCCTAATGTTTCCACCGAGGATTGAACTACAGACCTCAGTGTGTGAGCCGAGTGCACTAGCAATCAAGCTAAGTAGTCTTTAAGTATTTTGATAAGTTTGCCCAAAATGCATTTGCATACTAGTGGCTTTCTTTTGTGCCTGACAATGTTTTGTTACATGTAAACTACTTTATCCCTGTACAGCATTCAAAGAAATAAAAATCTGAATTTAAATTTGAATACTCCGGGGGGGGGGGGATAGCTATCTTGTTGGAAGTTGAGGGGGCTAGGAGACTTATTTGGTGCCACCCCTGAGGTACCTTGATGCTGGTGAGGGCTTTTTATTCAAGGAATTAGACCACTCCTCCCTCTTTTTGGATCAAACATGATTGCCTCCTATTAATCCATGTGCTGTATGAAATCCCCTACGAGTTTAGTGCTCTCCCTGAAATGTAATAATAATAATACAGACAAGTAATTATAAACTTATAATCACACATGTACATTCATATCTGTCCATTCAAGCATATCTTTTATTGATACTGTAAAGGTTTTAAATTAATTCTCTTTAAAAATTTCAGGTAGAAGATGGGAACATCACACTAAAACTGACTCTGTCAGACATTCGGCCGTATGAGTCTGGCATCTTTATGTGTTGGAGACAGGGACTACAACCTGATCCCCAAATTCTTCTTACTGTATTAGGTGAGAGAGAGAGATGTAAGTAATAGCTCTTAGCTTATAAACAAAGTCAGGAACCCTTTACCTAACCTTGTAAAACCCTGTGTAAGCAGAGAGAGAGAGAGAGAGAGAGAGAGAGAGAGAGAGAGAGAGAGAATGAGAGAGAGAGAATGAGAGAGAGAGAATGAGAGAGAAGAAATGAGAGAGAAAGAATGAGAGAGAAAGAATGAGAGAGAAAGAATGAGAGAGAGAGAGAAAGAATGAGAGAGAGAGAGAGAAAGAATGAGAGAGAGAGAAAGAATGAGAGAGAAAGAATGAGAATGAGAGAGAATGAGAATGAGAATGAGGGGGAGAATGAGAATGAGAGTGAGTTAACCAAAAAATAGCATGTGATTAAAAAAAGGCCCGATAGTGGATACTATATGTACTTAATTACTTGTGGCAGAGCCTGGGGCATCACCTGAGAGGCAGGTGATCACTAAATTAGAGGGACCATCAGAAGTCAAATATGGAGATCCAGCCACATTTACCTGTACTATCAGTCCATCCTGGCCAGTCAAGGTAAGAAAGTGAATGAAATATTGTTACATTGATTACAGGTGCTAATCCATTTTGGGTCATAGAGCATGTGGGATCTCGGAGGCAGTCAGGTTTGATCCAGGGAAGGAAAGAGAAGTGCCAGTTCCTTAGATCAAGACACTCCCTTGAAGGGAACAGCATGTCAGTAAGGCAAAAAGTTCTCTTTTGTTCTTTAATTGCTTTGTGTTTACTTTTCCAATGCTAATAGAGATATAAAGAAAAGGAGAATAATATATTGTTATTATTATATTTGTAAGGAAGCAATGAATGAATAGGAGTCATTCAGCACCTGGGGATTGTAAGGTAATCAAGTTTGATCAAGAGTTTGATCAAGAACCCTTCAACAGCATAAAGAGAGAAACTAATGTAAGCATGGCATGTGGTGCATCAGCTGCTGCCATCAAGAAACTCTTTCACTATCTTTTGTACTTTGCACATATTTAAGGTTGATATAGTTCTTTTTTTGGATCACCCTACCTCAGTAGGGCGATCCAAAAAGAGAAGAAACATTTACAGTTATTCACTCTGTCACTGTCATGCTCAAAGTGTGCTGACATAACATTTCGGATAATCCTCCAAACTGCAACATTCTCACCCCTCCTTCAGAGTGCAGGCACTGTGCTTTACACCTCTGGGACTCAAGTGTGGTTAATAGGTTTTCTTGAATCTTTTCATAAATGCTCGCCTTGCGACAACCATTGAATCATAAAAAACTACTTGCCTCCACTTGATCTAATGTACTCAAACAAGCCTGTTGGCATTCAAGCCCCTAGCACTGAAAAAAGTTAGTCCCTTCCTCTAACCCTTCCTGGGACAACTCCAGCAATTAAAATTAGGAAATTTTCTTAATTTTTTTTTGTACATACAGTTTTAATTAATATGAATGTGACGTCCTTCACTTAAATTTGCTAATACTGTAATTATAATTTGTTCAATCCATAATCTTCATCAGGTGACATGGCTCAAGGATGGAACTGAGATTCCAGTTACTGATCGCCTTTATACTCAGACTGTGGAGACAAGAATTGAGCCTGTTAATGACAGTCAAGCACAAAGCAAAAGACAAGAAGCAACAGAACAGCTTTTAGCAACTCTCTCGGTTGCCACTGTCAGGATGGATGCAAACTTCACATGTCGTATTGAAACAGATCCACCTGAAGAGCGCAGCTTCTGGATTAATGTACGAGGTGGGTAGGAGGTAGTAGTTAGTATACTGCAGTTAAATTAGCACTAACTTTTTCTGGATTATTTTATAAATGCATATGCTGTTGTGTTGCCAGTATTGCTTGAAAAAATTAAATTCCCTAATTATAATTCCATTAAAACAGTAATACGTTATTGGTGTGTATATTTATATTAAAGCTTAATTATTTTATATACATTAGCTACCTGTGTTTTTAATTTGCTATATTTGCCATAAAAGAAAGGATTCTGTATATTCTTCATGGGCAATGAACATTGAATTCCTCAGTTCAATACTCTATCTGTAATAATATGTATAATATTTATATCACTTGCACCACTGCTTCTGGTTAATGTACAGCCTCTCCTTACTTCATGATGGAGTTCTGTTCCTAAGGCCATGTCGGTAAATGAATTTGTTGCTAAGCAAGGAGCATACTATAATGGTAGTGGGTTTGCGTCAACCATCTTTGATATTGTTTTAATGTCACCTTCGCACCATTTATAGCAGTTTTAGTATACATATTTTTAAATGTTTATACAGTAGTGTGCTGTATATTGTAAGAAACAGAATGGAGGAAATCAACTCTAATATACATTATTTAGGTATGAATACTGGTCAGAGAGCCCATTGTAAGCCCGAGTTGTTGGTAAACGAGTATGTCGGTAAGCGAGGAGAGGCTGTATACTTAAGGTTTCAAAAATATTACAGTACTGCACCATGACTTAAGTTATATTTCATTACATTAAGTTTAAAATGTTAAAATAGATTCTGTAAATTCACTTTTCATTTTGCCTTGTCATATAGTGCCACGAGTTGTGTCATTAACGAGTGAGCCAGACAAGGACACCGTGCAATATGGACAGTCCCTTACTCTCACCTGCATTGTTTCTGGTTCAGACTCAGAGGTTAGTAGAATTTTTGAGGAGGTAAACATGTAATTTTGTTATGCAGTAACCTTTATTTCATACACAATTTGAACATGTGTTTTGTAGCACTAAGTGTGAGCAAATGTGTAAATAAAATGCTGTATTGGGTAGTAAAGCTAATACAGTAATCAGGTACTGGGCTCACTGCACAAGTTTATCACAATGTATATACAGTAGTATATGCTTTTGTATAAAAGCTTATATTAGTAAAATGTAGTCTATATATTCTCTACCCTATATGATATTGTATTTAAATATGTTCAAAATGTATTTAATTTTATGTACTGTAATTTCTGTTACCCATAGTTTTCCAAGGCAAACAAACTGTAGCAGAAAGTGAATGAAAAATCCAGACATAAGAATGACTGAAAAAGGACCAGTGATAACAATAAAGGATGCAATATGCAGTATGTATTTAGCAGTATCTTTATTGCTCTCCTAAAGTTTCTCAGCTCAGTCTGAAAGGGTTCAACACTACGTATGCAAGCCATCCTGTGTGCTGGAGTATGACAAGGAAACATAACTAGTTTTTGTTCCAGGGTAGCAATACATTTCTGATATATCCAGTTGTGGTAAATAAAAAAGTGCTCTTTTGAGATATACTGGGATAGGGGCAGGAGTTAACAGGGAGCATTGATGTAGTACCCTGCTTAGTTACACTGCCATTAAATTTTTCTAGTTAGTAGTGCTATCAGTAAGTGGTAAGGATAATGAATATAATGTCATAGATTACTGTCATGTTATAGATTACTGTAGCATTTTTATTCTAGGTAGTATGGCTAAAGAATGGCTTTGAGTTATTGTTTGGACAAAACTTCCCTGGTAGGCAAAAATATTCATCTGAAAAGTCCCCAAACATGATGGCCTCTACTGTGTATATCGAGTCTGTGTCTGTTTCCGATAATGGACATTATGTCTGTTATATTCCTGGGGCATCAAGATTTATACTCATCAATCTTGAAGGTTAGTTTGAAATATTGTGGTATTCATGTGATAAAAATATAATTTAGAGCTAAGAATTAATACAACTTTTAATAAAAATATATTTTGCAGTGACCGTACTAGTGTTTACAAAAAATTATTCTATGGCACACTTACTCATTGCGAAATCCAATCAACTCTCCTGCAAATCCATATAACTCCAGTCCATCCTACTCGCCTGTACACTTCTCTGCCTTCTTAACTGATACTGATTTACTGTACCTATTATGGCTTCCTCCGGTAGACTTCTTATTTCCCAGTAACATTAGTTTTCCTGGTCACATAGTGTTATATGATTCACATAAGTTTAACACTTTTCATTAACATAATATTAATCTAACATAATAAAATTTATTTTAAACTCTAATATTAAACCTAGTCCTCTTTTTTAATGCATTAGGACAAAGATTTTTTTTATTAGGCTTTCTTGACTTATTGTGGTTGTTGCTCAGAGATATATGATTCCTTGGTTCATATGAATATGCTTACTAAAATTTAATCATACCCTGAATACTTCATACCATATACAGCGGACCCCCAGTTTGCGATGCCATCGGTATCCGATAAATCCGGTATTCGATACATTTTAATGCAAAATTTTTGCCTCGGTTCCCGTTAAAAAACCCGGTATATGATTCGTCCAAGCCTTGTCCACATGTGTGCCAGTGTTTACAAGCCAGCCATTGTGCTTGCATCTTAGGATACATTCGGTACATTCCATATTATCACAGTGTTTTTGGTGCTTGTTTCTGCAAAATAAGTCACCATGGGCCCCAAGAAAGCTTCTAGTGCCAACCCTTCGAGAAAAAGGGTGCTAATGACTATTGAAATGAAGAAAGAGATAATGGCAAAGTACGAAAGTGGAGTGCATGTGTCGGAACTGGCCAGGTTGTATATAAAACACCAATCAACCATCTCTGCTATAGTGACCAGGAAAACGGCAATCAAGGAAGCTGTTGTTGCAAAAGGTGCAACTGTGATTACAAAACAGCGACCGCAAATGTTAGAAGATGTTGAGAGACTATTATTGGTGTGGATAAATGAAAAACAGATAGCAGGAGATAGTATCTCTCAAGCGATCATTTGTGAAAAGGCTAGGCAGTTGCATGACGATTTGGTAAAGAAATTGCCTACAACTATTGGTGATGTGAGTGAATTTAAGGCCAGCAAAGGTTGCTTTGAAAGACTTAAGAATCATAGTGGCATACATAGTGTGATTAGGCATGGTGAGGTTGCCAGTGACTCTCAAGCTGGTCTTAGTGGCATTAAAAGAAGAAGGGAAGTAACTCCGGAAAAGGACTTGCTACCTCAAGTCCTGTTGGAAGGGGATTCCCCTTCTAAACAATAAGTTCGACACTCTCCCCTCCTCCCATCCCATCAATCATCACCAGATCTTCATTAAAGGTAAGTGTCATGTATTCTATCATTAGTAGAGTACTACAAACTGTGCATGTCTTCTTCAGTTTGTGTGCATTAAACTTAATATTTCATGTGGTGAAATTTTTTTTTTCATACTTTTGGGTGTCTTGCACGGTTTAATTTGATTTCCATTATTTCTTATGGGGAAAATTGATTCACTTTTCGATAATTTTGGTTTACGATGAGCTCTCAGGAACGGATTAATATCGCAAACCGGGGGTCCACTGTATACCTTTAACTTCAATTTTTTTATTATCCTTGTTCTATACAGGCTGGGTATACAATACTATATAGCTTATTTAAAGTTTTTGGTATATGCCCTTATGATTCACTAGCATCAATATGCAGTAATAAATTCTCTCACATTTGCTCATTAGACTTTTTTCTGTTTCTGAAGGTCGTCCTGCTAGATTGCTCGGAGTCACTGGTGGAAACTTTTTTGAGGATGAACCATTGATACTAAGTTGCAGAACTCAGTATGCAAAAGATACACAAGTAAGACACTCATTATTTAGGTATGACATTTTCTGCTTTAATTAAAATACTGAAAATAAAAATAGATATACAGTATAGTAGATTATTATTAGAAGTTCTTGAGTAGTAATAATAATAATTTACAGCTTAGTAGAAGCATCAAGACAGCAAATGAGTAAAACATATGTGCCACATCTAGGTATCTATTGTTGAAGTGTTTCACCTGCTCAGCAGATTTCTTCAGTCAAATACAGAGATGATTTAAATATTGAGTAGACAGGTAAATATGAGAGGCATCAAGTAAATATGAAATACATATAACTCTAGCAATCAAGGCTATGGATCGAAACAATTATTAAGACTGAGAGTGGAGAACAACAAGACATTCAAAAATGATAAGTTCCAGTTTCTTAGGTATGGAAAGAAGGAGCTCAAAAGGGACACTGTATACAAAACTCAAGAGGATTGTCAAATAGAGCGAAAGAAACATGTGAAATACTTTTGGGAGTAATTATGTCAGCTGACTTTTATTTCAAAGAATACAGTAAGACCAATGTCACGACAGCCAGGAAGTTGATGGGGTGGATAATGAGAACTTTCGAAACAAGGAAAATATTGCCGGTGGTGATACTTTTCGAGTCACTTGTGCTCTTTCATTTGGAATATTGCTCAGTGTTGATGGCTCTATTCAGGACAGGAGAGATATCAGAGCTGGAACAGATACAGAGTTTGTTTATGGCCTCCACAGAGCCAGTAAAGCATTTAAACTACTGGGAATGCCTTAATTAAAGTTCTAAATGTGTATGGATCAGTTGAGCAGAAGAGAGAGAGATACATGATAATATATACAGTAATCCCCCCATATCCATGGAGGATATGTTCCAAGACTTACCATGGATACCTGAAACTACTGATAGTAATGAACCCTACATATAAGTCATTTTTCATTTACATACCTGTGATAAATTTGATAAATTACTAACAATAAGTGGAGAATTAGGACTTTTTCACTGATGGTAAGTACGTCACAGCTTCTCTTATGCTTTTACCCTTTGACTGTCGGTGTTGTATAATGTCTTACAAGCCAGTGTTTTTAACGTATTAATACGCCAAAATTCTAGCAGCTTCAAATCAAGAGGGAGAGAGCTGGTAAGCCCACATGTGAGAGAATGGGTCTGTGTGGTCAGTGTGCACAGTATAAAAAAAATCCAGCATGCAGTGCATAATGAGAAAAAAACTCTATGTTTTTGGGTTAAAACGTCGACTTTGAGGTGTATTTTTGTATAATATTTATGGTTGTATTTCGTTATCTTGGTCTAAATTGATAGAATGGAAGACTTATTACAGAAATAGAGATGATTTTGATTGATTTCATGATGAAAAGGACCTTGAAATTGAGCTCAAAGTAGCGGAAATGTTCGATTTTTGCCAATGTTCAAGAGTATAGAAATGATGTTACCGTCCAATATGTGTCCAACTAGCCATTCTGATGCGCAGTCATGAATGGGTTGACATTATTTATACAATTACGCATTGGCGATTTCACCCACTTTGAACCCTATTTTCAGCCAATTCCATTGTTCCAGTCAAACAAACTCATAGCCATTCTTTAGAACTCCATTTGTACTATTGATTGAGTACAAGAAACTGCCCATTTACCAATTTCAACTACCCAATAAAGTGATCACAAATTGGCAATTTGGCCAATTTCACACAAATTTAAAAAGATGCCAATTTCAAAATAGGGCCCAGAATAAACACTGCAGACATTCCTGGCACTAAAATAACATTTTCTCTGTTCATTATTCAGTTTCCAGGCCCCTCTTATATTACTCTTGCTTCCTATTTTGAATTTTTTTATTCACACAAAAAATAGATTTACTGTTATGCAGACTACTGCATTATTGTAATACTTTTTTTTTTTTTTTTTTTCAACAAGTCGGTCGTCTCCCACCGAGGTCACCCTGCCTCGGTGGGAGACGACCGACTTGTTGAAAAAAAAAAAAAGTATTACAATAATGCAGTAGTCTGCATAACAGTAAATCTATTTTTTGTGTGAATAAAAATTAAAAATAGGAAGCAAGAGTAATATAAGAGGGGCCTGGAAACTGAATAATGAACAGAGAAAATGTTATTTTAGTGCCAGGAATGTCTGCAGTGTTTATTCTGGGCCCTATTTTGAAATTGGCATCTTTTTAAATTTGTGTGAAATTGGCCAAATTGCCAATTTGTGATCACTTTATTGGGTAGTTGAAATTGGTAAATGGGCAGTTTCTTGTACTCAATCAATAGTACAAATGGAGTTCTAAAGAATGGCTATGAGTTTGTTTGACTGGAACAATGGAATTGGCTGAAAATAGGGTTCAAAGTGGGTGAAATCGCCAATGCGTATATATCACCGAGATTGCTAACTTTGCGAGATCATACTTCCGTAAGTTTTCCATCAAATTTCGTACATTTGGTGTCATTACTATCAGGAAAAGATTCTATCATTTCATGAGAAATTTTTTTTGTTTTTTTTTAATATTTTGCGACAGAGAGACACATCAGGATTTGGGGGTCTCGACAGTCAAAGGGTTAAAGAACTGCCACCATCACTCATATTGTGCTTTGGCATCATTATTAAACAAAATTAAGGCTTATTTTCCGACCATGGTAAACCACTGATAACTGAAACCATGGACACTGAATCAATGGATATGGGGGTTCTGCTGTACGTACTTGGAAAGTATTTGAGGGCCTTTTCCCAAATCTGCATACTGTCATAACAACCTACTAGAGTGAGAGATATGGGAGGAAATGCAAAGTAAACTCAGTGAAAGCAGGAGTGCCATGTCAATATAAAGGGACACTGTATCAACACTCATGGCTCCAGACTATTTAAAATCTTACCAGAAGTTATCAGAAACACTGCTTGGACATGTGTAGAAGTGTTCAAGAGGAAATTGGACAAGTATCTTCACCAGGTGCCAGATCATCTAGGCTGTGATGAATATGTGGATCAGTGGGCCCTCAGCAGCAACATTCTGGTTGACCAAGCTAGCAGCAGACGAGCCTGGCCAGTGCCAGGCTCTTGGAGTAAGGAAAACTCGTGGATCTCATCAAAAGTAAAGGTAAAGAGAGACTGACCACCTCAAAATTACTTTATCTTCAATGTTAAGGATTGATTACCTCTCTGCTACTTCTGCTACCTCCAATATTTGACTGAAGAAGCCTGCTGAGGAGGTGAAACATTTCAACAATAAAATACCCAACTGTTGCAGATGTGTCATACTCATGTACTCAAAATAGTATGCTGAAAGGAAAGGTGTGAGACAGTCCCAACAGTGTTCATTTATGACTGTAGGAGCTGTGTGTAATAGGTGTAGAACAGAAAAGTTTAAAAGTAGTAGTTAAAAAATAGGAATTTACAGGATCCAGACCTACTTTTCTCTTATACAGTTTGGAGAATAAATGATATGTCAAGTAAAACCAAAGGCTTAAAAACAACTTCCTAACTAGATTTTTTCACTGATTTTAGCAGTAAGCAGTTAGCTAGAAATTTCAGGATGAACTGCTCAATCCACACCTAAATTTTTGGATTGATTTCAGCAATCAGCAGTTAGCTGGAAATTCCAAGATGAACTGCTTGACCCAAGTCAGTATGAATCACGAATGTCTCACTCAGATTACAATGTGACAGTACATGAGCTGATCATTGCTAGGGCTGGAGAAGCACATGCTGGTACTTACGAGTGTGTGACACCATATGGCTCGGCGGCAGTATCAGCTGATATGTATGGTTAGTATGGCATTCCTCACATTTAATCTTATTTGTTTTTTTCAACATACTGGCTGTCTCCCACTGAGGCAGGGTGGCCCAGAAAAAGAAAGATACACTTTCACCATCATTGAACACTTTCACCATCATTCACACATAATCACTGTCTTTGCAGAGGCGTTCAGATATGACAGTTCAGATGTCAGCCCAAACAGCAGATATCCCAAACCCCTCCTTTAAATTGCAGGTATTGTATTTCCCACCTCCAGGACTCTTAAGTCCAGCTTACCAGTTTCCATGAATTCCTTCACAAAATATTACCCTGCTCACACTCCAGCAACATGTCAGGTCCCAAAAACCATTTGTCTCCATTCATTCATATCTAACATGCTCACACATATCTGCTGTCTGTCCAAGCCCCTGCACACAAAATCTCTTTTACCCCTTCCCTTCATCCTTTCCTTGGATGCCCTACCCCTCCTCCTCTCCACTACAGATTTATACACCCTCCAAGTCATCAATACAAATACAAATACAAACATATATTTCTTTGTAAAGCTTACAAAGAGTTGTTTACATGTTATGAGATTTTAATGACAAAGAGGGCCACTATCGTGCCTAGGCACTTCGGGCAGACTAATACTAATTCTTATGCTATTTTGATATAGGTTATATTTGAGCAGTACATTTGAGCATATTAATAGGTCTGTAGTTAGATACCTTCCCAGTTAGGTACATACATTATTAAGTTTGAAAAAGTTAGGTAGTTGAAATCATTTAATATTACAAATGGTAGATTTAGTAATGGGATTCAAATTTTCTTGGCATGATACATTGTTTCTATTAAAGTCATACTGGGAGAGTATCGTAGACAAACTTAAGATTAACTTAAGATTTAATAGGACTAGCTTAAGATATGGTAGGCAATAGCTATATTAGGACTTGCATGTTTACAATCTTTTGGGTGGGTGTAGGTGTAAGTTATGTGAGAATTACAGATAACGAGAGTAAGTCTATATTGTTTTCGATGTGTTCAAGATACAAAAATGAGAATTGGGTGGTTTTCATTTGGTTAGCTGATGATGGGGTGTGTTAGGGAGATGAGATGTTTTTTAACGGTAGTTTTGAAAATGGTGGTTGAGTCTGCAGTTCTAGAGTTTTCAGGCAGGGAGTTCCAGATTCTAGGCCCTTTTATGTACATCAAATTTTTGTATAGGTTTAGCCGGACATGGGGAATGTAGAGATTTTTGTGTCTGGTGTCCTATTTTGCTCCATCCTCTCTAAATGACCAAACCACCTCAGCAACCCCTCCTCAGCCCTTTGAATAATATTTTTAGTAGCTTCACACCACCTCTTAATTTCCACACTACAAATTCTCTGCATAATATTCACACCACGCATTGACCTTAGACATGACATCTCCACTGCCTCCAGCCTCCTTCTTGCTTCAGCATTTACAACTCATGCTTCACACCCATATAAGAGCGTTGGTACAACTATACTCTCGTACATTCCCTTCTTTGCCTCCATGATAATTGTCTTTGTCTCCATAGATACCTCAGTGCACCACCCACCTTAATTTTTATATATTTATATAAAAAGGAGGTATTGTATCCGAGGGGCTTGAACATATTAATGACTTGACATGCTGTTGGAATGTGAGTAAGGTAACATTTATGAAGGGATTCAGGGAAACTGGTTAGCCGGACTTGAATCCTGGAGGTGGGAAGTACAGTGCCTGCACTCTGAAGGAGGAGTGGGGATGTTTGCAGTTTGGAGGGGCATCTTAACTGTAGTACTAGTATGTCTCTGGTAAGAGAGTGATGAAGTGAGTGATGGTGAAAGTGTTTCTTCTTTTTCGGGGCACCCTTCCTCAATGGGAGATGGCCAGTAAGTTAAAAAAATACATACATACCCATATTTCACAGCCATATAAGAGTGTTGATACCACCTTGCTCTCATACATTCCCATTTTGCTTTTTCTCCTCATCAGTTCTATGGTTCATCCTGTCTTACTTTCATAGACCCATCCACTGACATGTCCACTCCCAAATATCCCAACACATTCACTTCATCCATACTCCCTCCTTCCAATCTGATATCCAGTCCTTTGTTACCTTAAATTGATTGTTACCCTCATCACCTTGCTCTTTCCTATGCTCACTTTTAGTTTCCTTCTTTTAAGTATCCTCCTAAATTAGTCCACCAACCCATGCAACTTCTCTTCAGAATGTTCCAAAAGCACAGTGTCATCAGCAAAAAGCAATGTGACAGCTCCCATTTTGTATATATGTATGTTTGTATATGTATTGTATTGTACTTTTTAAATTTTGCTATTGACAAATTGCAGTATGTATAAAGTTTGAATAAATTATAAAAATGGAATAGAATCAGTTTGATAAAATGTCATAATCCCCTCATCCACAGTGCCTCCATTCTTGAGTGAGCCTCTGCCATCAGAGATGTTTATTAAGGAAGGTGAAGAGTTGTACATCAACTGCCGAACTACTGGCCGCCCTCAACCTGTGGTACACTGGGAGAAAAAGATAGGTACACTCCCTTCATATTTTGTAATTTACCTTATTGGTATTCATTTGTAATTGTGACCACATCACAAATAGTGTACAGTATAGTAATTGATTTTAAATAAATTATTTCATGTTTGATAAGTGCATTTTTGTGAGGTTCATAAAATTTTGCAAAGAGTAAAATATATGGCATTTATTGTGTTTTTAACAAACTAACTTATATGTACAGGATTTATTTTAATGTTATGCAGTCAAGTTTATGATTGCATTCTTACCTTTTTTTACAAAAGACATCAGAATCTGATAGGCTTCATTCCATTTTGGTTTTGTTGGAGTTGACAGCCACTAACAGCATCCGTCAATAAAGCCTTTCCTCCCAAAGCCTAGGAATAAAAATTGGTCTGTCTGAATGGAAAAGTAAAATGGAACAAGTGTTCCTAAATAGGAAGGGAACAAGCATCCCAGTTCGGTTCACCTGACCTAACTGGTACAGCAAGATGCCTACAGCCCCACCTGAGACAGCAGCAATTAGCTTTCACTCCACAGCTGCACAGTTAACGGTAACATGGAAAACAGGACTGACTCGTGGTGCTCTGAATACTGATGTGCCTACCTGGTAAGAAAGAACAAGAGCATCAATCCCCCCAAAGAGGGTTTGTGGAAATTTGTTACTGATGCCAAGGGCAGAGCAAGATGACCCAGCCCCCCATGGACAGTGCAAAAATCCAGGCCAGATCGTTGCATTCCTGGGCCTTGTTTTTCTTGATGGGGGTTTATGGGCCACCATAGCTTATGCCATAAGGAGCCATGCTTCTTGATTTATGGAGAACAAATAATGAACACCTCTGGAAAGACAGGGATAGTGTGAATGATGGTGACACTGTTTCTGTTTTGGATCACCCTACCTCAGTGGGTGACAGCCAGCATGAAGGGAAGGGAACAGGAGTTCACTTCAAGAACAGAAATAGGAACAGGAAGTTGCCAATTACATCTGGTGGACCTCCTTGCCTGAACCCTAGAAGAGCCAGATTCCCATTCTACCTGAGTCAATAACCTACATCCCCCAAGCCATAGAATTCTACAGAGCAGAAAAAAAGGACTAGATGTATGGTACCCCAACTGACTGCTTAGTGGGCAGTGCATGATGAATACAAATGTCTGAGAGAGAGAGAGTGGGAAAATTCGTCACTGATGGTAGGGGTGGTAGAGTAAGGTGACCACACACCACCAAGGCCAGTGCAGAAGTCCTTCTAAGAAAAATACTAACGTTTAATGTAAAGAGAATACTGTACTTCAAAATGAGAGAAATCTGGTGGACAATTCATAGATCATACTGTAAGGAGAGACTCCAACACCACCAGAGCCATGTTGTTAGAGTAGATGATTACAACAGAGCTCCAGGGTTGTTCCTATAAAACATTTTTTTTTTTTCAATGTGCTGGCCATTTTCCGCCAAGGCAGGGTGTTATGAAAATAAGAACGAAAGTTTTTCCTTATATATTTAATAATTTATACAGGAGAAGGGGTTACTAGCCCTTTGCTCCCTCTTATAAAAAATGTTAATTATTTTTTTAACACGGTGGTCATTTCCCACCGAGGCAGGGTGACGCAAAAAGAAAGAAAAACCCAAAAAGAAAGAAAGAAAAAAATATGTATTGTCTAAATTACCACTTTCAGCAATTAGGGACAATAGCTAAGCCTGTACCTAACCTATAAGGATGAGTGATTTCTCTGCTCTAACCACTAATGGAGGTATAAATTGGCATTTTATTTTTTTTGTAGTTATATTGTTTTCTTGTTTGAATCTTTTAATGGATGTTATTACAGCATATCTTTTTCTTTCCAGGAGAATCATGGCTGCCAGTGAATGAGATAATAGGTAGGGATGCAGATGTTGATGGGGTATTTACTGCTCCTCTAGTCTCTGTGAGTGATGCTGGACACTACAGGTGTGCAGCAAAGAGTACTGCAGGTTCCTTCCTTGCTGAAGTTACTGTCACTGTTGAACGTGAGTTATTATGCTCTGAAATTCATTTCATGCATGTTAAGAAATGTTACAGATCTTATTGACTGATTCTGCTAGCTAGGGAATTGATCAGGTTAGTCACCCTGGGGGAGAAAATGGAAGTAATCAATATTAATCCAGTGAAGGGGAGGGTAATTCTAATTCCTTGGATCAAGAGCCCTTCACCAGCATCAAGGCACCTATCTTGAAGGGCCTTAGGTCAAGAGCCTTTCACTAGCATCAAGGCATATCCTTGAAGGAGTTATGGTGTTGTGCTTGGCAGCTAGAAGTAAGTAGGTAGCCTTAATTTGCCTAGAGGCTACTCAGACCTTTCCTTTATGTCATCCTTATTGTTTAATGCCAAATTGATGTTACAGTAGCTTATGGTAAGAAACCTTTGAGTGTTTTAGTGTTACCTATTATTTTTATGGTCTGCCTGATGCCATTCTGGTAGCTTTCTTGTCCTGTGTTTTAGTTCTCTTTTATATAATATCCTAATGCCTATATTGTGCATTAAACAGAAACACTACTTATCCCACTAATCTTCTGAGATCTTCAATCCAGAGAGTGTAACACAGACAGGAATGTGGACCAAGACAAATATTGTTGAAGACGGCACTCAAATATTGTGGATACAGACATAAGTATGCCAAACAAGTCTTTGAGTGAAATGTTTCCAAATAAGACTTGTTCTGTACACTTGTATCTTGTCTGTAAGTCTTCATTCTGTTGGGGATTCTGTTAACTAGGCACATCAGGCTGCATCATTTCAAATTAATCTACCTTCTATATAAACCATAGAGAAAATTAATATTGTATAGAAAGGGGTTTGGTTATAGGTACTGTAACATATTTTAAGAAAAAGAGGATAAATAAGTATACACTATATGATGTAGGGCAAAATGACAGTAGTTTATTAGACTACATATTGGTAGATAAAAGACTGTTGGGTAGACTTCAGGATGTACACGTTTATAGAGAGGCCACAGATATATCAGATCACTTTTTTAGTTGTAGCTACAGTGAGAGTAAAAGGTAGATGGGATACAAGGAAAATGGAAGCAGCAAATAAGAAAGAAGTGAAGGTTTATAAACTAAAGGAGGAGGCAGTTAGGGTAAGATATAAACAACTGTTGGAGGACAGATGGGCTAGTGAGAGTACAGGCAATGGGGTAGAAGATGTATGGGGTAAGTTTAAGAATATAGTGTTAGAGTGTTCAGCAGAAGTTTATGGTTACAGGAGAGTGGGTGTGGGAGGGAAGACGAGCCATTGGTGGAATGATGATGTAAAGAGAGTAGTAAGAGAGAAAAAGTTAACATGTGAGAGGTTTTTACAAAGTAGAAGTGATGTAAGGAGGGAGGAGTATATGGAGAGAAAAAGAGAGGTTAAAAGAGTGGGAAGCTATGTAAAAAGAAAGCAAATGAGAGAGTGGGTGAGATGTTGTCAACAAATTTTGTTGAAAAAAAGAAAAAGTTTTAGAGTGAGATTAATAAGTTGAAAAAGCCTAGAGAAATAATGAATATGTTAGTTAAAAATAGGAGAGGAGAGTTATTAAATGGAGAGTTAGAGGTATTAGGAAGATGGAGGGAATATTTTCAGGAATTGTTTAATGTTGATGAAGATAGGGAAGCTGTGATTTCATGTATAGGGCAAGGAGAAATAACATCTTATAGGAGTGAGGAAGAATCAGTTGTGAGTGTGGGGGAAATGCATGGGGCAGTGAGTAGAATGAAAAGGGGTAAAGCAGCTAGGATTGATGGGATAAAGATAGAAATGTTAAAACCAGGTGGGGATATAGTTTTGGAGTGGTTAGTGTTTTTATTTAATAAATGTATGGAAGAGGGTAAGGTACCTAGAGATTGGCAGAGAGCATGCATAGTTCCTTTGTATAAAGGCAAAGGGGACAAAAGAGAGTGTAAAAATTATAGGGGAATAAGTCTGTTGAGTATACCTGGTAAAGTGTATGGTAGAGTTATTATTGAAAACCCTATCAGAAATTCTAGGAACAAAAAAGATATCACAAAATAGCGAAATTGAATTAAAACCAGATGAACCCAAACTCCCACCAACTGAAACAGCAAACAGACTCAATAATTTCTTCTCCACTATAGGAAAAAACCTTGCCAATAAAATCCCAAGCTCAGATACCCCACCCAATGACTACCTCATTGGCAACTACCCGAACACACTATTCCTAGCTCCGACTAACCCTACTGAAGTCTCCCTTATTATCAACACACTAAAAAACAAGACAGGAGATTTAAATACCTTACCACCCTTTATATACAAAAAAGCATCACAAGTACTATCACCAATCATTGCAACACTCTTTAACAAATCCATAGAATCCTTTACCTTTCCTACAGTTCTCAAAATAGCAAGGGCCACCCTGATCCATAAAGGAGGAGACCAAACAGACTTGAATAACTATAGGCCAATATCCAACTTACACCCTCTCTTTAAAATTTCCGAAAAATTAATTCATAAGAGAATCTATTCCTACCTCATTTCCCACAACATACTCAACCCCTGTCAATTTGGGTTCAGGCCTAATAAAAATACTAATTTTTTTTTTCAACAAGTCAGCAGTCTCCCACCGAGGCAGGGTGACCCAAAAAAAAGAAAGAAAATCCCCAAAAAGAAAATACTTTCATCATCATTCAACACTTTCACCACACTCACACATTATCACTGTTTTTGCAGAGGTGCTCAGAATACAACAGTTTAGAAGCATACACATATAAAGATACACAACATATCCCTCCAAACTGCCAATATCCCAAACCCCTCCTTTAAAGTGCAGGTATTGTACTTCCCATTTCCAGCACTCAAGTCCGACTATATGAAAATAACCGGTTTCCCTGAATCCCTTCACTAAATATTACCCTGCTCACACTCCAACAGATCGTCAGGTCCCAAGTACCATTCGTCTCCATTCACTCCTATCTAACACGCTCATGCACACTTGCTGGAAGTCCAAACCCCTTGCCATTATACACATGTTAGAACACATATACACTGCACTAGAGAAAAAAGAAGTCCCACTGGGGATCTTCATTGACTTACGTAAAGCTTTTGATACAGTTGACCATGACTTGTCCATATAAAATTGTTGCACTATAGTATAAGAGGGCACTCCCTCAACTACCTAAAGTCTTACCTCAGCAACAGAAGCCAATATGTGTACACAAACGGGGCAAACTCTTCCGCACAGCCAATTACAGTTGGTGTCCCACAGGGAAGTGTCCTAGGCCCTCTTCTCTTTCTCATATACATAAATGACCTACCAAATGCATCTCAACTACTCAAACCCACACTATTTGCAGATGACACTACATACGTCTTCTCTCACCCGAGCCCAGTCATGCTAGCCAATACTGTAAATACCGAATTACAGAAAATATCTACCTGGATGAGTACTAACAAACTTACTCTAAACATTGACAGAACCTACTTCATTCAGTTTAGTAACAGAGCTACAGACATCCCTCTTAACATAATGATAAATGGATCACCTATCACAAAATTCACAGAGGGAAAATTTTTAGGAATCCACCTTGATAATAGACTCAAATTTCAAACACATATACAACAAATTTCCAAAAAAATTTCCAAGACCGTAGGCATACTATCAAAGATATGGTACTATGTTCCACAGTCAGCCCTCCTGGCCCTATATCACTCACTTATTTACCCCTATCTCACCTATGGAATTTGTGCATGGGGCTCAACAACAATAAAACATCACAGACCATTAATTACCCAACAAAAGGCTGCAGTCAGAATGATAACAAATTCCCACTACAGGCAGCACACTCCACCAATATTCAAAACTCTAAACCTACTCACCATACAAAACATCCATACTTATTACTGCACCTACTACATTCATAGAACACTTAACTCTAATATAAACCCTCCCCTCAAACATCTCCTTACCAACCTCAACAGAACACATGACCATAACACAAGGCACAGATCATTCTTTGATGTTCCTCGTGTCCATCTTACACTATGCAAAAACTCAATGCACATAAAAGGCCCTAAATTCTGGAATTCATTACCTGTGAATATAAATGAAACACTGTCTGTTTATAAATTCAAGTCTCTTCTCAAAAATCACTTACTCACCCACAAGTAAATAAATACTGAATAATTGTATCTCATAAATTGTATCTCATAAATGTTTCTCATTATTGTATCTCATAAATGTCTAACCTGTGACCCAATCAAACTTTATTTTTTAATTACATTACCTAACAGAATACTCCATTCTACTGAATGCTCAGCAACACAGTAAATGACCATATGACCTGTCTTTGTAATACTCATTTGTGCTAAATTGTTATCTGTTTACAATAATGTTTTTACCACTGAATATATCATTGCTTAGTTAATCTTAAGTTAATTTTAAGCCTGCCCATAATGCTCTGCATACAAGGGGCTTTGGCATGTTGCACTGTAATAACTGTATTCCTTTGTACTTCACTGTATCATGCTCAAATAAATAAATAAATAAATAAATAAAAAGAATTATGAGTAAGACAGAGAGCAGGGTAGCAGATGAATAAGGAGGCTTTAGGAAAGGTAGGGTGTGTAGACCAAGTGTTTGCAGTGAAACATATAGGTGAATAGTATTTAGGTAAGGGTAAAGAGGTTTTTGTGGCATTTATGGATTTGGAAAAGGCATATGACACGGTGGATAGGGGGGCATTGTGGCAGATGTTGCAAATGTATGGAATAGGAGGTAGGTTATTGGAAGCGGTGAAAAGTTTTTACGAGAATAGTGAGGTTCAGGTTAGAGTATGTAGGAGAGAGGTAGATTATTTCCCAGTAAAAGTAGGCCTTAGACAAGGATGTGTGATGTCACCTTGGTTCATTATGTTTATAGATGGAGTTATAAGAGAAGTGAATGCTCAGGTGTTGGCAAGAGGTGTGGGGTTAAAAGATAAAGAATTTAACACAAAGCGGGAGTTGTCACAGTTTCTATTTGCTGATGACACTGTGCTTTTGGGAGATTCTGAAGAGAAGTTGCAGTGGCTGGTTGATGAGTTTGGTAGGGTATGTAAAAGAAGGAAATTGAAAGTGAATATAAGAAAGAGTAAGGTGATGAGGATAAGAAAAAAAATAGGTAACAGAAGATTGGATATCAGATTGGAGGGAGAGAGTATGGAGGAGGTGAATGTGTTCAGATATTTGGGAGTGGATGTGTCAGCAGATGGGTGTATGAAGGATGAGGTGAATCATAGAACTGATGAGGGGAAAAAGGTGAGTGGTGCACTGAGGAGTTTGTGGAGATAAAGAACTTTATCCATGAAAGCAAAGAGGGGAATTTATGAGAATATAGTTATACCAATGCTCTTGTATGAGTGTGAGGCATGGGTTGTGGATGTTGCAACAAGGAGAAGGCTGGGGGCAGTGGAGATGTCATGTCTGAGGGCAATGTGTACTGTGAATATAATGCAGAGAATCCATAGTTTGGAGATTAGGAGATGGTGTGGGATTGCCAAAACTATTATCCAGAGGACTGGGGAGGGGTTATTGAGATGGTTTGGATATGTAGAGGATGGAACAAAATAGAATGACTTTGAGAGTGTATACGTCTGTAGCGGAGGGAAGGCAGGGTAGGGGTCGGCCTAGGACAGGTTGGAGGGAGGGGGGTAAAGGAGGTTTTGTGTGCGAGGGGCTTAGACTTTCAGCAAGTATGTGTGAGCATGTTAGACAGGAGCGAATGGAGACAAATGGTTTTGAGGACTTGATGTGACGTGCTGTTGGAGTGTAAGCAAGGTAACACTTATGAAGGGATTCAGGGAAACCGGCAGGTAGGACTTGATTCCTGGAGATGGGAAGTACTATGCTGGCTCTCTGAAGGAGGGGTGTTAATGTTACAGTAGTGTAAACATGCCTCTGGCAAGACAGTGATGGAGTGAACGATGATGAAAGTTTTTCTTTTTCGGGCCACCCTGCCTTGGTGGGAAATGGCCGATGTGTTAATAAATAAAAAATATTTATTTTTATTATTCTCTATTTGTTATGCTCAGTTTGCTTCACTTTTCATGGCAACAGTAGCAAGATACATTTGTTTACCAGCATCAGCAGTGCAGTGTTAAGCTACAGTTTCTCAAAATTTAAATAACAGTTTTGTTTTAATACATTTAATTACTCTTTTCAGTTGGTGCTTTATATAGTAAATTATGGTCAGTGCCAACTTTTCAGAAGTTTTCTTTTCTTTCAACTCTGTGTCTGTCTTTTCTCCAGACTGAAAAATTACCCTTGAATGTTGCCTCACTTAGAAAGTTTTTCTTATTTAGCTTCATTTATCTATGTGAAGTTTCTTTTTATTTATAATGTTCATTAATTATAGTTTTTTTTAAGATTTCTCCATCTACAGTGCCTGCAAAAAATAATTTGGACCTCTGATTGTTAGAAAACAACAATGTAAACATTATAAAACTAAAACTGTAATGCTTTGTACTTACATTAATATTTTGTTGTCTTCTCCTTGGCCTTGATGACCATTTGAATCTATTTGGGCATACTTTCACTCAGATACTTAAAGCAATCAAGGAATAACTGGTTGACCTGAATGTCTTTGATCTCCTGCTGCAAGCATGACATATATGAAATGTGGCAGATTCCATCTTCTTTTTTATAATATTTGTGGCATTATCAGTAGAATTGAGAATGCCAGGAATATCATGAACTATTCCATGGCCAGTCTATTTTTGCAGGGACTGTAGGTTTGTACATACAGTACTGTATATAAGGTACATTAAATACATTATTTATTTGTTTTGTAGAGCATTGCATGCTATTTCACTTGTGATCATTTCATTGCCATGATGAAAGTAAAACTGACATTAAGTGTTTCTTCAGGTGCATCACCGGAGGTGTTTGACATGGTGGCCCCCGAGAGTGTGCTAGTTGGAGATAACTTCACTGTCCAGTGCACCATCATGAATTGGGATGGACAGGTGAGCTTCTTTATGTACTCTCATATTAAAATAGGAAGTAATGTCCAGAACTTTTCATTTATTCCTAATATGTTTTCCTAATTTTCTTCAGTTTTCCCTACTTATAGAAATACAGTGGAACCTCGGCTTACGAATGCCCCACCATGTGAATTTTTCAGGATACGATTTTTTGCTTCTGGATACAAAGGAAATTTCAGGATGAGAACTTCCCCCTCCAGGGAGGTTCCTGCAAGGCCATAGGAAACATTTTGTAATAATTCATTGTTTTTTGCACTTGTTTATTGTGTGTGACTGCTAAATAAGCCACCACTATAGAATTCAAGAAAAAACTTGTAGCAAAGTACCAAAGTGGAGGAGGAAGAGAGAGGGGAGAATGTGCCTTTTTCAGTGATTCCACGATATGTATAATACTAAAGTAGCAGGAGTCGATAAAGGCTATAGCGCTAGCCAGCGATAAAGTGTAGCATTAACAGTGTAGCAAATAAGTTAAGAAATTAAGCAATAGAAAAAGGATGACACAAAACTGACTCCTCCAATGTTATTGGAGGTTTATAGGGCCACTGACAAACATATGCTGCCCTGCCTATCTTCCACCACTCTAAACCAATGCCAGCATCTCTAAGGTACAGTAAGTGTAAATTATTTTATTTTTTATTATCACACTGGCCGATTCCCACCAAGGCAGGGTGGCCCGAAAAAGAAAAACTTTCACCATCATTCACTCCATCACTGTCTTGCCAGAAGGGTGCTTTACACTACAGTTTTTAAACTGCAACATTAACACCCCTCCTTCAGAGTGCAGGCACTGCACTTCCCATCTCCAGGACTAAAGTCCGGCCTGCCGGTTTCCCTGAACGCCTTCATAAATGTTACTTTGCTCACACTCCAACAGCACGTCAAGTATTAAAAACCATTTGTCTCCATTCACTCCTATCAAACACGCTCACGCATGCCTGCTGGAAGTCCAAGCCCCTCGCACACAAAACCTCCTTTACCCCCTCTCTCCAACCTTTTCTAGGCCAACCCCTACCCCGCCTTCCTTCCACTACAGACTGATACACTCTTGAAGTCATTCTGTTTCGCTCCATTCTCTCTACATGTGCGAACCACCTCAACAACCCTTCCTCAGCCCTCTGGACAACAGTTTTGGTAATCCCGCACCTCCTCCTAACTTCCAAACTACGAATTCTCTGCATTATATTCCACAACCACACATTGCCCTCAGACATGACATCTCCACTGCCTCCAGCCTTCTCCTCGCTGCAACATTCATCACCCATGCTTCACACCCATATAAGAGCGTTGGTAAAACTATACTCTCATACATTCCCCTCTTTGCCTCCAAGGACAAAGTTCTTTGTCTCCACAGACTCCTAAGTGCACCAGTCACTCTTTTCCCCTCATCAATTCTATGATTCACCTCATCTTTCATAGACCCATCTGCTGACACGTCCACTCCCAAATACAGTGGACCCCCGCATAACGATTACCTCCGAATGCGACCAATTATGTAAGTGTATTTATGTAAGTGCGTTTGTACGTGTATGTTTGGGGTTCTGAAATGGACTAATCTACTTTACAATATTCCTTATGGGAATAAATTCGGTCAGTACTGGCACCTGAACATACTTATGGAGTGAAAAAAAATCGTTAACCGGGGGTCCACTGTATCTGAATACATTCACCTCCTCCATACTCTCTCCCTCCAATCTGATATTCAATCTTTCATCACCTAATCTTTTTGTTATCCTCATAACCTTACTCTTTCCTGTATTCACTTTTAATTTTCTTCTTTTGCACACCCTACCAAATTCATCCACCAATCTCTGCAACTTCTCTTCAGAATCTCCCAAGAGCACAGTGTCATCAGCAAAGAACAGCTGTGACAACTCCCACTTTGTGTGTGATTCTTTATCTTTTAACTCCACGCCTCTTGCCAAGACCCTCGCATTTACTTCTCTTACAACCCCATCTATAAATATATTAAACAACCACGGTGACATCACACATCCTTGTCTAAGGCCTACTTTTACTGGGAAATAATTTCCCTCTTTCCTACATACTCTAACTTGAGCCTCACTATCCTCGTAAAAACTCTTCACTGCTTTCAGTAACCTACCTATATATTGTGTATCTTTATAGGTATATGCTTCTAAACTGTTGTGTTCTGAGCACCTCTGCAAAAACAGTGATTATGTGTGAGTGAGGTGAAAGTGTTGAATGATGATGAAAGTATTTTCTTTTTTGGGATTTTCTTTCTTTTTTGGGTCTCCCTGCCTTTGTGGGAGACGGGCAACTTGTTAAAAAAAAAAAAATGCTGTTGAGCTAGTAAAGAGACTGCTTGAGAGACTTTCTACTGTACAATTTTTTGTTTTTTTTTTGTATTTTTGGTCTTCTGGATGCTTTTGCTTGTTACATTAATAAGTTAGTTTTATAATTTCATAGTGTGGAAATGAAAAGTATTGCATGGAGGAACTGATGGTAGGGTTTATTTTATTAGTCTGAGATTCTTTACAGTGTTCTCAGTTTTATTCATCTCATTCAGCAGTATCTTGTTGCAGTGTTTTCTTATATTTTACTGCAGATATTTTTTATAATCCTGTGTCTTTATATCTTTTTGATTATCATAAGTGATGAAGGAGGGTTGATGATAAACTGAATTGTGATGTCAGCACACTTCTGGCAAGACAGCAGTTGAATTAATGATGGGTAATGTATTTCCATTTTCTTTGGTCATCCTACCTTGGTGGGAGACAGCCACTGAGGTAAAGAATAAAAGTGCTGAATGACCTTAAATGTCAGAATTCTGTGCAGATCCCACTACTTCCTTGTCCTCCTGTGTTTCATTGGCCTATGTTATACTCCAAGACCATATCCACATGTCAGTATTATGTTAATTACTTTAGTATTCATAGTTATTAAGTAATCAATAGAGAATTTATGTAGAACTCTCATGTTTTATGTTTTACAGATAAGTTGTCACCATAAACTTGTTCATGTCCTATGAAAGATGAACAACTGAGGTAATAGAACAAGTTACCTTTGTACAATATTAAACAAATACGTAATTATTTAGTACAGAAGAAGGTTAAGATTTGAAGACTAGCATAATTTTTGGGTAGTTAAATTAAAGTTTATTAAATTTTTTACAGGTGGAATTCATATTTGAGGGTGTATCTCTGAATTCACGTTTGAACAGTCGATATAGCGTGATCCTGTATCCTGAAGAGGATAGTGTTTTGCAAGCATATCTTATAGTTCAAGAGGCTAAACTTGAAGATGCTGGCAGTTATATGTGCATTGCTGGACCTCAAGCTTCAGCCTCTGTTACTGTTGAGATCACAAGTGAGTCACTCAAATTTTTTTTCATTATGCTTTTGAGAATTTTGGTGAATTCCTTCGTAATGAACCTCTTGTATATAACTTGTTCTTAAATATATTTAGCATCTAAATTGTAATAAAACTATAGTTTGTTCATTTGATGGAGTGGTGTTGGGTAATGATGGGCAGTGATGAATTTGGGTGGTGATTGTGGTGGTGGTTGATGATTGGTGGTATGATGATTGTGTGGTTGAGGGGTGATTGTTGTGGTAAGTGGTGGTGGTAGCAGTGATGGTGAAGAATGTTCTCTTGGGTACTGGTTCTCTCATTAGTGTATCAACCTTCAGATTGTTTCTAAAATTGAAGGTCAGTTGTTAGAAAATATGCTCTTTTACATTTTGTAGGAAAACATGCCAATGTTAAGCTACATGATTAATTTTTTAACACACCAGCAGTCTTCCTTGCAGGTAGGTTGATCTAAAAAAAAAAAGAAGAAATTCCAGCCTTTATTCAAGTGCTGTTTTGCCAGAAGTATGCTGACATCTCAGTTTTAAGTGAAATTCTATGGTTGTTTTTCAGTTTAAGAGTCTTCAACTGAGTCAAAAGAAAATACACAATATAAAAAATTCCCAATTGCTTGACTAACTTCTGTCTTAAAAAAACTGAATACCAGACATGCATTGAATTAACATAAACACAACATTAATTTATTTCATAGATAAACATAAATACGTACCTTTAGAAAACAGTTGGAAAATTTTTTTTAGTATAAGCCCAGCCTATAAGAGGGGAGTGGCCATATCAAATGAATTTTTATAAGAACCAAAGAAACTAGAGAAGAATAAATAAAATAAGCAACCTGTCTGCTCTGAGTTTAGTTGTGCCTCAGACATTGAGTCATTAATGGAGTAGATGACAGATCTCTTCTTGCCAACCTGTTGAAGGCCTGTGACAAAGTAACAGATGTGAGACAGGAGAGAGAAAAAGGGATTGGTGGATTTAATTTTCTTTTGATATTGTACCCCATAAGAGAATGGGGCAAAAAGTTGAGGTCCAGGTTGGAATAATGGGGAATGTACTACAGTTGATCAAAAAGTACCTAAGGGAAAGAAAATAAAGTAATTGTCAGGGAAGAGATGTTAGAATGGGAAAGAGTAACTAGTGGGATTCCACAGTGATCAATATTAGGACCAGTACTGTTTCTGACTTGTGTGAATGACATTCCAGATGGGATTGATTCAGATATATCTCTTTTTACTGATGATGTAAAACTGATGGGGAGAATAAAAATAGATGAGGATAAATTACAAGCTTGGTCAGGTAAGTAGTTGCTTGAATTCAGCTCCAGTAAAAGCAAGGTTATGAATATTGAGGAAGGAGAATTAAGACCAGAAATGGGGCATAGACTAGTAGAACAGAGGCTTCAGACTTTCCTCAAAGAGAAAGACTTAGGGGTGAGCATAGTGCTCAGTATATTGCCAGAGGCTCGCATCAGATGAATAACCTCTGCATTTTATGTTTGGCTGGCAAATCTAAGAGTATCCTTCAAGAGTCTCAACAAAGAGTCATTCCTAATCCTTTATACAATATATATCAGGCCCATCTTGGAGTATGCAGCACCAATATGAAATCTGTATCTGATAAAATATGTTAAGAAAGTGGAAAAAACAGAAATATTCAACAAACTGAGCTAAGGGGCATGAACCATGAGAAGAGGTTAACAGAATTGGACCTAGCAACATTGGAAGACAAAAGAATCAGGGGTGACATGATAATAACATGCAAAATACACAGGGGAATTGATAAGGTAGACAGGGATAGACTGTTTGAGAGGCGACACATGAACTCAGGGACACAACTGGAAGTTTAAGTCACAGATGAGCCACATAGATGTTAAGAGGTATTTCTTCAGTCTGAAAGATCAGGAAATGGAATAATCTTGGTGAGAAAGTGGTCAAAAAGGGCTATATACATAGTTTTATGAGCAGGTATGATAGGTCTCACAAGGCTATGGAGTGAATCGGGAGAGTGTCAGATTAAGAGGCAAGGCCAGGATCTGAGAATCAACTTCTGAAAGCACAAATAGGTGAATGCAAATAGGTGAGTACACACATATACATACACATGCCTACTCCTGCCTAAAATTTTGATGGTCGATAAACTGTTTAAATGTTTTCATCATCTCTCCTGTTACTAGAATGTAACCAGAGTCTAACCTTCATCATATTTATGATTGAATTAATGTATATTTTTGCTACACAGTTGCCTGTTTTGTGTAGCACTATATTCCAAATATTGATAATATAATCTATTCTTCAGAACGGCCTGGAGAAATTGTAAATCTGGTGGTCTCCCCAGCAATCGAAGGTGAAGATTTCTTTGTGAGCTGCACTGTCAGGAACTGGTTGGAAGAAGTAGGTTACTAAAGTTTAAATTAAAACAAAATATTATCAAAATATATACAGTGGAACTCTGGATTTCGTCCGGTGCGGACGGAAATCGTCTGGTGCGGACGGAAATCGTCCGTATCAGACACGTCCGCCTGCCCGGGACTTGGCCACTCACACATAGGTGACTCAGTCTGCTTCTGTCACTTGTTCAGTGAGCAATACTCCTTGCGTTCATCCGAAACATTGGTGGTAGAGAGTGGTAGTGATGGTGGTAGAGGGTGGTAGTGATGGTGGTAGAGGGTGGTTGTGGTTGTGATGGTGTTAGAGGGTGGTAGTGATGGTGGCAGAGGGTGGTAGTGATGGCAAACAATTGAAGATGTTGGTAAGTTGTTGATGGTGTGGATCAATGAAAAATAGTTAGCGGGAGATAGTGTTGTGGAGGCGATAATTTACAAAAAGACAAGGCAGTTGCATGCTGGTCTCGTAAAGAATATGTCAGCAAGAGTCTTCAGTATAGGTATAAGCGATTTAAATGTTTGTTTATCCATTAAAATTAGTTCTTTATATTTATTTCTCATTGTTTTCTGTATGTAACACTATAGTTATTCTCTAAAAATGTATTTTTTGTTAATATTTATGAGTGTCTGGAACAGATTAATTGGATTTACATTATTTCTTATGGGAAACATTACTTTGGTTTTCATCCATTTCGGATTTCGACAGACCTTCTGGAATGGATTAAGGACGAAAACCGGGGTTCCACTGTAGTTTTTATCAAGTACTGACAAGAAGAAATGTCAGGTAACCATGGGAATATTTTTATGCTTTTGTCCTTATTTTATATAAAATTAGTAGCCAAGTTTAACTTCTACTGTCTTTCTGTTTGCCTGTCTTTCTCAGCGCCAGTTTGTATGGTTGAAATATGCGAACACTATAGGCTAAGGCATCAGTGCTATTCTCAACCTGCATTTTCTGTTATATTTTCAATAGAGCTATGTGTGAACCATGTATGATTTTGGTTAAGTGTTGAAAGAATATGAAATAATGAGAGGTTTTTACAAAGCAGAAGTGTTATAAGAAGAGCAGAGTATTTTTTTTTTTTTTTCAACAAGTCGGCCGTCTCCCACCGAGGCAGGGTGACCCAAAAAAGAAAGAAAATACTTTCATCATCATTCAACACTTTCACCACACTCACACATTATCACTGCTTTTGCAGAGGTCCTCAGAATACAACAGTTTAGAAGCATAGACATGTACGCATAAAGATACACAACATATCCCTCCAAACTGCCAATATCCCAAACCCCTCCTTTAAAGTGCAGGCATTGTACTTCCCATTTCCAGGACTCAAATCCGACTATATGAAAATAACCGGTTTCCCTGAATCCCTTCACTAAATATTACCCTGCTCACACTCCAACAGATCGTCAGGTCCCAAGTATCATTCGTCTCCATTCACTCCTATCTAACACGCTCATGCACGCTTGCTGGAAGTCCAAGCCCCTCGCCCACAAAACCTCCTTTACCCCCCTCTTTCCAACCCTTTCGAGGACGACCCCTACCCCTCCTTCCTTCCCCTATAGATTTATATGCTTTCCATGTCATTCTACTTTGATCCATTCTCTCTAAATGACCAAACCACCTCAACAACCCCTCTTCTGCCCTCTGACTAATTCTTTTATTAACTCCACACCTTCTCCTAATTTCCACACTCCGAATTTTCTGCATAATATTTACACCACACATTGCCCTTAGACAGGACATCTCCACTGCCTCCAACCGTCTCCTCGCTGCTGCATTTACCACCCAAGCTTCACATCCATATAAGAGTGTTGGTACTACTATACTTTCATACATTCCCTTCTTTGCCTCCATAGATAACGTTTTTTTGACTCCACATATACCTCAACGCACCACTCACCTTTTTTCCCTCATCAATTCTATGATTAACTTCATCCTTCATAAATCCATCTGCCGACACATCAACTCCCAAGTATCTGAAAACATTCACTTCTTCCATACTCCTCCTCCCCAATTTGATATCCTATTTTTCTTTATCTAAATCATTTGATACCCTCATCACCTTACTCTTTTCTATGTTCACTTTCAACTTTCTACCTTTACACACATTCTCAAACTCATCCACTAACCTTTGCAATTTTTCTTTAGAATCTCCCATAAGCACAGTATCATCAGCAAAAAGTAACTGTGTCATTTCCCATTTTGAATTTGATTCCCCATAATTTAATCCCACCCCTCTCCCGAACACCCTAGCATTTACTTCTTTTACAACCCCATCTATAAATATATTAAACAACCATGGTGACATTACACATCCCTGTCTAAGACCTACTTTTACCGGGAAGTAATCTCCCTCTCTTCTACACACCCTAACCTGAGCCTCACTATCCTCATAAAAGCTCTTTACAGCATTTAGTAACTTACCACCTATTCCATATACTTGCAACATCTGCCACATTGCTCCTCTATCCACTCTATCATATGCCTTTTCTAAATCCATAAATGCAATAAAAACTTCCCTACCTTTATCTAAATACTGTTCACATATATGCTTAAATGTAAACACTTGATCTACACATCCCCTACCCACTCTGAAGCCTCCCTGCTCATCCGCAATCCTACATTCTGTCTTACCTCTAATTCTTTCAATTATAACCCTACCGTATACTTTTCCTGGTATACTCAGTAAACTTATTCCTCTATAATTTTTACAATCTCTTTTGTCCCCTTTCCCTTTATATAAAGGGACTATACATGCTCTCCGCCAATCCCTAGGTACCTTCCCCTCTTTCATACATTTATTAAACAAAAGTACCAACCACTCCAACACTATATCCACCCCTGCTTTTAACATTTCTGTCATGATCCCATCAGTTCCAGCTGCTTTACCCCCTTTCATTCTATGTAATGCCTCACGTACCTCCACCACACTTAAATTCTGCTCTTCTTCACTCCTAAAAGATGGTATACCTCCCTGGCCAGTGCATGAAATTACCTCCTCCCTTTCTTCTTCAACATTTAAAACTTCCTCAAAATATTCTCGCCATCTACCTAATACCTCCCTCTCCCCATCTACTAACTCCTCTACTCTGTTTTTAACTGACAAATCCATACTTTCCCTAGGCTTTCTTAAGTTGTTTAACTCACTCCAAAATTTTTTCTTATTTTCATTAAAATTTCTTGACAGTGCCTCTCCCACTCTATCATCTGCTCTCCTTTTGCACTCTCTCACCACTCTCTTCACCTTTCTTTTACTCTCCATATACTCTGCTCTTCTTATAACACTTCTGCTTTGTAAAAACCTCTCATAAGCAGAGTATATGGAGAGTAAAAGAAAGGTAAAGAGAGTGGTGAGAGAGTGCAAAAGGAGAGCAGATGATAGAGTGGGAGAGGCACTGTCAAGAAATTTTAATGAAAATAAGAAAAAATTTTGGAGTGAGTTAAACAAGTTAAGAAAGCCTAGGGAAAGTATGGATTTGTCAGTTAAAAACAGAGTAGGGGAGTTAGTAGATGGGGAGAGGGAGGTATTAGGTAGATGGCAAGAATATTTTGAGGAACTTTTAAATGTTAAGGAAGAAAGAGAGGCAGAAAATTTCATGCACTGGTCAGGGAGGTATACCATCTTTTTAAGAGTGAAGAAGAGCAGAATGTAAGTGTGGGGGAGGTACGTGAGGCATTACGTAGAATGAAAGGGGGTAAAGCACTGGAACTGATGGGATCATGACAGAAATGTTAAAAATCAGGGGGGATATAGTGTTGAGTGGTTGGTACTTTTTTTTAATAAATGTATGAAAGAGGGGAAGGTACCTAGGGATTGGCGGAGAGCATATATAGTCCCTTTATATAAAGGGAAAGGGGACAAAAGAGACTGTAAAAATTATAGAGGAATAAGTTTACTGAGTATACCAGGAAAAGTGTACGGTAGGGTTATAATTGAAAGAATTAGAGGTAAGGAAGAATGTAGGATTGCGGATAAGCAAGGAGGTTTCAGAGTGGGTAGGGGATGTGTAGATCAAGTGTTTACATTGAAGCATGTATGTGAACAGTGTTTAGATAAAGGTAGGGAAGTTTTTATTGCATTTATGGATTTAGAAAAGGCATATGATAGAGTGGATGAAGGAGCAATGTGGCAGATGTTGCAAGTATATGGAATAGGTGGTAAGTTATTAAATGCTGTAAAGAGTTTTTATGAGGATAGTGAGGCTCAGGTTAGGGTGTGTAGAAGAGAGGGAGACTACTTCCCGGTAAAAGTAGGTCTTAGACAGGGATGTGTAATGTCACCATGGTTGTTTAATATATTTATAGATGGGGTTGTAAAGGAAGTAAATGCTAGGGTGTTCGAGAGGGGTGGGATTAAATTTTGGGGAATCAAATTCAAAATGGGAATTGACACAGTTACTTTTTGCTGATGATACTGTGCTTATGGGAGATTATAAAGAAAAATTGCAAAGGTTAGTGGATGAGTTTGGGAATGTGTGTAAAGGTAGAAAGTTGAAAGTGAACATAGAAAAGAGTAAGGTGATGAGGGTATCAAATGATTTAGATAAAGAAAAATTGGATATCAAATTGGGGAGGAGGAGTATGGAAGAAGTGAATGTTTTCAGATACTTGGGAGTTGACGTGTCGGCGGATGGATTTATGAAGGATGAGGCTAATCATAGAATTGATGAGGGAAAAAAGGTGAGTGGTGCGTTGAGGTATATGTGGAGTCAAAAATGTTATCTATGGAGGCAAAGAAGGGAATGTATGAAAGTATAGTAGTACCAACATTCTTATATGGGTGTGAAGCTTGGGTGGTAAATGCAGCAGCGAGGAGACGGTTGGAGGCAGTGGAGATGTCCTGTTTAAGGGCAGTGTGTGGTGTAAATATTATGCAGAAAATTCGGAGTGTGGAAATTAGGTAAAGGTGTGGAGTTAATAAAAGTATTAGTCAGAGGGCAGAAGAGGGGTTGTTGAGGTGGTTTGGTCATTTAGAGAGAATGGATCAAAGTAGAATGACATGGAAAGCATATAAATCTATAGGGGAAGGAAGGCGGGGTAGGGGTCGTCCTCGAAAGGGTTGGAGGGAGAGGGTAAAGGAGGTTTTGTGGGCAAGGGGCTTGGACTTCCAGCAAGCGTGGATGAGCGTGTTAGATAGGAGTGAATGGAGACGAATTGTACTTGGGACCTGACGATCTGTTGGAGTGTGAGCAGGGTAATATTTAGTGAAGGGATTCAGGGAAACTGGTTATTTTCATATAGTCGGACTTGAGTCCTGGAAATGGGAAGTACAATGCCTGCACCTTAAAGGAGGGGTTTGGGATATTGGCATTTTGGAGGGATATGTTGTGTATCTTTATATGTGTATGCTTCTAAACTGTTGTATTCTGAGCACCTCTGCAAAAACAGTGATAATGTGTGAGTGTGGTGAAAGTGTTGAATGATGATGAAAGTATTTTCTTTTTGGGGATTTTCTTTCTTTTTTGGGTCACCCTGCCTCGGTGGGAGACGGCCGACTTGTTGAAAAAAAAAAAAAAGTATTCAGAATACTGAGAAGGAATTGACAACATCAGGAAGAATATCATAATTTTTTTTTTAATTTTTGGAAAAAAGCACTTAGAGTGCCAAATTCATTTTAGGCTTTAAGGCACATTTTAGTAGAAATGGCAGAAAAAGACATGGACAGGCAGGGAAAACTAATGTCAATGTAGGATACCACATAGTGAGGGGGGAGCAAAGCAACACATTTGGCTCAAGACAATTAGTTATCTTGGTAATGCTGAAATTCTATGCCGAGTCTTTTGTTACGACAAGGTCCTAGATGCACTAGAAGACAAAAAGAATGCATATGTAATATATACAGACTTTGCAAAAGCCTTTGACAAGTGTGACCATGGCATAATAGCGCACAAAATGCGTGCTAAAGGAATAACAGGAAAAGTTGGTAGATGGATCTATAATTTCCTCACAAACAGAACACAAAGAGTAATAGTCAATAGAGTAAAGTCTGAGGTGGCTACGGTGAAAAGCTCTGTTCCACAAGGCACAGTACTCACTCCCATCTTGTTTCTCATCCTCATATCTGACATAGACAAGGATGTCAGCCACAGCACCGTGTCTTCCTTTGCAGATGACACCCGAATCTGCATGACAGTGTCTTCCATTGCAGACACTGCAAGGCTCCAGGCGGACATCAACCAAATCTTTCAGTGGGCTGCAGAAAACAATATGAAGTTCAACGATGAGAAATTTAAATTACTCTGATATGGTAAACATGAGGAAATTAAAACTTCATCAGAGTACAAAACAAATTTCGGCCACCTGGGAGTGATCATTTTGGAGGATCTCACCTTCAAGGACCATAACATTGTATCAATCGCATCTGCTAGAAAAATGACAGGATGGATAATGAGAACCTTCAAAACTAGGGATGCCAAGCCCATAATGACACTCTTCAGGTCGCTTGTTCTATCTAGGCTGGAATATTGCTGCACACTAACAGCACCTTTCAAGGCAGGTGAAATTGCTGACCTAGAAAATGTACAGAGAACCTTCACGGCACGCATAACGTAGATAAAACACCTCAATTACTGGGAGCGCTTGAGGTTCCTGAACCTGTACTCCCTGGAATGCAGGTGGGAGAGATACATGAGTATATACACCTGGAAAATCCTAGAGGGACTAGTACTGAACTTGCACACGAAAATCACTCACAACGAAAGCAAAAGACTCGGCAGACAATGCAACATCCCCACAATGAAAAGCAGGGGTGTCACTAGCACGATAAAGAGACAATACAATAAGTGTCAGGGGCCCGAGACTGTTCAACTGCCTCCCAGCATACCTTATTAAGGGGGATTACCAATAGACCCCTGGCTGTCTTCAAGCAGGCACTGGACAAGCACCTAAAGTTGGTACCTGACGAGCCGGGCTGTGGCTCGTACGTTGGATTGCATGCAGCCAGCAGTAACAGCCTGGTTGATCAGGCTCTGATCCACCAGGAAGCCTGGTCACAGACCGGGCCGCGGGGGCGTTGACTCCCGGAACTCTCTCCAGGTAAACTCCAGGTAATGGCACTGTTGTATATTAGCTATTGTGAAAAGGTTTCATTAATCTGTTTTTACAGTTGAATTAGGGTAGTCATTGTTTTCAAGTAATACCTCAACAACACCTTGATAAAAATACTTCAACTAGTAATATTTTAGATCTTAATATGCTCCAGGTATCTTCATATTTCAGTGTAACCTTTTTTTTTTGTTTCTAGGTATTTTAGCAATATCAAAAGAATATTCTTTCAGAATGAACTATAACTAATATTTATTATTTGTCAATATAACTACATTAATTTTAGCATTTAAGTACATACCATATTTATGCATGTTAAAGTATAATTGTTTTTATTCTTTCTCAAGGTGAGGTTTTATCACAAAGGAAATATACTATCAGAAGACACTGATCCTCGTTATAGTATATACATTCCTGATACCAGCCTGCAAGATGTTACACATGTGTTGAAGGTAGCATCAGCAAGAGTTGAAGATGAGGGCACATACCATTGTTACCTGGATGTTTACAACACTCGCACTGTGGAGGTTGCTCTTAAGCGTAAGACATCAAGTTAATGTTGGATTTCCTCATTTTCTGGCGTTCTCTTTTTTCCATTGATCCTCAGTATTTCCTTAGTTTATTTAATAATTATTGTTCATTTTGTTTTTGTCAATAATTTTTTGTTCCCTTTTTATTTGCTTCTTTGTCTTGCTGTTTTTCTTCCAAATCTCTTCTTTATGCTTCTTGTCTCCTTCTTTTCCTCATCTTCCTTCTTGTATTTCCCCTCATCCTTTTCCTTGCCTTTCTCCTCCCAACTTCACCTCTAATTCCTATTTTTTTTCTCTCTCTCTTCTATGTCTTCTTCATCTTCCTTGCTCCATTCCCCTCTTCCTTCTTTTTCTCTACTCCTCTTTTTACTTCTCAACTCCACTCCTCTTCATCATTCTCTTATAACTTACACTTAGTTTTTCCTTCTTTACTGGTTTTTCCCTTTTTCTCTTATGTGTTTTAGTTTTCTCCTCCTTTCTTCTTCTCCACTTTCCTAACCCTCTACCACACTTTTCTGATTTTCTCTCTGTTGGTAGTATTTTCTTTGTCAGGAAAAATTCTCTTGATGCAGCTCATAGTCATATGATGACCCTCTCATTGGTTCAGTAAGTACTAACATTATTATATATTATAGCATGCCTGAAGAGCTATGGTTGGTTTTAGGTGTGCGCTACCGTCCACAGGATGGATATGGGGTGCACAATAAACTAGCCACTTCGGTGGCAAAATCTAATCTTGTTCCCATATTGAACCTCCCTACTGCTGCTAACTCACTATGCCATCTTTTGTCTTTTTTTTTTTTTTTAACACATCAGTCGTCTCCCACCGAGGCAGGGTAACCCAAAAAGAAAGAAAATCCCCCAAAAAGAAAATACTTTCATTATCATTCAACACTTTCACCTCATTCAAACATAATCACTGTCTTTGCAGAGGCGCTCAGATACGACAGTTCAGAAATCCCTCCAAACTTCCAATGTCCCAAATCCCTGCTTTAAAGTGCAGGCATTGTACTTTGCATTTCCAGGACTCAAGTCCAGCTAACTGGTTTCCCTGAATCATTTCACAAAATATTACCCTGCTCACACTCTCACAGTTCGTCAGGTCCCAAAAACCATTCATCTCCATTCACTTTTATCTAATATGCTCACACATGCTTGCTGGAAGTCCAAGCCCCTCACCCACAAATCCTCCTTTACTCCCTCCTTCCAGCCTTTTCGAGGACGACTCCTAGATTTATACACTCTCCAAGTCATTCTACTTTGATCCATTCTCTCTAAATTACCAAACCACCTCAACAACTCCTCTTCAGCCCTCTGACTAATACCTTTAGTAACTCCACACGTCCTCCTAATTTCCACACACTGAATTCTCTGCATAATATTTACACCACACATTACCCTTAGACAGGACATCTCCACTGCCTCCAGCTACCTCCTCGCTGCAGCATTTGCAACCCAAGCTTCACACCCATGTAAGAGTGTTGGTACCACTATATGTTTGTGCATTCCCTTCTTTGCCTCCATGGATAATGTTTTTTTGTCTCCACAGATACCTCAACGCACTACTCACTTTTTTCTTTCGTCAATTCTATGGTTAACCTCATCCTTCATCAACCCATCCACTGACAAGTCAACTCCCAAATATCTGAAAACATTCACTTCTTTCATACTCCCTCTCTCCAATGTGATATCCAATTTTTGTTTATCTAAATCATTTGATGCCCTCATCACCTTACTCTCTTCTATGTTCACTTTCAACTTTCTGCCTTTACACACCCTCCCAAACTCGTCCGCTAACCTTTGCAACTTTTCTTTAGAATCTCCCATAAGCATAGTATCATCAGCAAAGAGTAGCTGTGTCAACTCCCATTTTGTATTTGATTCCCCATAATTTAATCTCACCCCTCTCCCCAGTACCCTAGCATTTACTTCTTTTACAACCCCATCTATAAATATATTAAACAACCATGGTGACATTACACATCCCTGTCTAAGACCTACTTTTACTGGGAAGTAATCTCCCTCTCTTATACACACCCTAACCTGAGTCTCACTATCCTCATAAAAACTCTTTACAGCATTTAGTAACTTACTACCTATTCCATATACTTGCAATATCTGCCACATTGCTCCCCTATCCACTTTATCATATACCTTTTCTAAATCCATAAATGCAATAAAAACTTCCCTACCTTTATCTAAATGCTGTTCACATATATGCTTCAATGTAAACACTTGATCTTCACATCCCCTACCCACTCCAAAGCCTCTTTGCTCATCTGCAATCCTACTCTCTGTCTTACCTCTAATTCTTTCGAAAATAACCCTACTGTACACTTTTCCTGGTACACTCAGTAAACTTATTCCCCTATAATTTTTACAGTTTCTTTTGTCCCCCTTCCCTTTATATAAAGGAACTATACATGCTCTCTGCCACTCAATAGGTACCTTCCCCTCTTTCATACATTTATTAAACAAAAATACCAACCACTCCAACACTATATCCCCCTTGCTTTTAATATTTCTGTCATGATCCCATCAGTACCAGCTGCTTTACCCCCTTTCATTCTATGTAATGCATGCATCATGTACCTCCCCCACACTCACATCCTGCTCTTCTTCACTCCTAAAAGATGTTATACCTCCCTGGTCAATGCATGAAATTACCGCCTCCCTTTCTTCATCGACATTTAAAAGTTCCGCAAAATATTCCCGCCATCTACTCAATACTTCCATCTCCCCATCTACTAATTCTCCTACTCTGTTTTTAACTGACAAATCCATTCATTCCCTAGGCTTTCTTAACTTGTTTATCTCACTCCAAAATTTTTTCCTATTTTCATCAAAATTTCTTGACAGTGCCCCTCCCACTTTATCATATGCTCTCTTTTTTGCACTCTCTCACCACTCTCTTCACCTTTCTTTTACTCTCCATATACTCTGCTCTTCTTATAATACTTCTTTGTAAGAACCTCTCATAAGCTACCTTTTTCTCTTTTATCACACTCTTTGCATCATCATTCTACTAACCACTCCTCTTTCTTCCTGCACCCACCCTCCTATAACCACAAACTTTTGCCCCACATTGTAATACTGCATTTTTAAAACTATTCTAACTCTCTTCAACCCCCCCCCCCCCACTACTTATACTTTCACCAGCCCACCTTTCTGCCTATAGTTGCTTATATCTTACTCTAACTTCCTCCTCCCTTAGTGTATGCATTTTCACCTTTCTTACTTGCTGTTGCCATTTTCCTTTTGCCCCATCTACCTTTTACTCTAACTGTAGCTACAACTAAATAATGATCAAATATATCATTTGCCCCTCTATAAACATGTACATCCTGAAGTTTACCCATCAACCTTTTATCCACCAATACATAATCTAACAAACTACTTTCATTACGTGCTATATTATACCTTGTATACTTGTTTATCCTCTTTTTCATAAAGTATGTATTACTTATTACCAAACCTCTTTCTACACATAGCTCAATTAAAGACTCCCCATTTTCATTTACCCCTGGCACCCCAAATTTACCTACTGCTCCCTCCACAACATTTTTACCCACTTTAGCATTGAGATCCCCAACCACAAGTACTCTCACACTTGGTTCAAAAACCCCCTCGCACTCACTCATCATTTCCCAAAATCTCTCTCTCTTCTCCGGGTGCATAAACACTTACTATATCCCACTGTTCACATCCAACCTTTATTTTACTCTACATAATCCTTGAATTTATACATTTATATTCCTTCTTTTCCTGCCATAACTTATCCTTCAACATTATTGTTACTCCTTCTTTAGCTCTAACTCTATTTGAAACCTTTGACTTAATCCCACTTATTTCTCCCCACAGAAACTCTCCCACCCCCTTCAGCTTTGTTTCACTTAAAGCCAGGACATCCAGCTTCTTCTCATTCATAACATCCACAATCATCTCTTTCTTATCATTCACACAACATCCATGCACATTCAAACATCCCACTTGGACAGTTTTCTTCTTTTCCTTTTTAGTAGGCTCTACGGGAAAAGAGGTTACTAGCCTATTGTTCCCGGCATTTAAGTTGACTTTAACAACACGCATTGCTTATGGAGGAAAGATTCTTATTCCACTTCCCCATGGATATGAAGGGAAAAGCAACAAGAGCAAGAAGTATTAAGATAAAATCAAAGAAAACTCAGATGAGTGTGTATACATAAACATGTACATGTATATGTAGTGTGACCTAAGTGTAAGTAGAAGTAGCAAGACATACCTGAAATCTTGTATGTTTATGAGACAGAAGAAAAGACACCAGCAATCCTACCATCATGTAAAACAAATACAGGCTTCCTTTTTACACTCACTTGGTAGGATGGTAGTACCTTCCCAAATGATTGCTGCCTACCAACCTACTACCTTTGTTTCTCTCTGATGGGGGAGTCCTAATTTCTTTCAGTAGCTGAGCTCCAACTTTCCCAGCTGTCAAGGCACCAGTCAAAAACCTCATCTAGACTGTTCGCATCTCTGCTTGTCTGTTTTCTAATATTGAAAATTCCAAGGCTTTTGATAGGCATTTTGCAGTCGTTCTACAGGACTGTACATATTACTAAAATCTGTGGAAGACCATGTGCTTTTTAAGACTGATTGAAGAGGATAGTCATAGGTTTTGCTTTGATGTTAGACCTTATCATAACAGAGCTGTTTGTCCTGGCTTCATAAATATGGTGGTTTATCATTTTTATATACTACAAAGGTTGTTGATTCATACTGCAAAATTATATATTACTATTTTTTGTTGTAATTTACATTTATTACAGGTCCTGTGCAAGAAGTACTGGAAGTTTCAGCTACAGCAGCTATATTGGGACGTACTTTCAATGTATCCTGCAGCGTTAGGAGCTGGGATGAACCAGTAAGAAAAAAGTTTAATCTACTTCTCGCTGCTTAGTTTTAGCGCTATATAAATCACATCATACACCCAGCCATTTGAAACAGAGGGCTAATAAATATTATAACTAGAAGGATTGCTGGTTTTTCTTCTGTAAAATGGCATGTAAATCATATAAATTTCTGTTTACATTTGGTATACACTTTTCTTTCTTTTGAGTTTCTTAATAATTCTTACTTCTATAATGTTTTCTTTCCAATTTCTTAGGCCTTGAGACCTGGGTGTGACAGTGATCTTTAGAATCATTAACAGACATGCCAGATATGTAGTGATTAGATTCCTATCTCTTTGCTTTATGTATGAATGATAGTCTTTATAAGGAATTTCATGTGTATCAAGGGTAGTTATTTTTTAAATAATTTGTTAAACAATTATATAGTGAAACTATTTTATTAACAAATGGAGTTACAATTTTTATGTGAGCAGATATTACTTTTTTTGCATTCTTTACATTCTTAACTGTTATTGTATTCAATCTACTTTTAGTTAAAACTAATAAATTAATCTTCTTAGGTATCTTTCTATTGTATAAGTAAATTATGCATAAATGCTTATACATAGTTTTATATTTTTTTGTGGATATGTTTAAACCTTGTAACCCCTGTAGGTAACTTTCTTATTCAATGATGTCGTGGTGGAGCCTGATAATGACTGGCGGTACAAAGTGTTTGTGCTTCCATCTGATACCAACAGTCAGGAAGTGACACATGTCCTCAGTGTGTCTTCTGCAACACTTGAAGATAGTGGCTCATATAAGTGCTACACCACACCTGCTACATCTGCATCCACCTATGTAACAATTTGGAGTAAGCAAATTAATTATAACTTATCAAAGGATTCTTTTTTAAAGTTTAAAGTTAACACTGATTCATTTCCTTTGGTGAACAGAAGATTAGTGGCACTAAGTAAATTGTTAATCATTACCTTACATCTTTTGCAGTACACTAATGTATGCAGGTAGTATATATGCCTCTTTTTACTCCCATTCTTCTCCTCTCAAACCGAAATAATCCATTATTCTTCACATTATGAATGTATGCAACATTGATTTTTTTGTCAAATCACATACTTGAGGCTGTTTATTTACTTATGTTTAGATAAGACAATAAGATTATCAACTTAGATGGAAATTAGGATTGTTTGCCCCCAAAGTTTTTCTGTAAATCTTAGGTTTTGGGTTTAATTTGATACAGTTTATGCTTTTGTATATCCATTCTTAACTAACCTCACTGTGCAGTGAACACATTCCACAAAACATAACCTAACTTACGGCAGCATTACTATAACCTTACAGACGATTAAAAATGAAATTCTAATTATATAATTGCATGTGTCCACAAATATAACTTTATCATGTTTGAATCTTATCCAAAATTTTAGTGTGGTGAGTACATAGGAAGAAGTAAAGAATAGTGTGACACCTCAGCTATGTAAATTAGTAGTGACACTAAGGACTACAGAACTATCATCCTTCTCCTTTTAATGTCATTTACAAAAGTAGAAGTATTTAATGAATCTGAAGGACTAAATTTTTAATTTTCCTTGTGAATTAACACACCTGATATAATGACATACAATTTGCTTTCATTATGTTATACAATTGTTTGATGTGTTATTTATGCAGATGTTGCTGACGTGACCCTTGGACTTCAGTTTCAAGATCAGCCTAACTGGAAGGATTCACCAGTACCCATAAACTGTGAAGTGCGAGGTGTTGACCCAAATACAGTGGTAAGTTATTATAGAAAAATATCTATCATGTATTACTAGCCAAATGATGATTTTCCCCCCAAAAAAATTTGCCAAAATTCTCCCCCCCCACCCCATTGAGGAAGAGTGACCCCAAAAAAAAAGCATATTCACCATCATTCACACTTGCCAGAGGTGTGTAGATATAACAGTTCATCTGTCCCTCCAAACAGCAAATATCCCAAATCCTTCCTTTAGAGTGCAGGCATTAAACTTCCCACCTCCAGGACTCAGGTCTGACTAATCGGTTTCCCTGAATCCCTTCACAAAATGTTACCTTGCTCACACTCCAACAGCTCATCAGGCCCCAAAAACCATTCACCTCCACTCACCCCTATCTACCATGCTCACATATGCCTGCTCTATGTCCAAGTCCCTTGCACACAAAACCTCCTTTACTCCCTCCCTCCATCCATTCCTAGGATGACCCCTACCTAGCCTACCCTCTACTACAGATTTATACACCCCCTCCAAGTTCCATCATCTTTACAGATTATTGTTACTTTTTTTTTGTGATCTATAACTATTATTGTAAGGATCAAAAAATCATTACTCCTCGAAATATAAGGTCTGTATACATTTTTTCTCCCACACAGACAATCCTCTTTTCCCATTATGACAATCCACAAGTATCCATTCAGAATCGTACAAAGATGTCTACTTCCAATCATCTTGTAAATATTGCCATTGGTCAAGGAGAGGAGGACTCTGTACCTCTCACTGTATTCACTCTGGGCTTCTACTCACTCACAAAAGACCTTGAGGGTCTTTGGTCTTGTGAAGTGTTACATCCAAGTGGGGAGTCTCTTGGTAGTGACACACTTTTTCTGGAAATTGAAGGTAAGTTCAAATTTCTCTAGTTTATAACCATTTGGCACTTCCTTTTGATTATAACAATAATAATACTGATGATAATCATAATAATAATAATAATAATAACAATAAAATAATAATAATAATAATAATAATAATAATAATAATAATAATAATAATAATATAGTTTATACATAGTAGTAGGTTCGTAGACAGCAGCCACCCAGGGAAGTACTACCGTACTGCCTGGGTGTAACTGTTTTGCATGATGGTAGGATTGCTGGTTTCTTTTTCTGTCTCATAAACACGCTAGATAACAGGGATATCTTGCTACTCCTACTTACACTTTGGTCACACTTCACAGACACGCACATGCATATATATATATACATACATCTAGGTTTTTCTCCTTTTTCTAAATAGCTCTTGTTCTTCTTTATTTCTTCTATTGTCCATGGGGAAGTGGAAAAGAATCTTTCCTCCGTAAGCCATGCGTGTCGTATGAGGCGACTAAAATTCCGGGAGCAATGGGCTAGTAACCCCTTCTCCTGTAGACATTTACTAAAAAAGAGAAGAAGAAGAAAAACTTTATAAAACTGGGATGCTTGAATGTGCATGGATGTAGTGCGGATGACAAGAAACAGATGATTGCTGATGTTATGAATGAAAAGAAGTTGGATGTCCTGGCCCTAAGCGAAACAAAGCTGAAGGGGGTAGGGGAGTTTCGGTGGGGGGAAATAAATGGAATTAAATCTGGAGTATCTGAGAGAGTTAGAGCAAAGGAAGGGGTAGCAGTAATGTTGAAGGATCAGTAATGGAAGGAGAAAAGAGAATATGAATGTAAATTCAAGAATTATGTGGATTAAAGTAAAGGTTGGATGCGAAAAGTGGGTCATAATAAGCGTGTATGCACCTGGAGAAGAGAGGAATGTAGAGGAGAGAGAGAGATTTTGGGAGATGTTAAGTGAATGTATAGGAGCCTTTGAACCAAGTGAGAGAGTAATTGTGGTAGGGGACCTGAACGCTAAAGTAGGAGAAACTTTTAGAGAGGGTGTGGTAGGTAAGTTTGGGGTGCCAGGTGTAAATGATAATGGGAGCCCTTTGATTGAACTTTGTATAGAAAGGGGTTTAGTTATAGGTAATACATATTTTAAGAAAAAGAGGATAAATAAGAATACAAGATATGATGTAGGGCGAAATGACAGTAGTTTGTTGGATTATGTATTGGTAGATAAAAAAAGACTGTTGAGTAGACTTCAGGATGTACATGTTTATAGAGAGGCCACAGATACATCAGATCACTTTCTAGTTGTAGCTACACTGAGAGTAAAAGGTAGATGGGATACAAGGAGAATAGAAGCATCAGGGAAGAGAGAGGTGAAGGTTTATAAACTAAAAGAGGAGGCAGTTAGGGTAAGATATAAACAGCTATTGGAGGATAAATGGGCTAATGAGAGCATAGGCAATGGGGTCGAAGAGGTATGGGGTAGGTTTAAAAATGTAATGTTAGAGTGTTCAGCAGAAGTTTGTGGTTACAGGAAAGTGGGTGTGGGAGGGAAGAGGAGCGATTGGTGGAATGATGATGTAAAGAGAGCAGTAAGGGAGAAAAAGTTAGCATATGAGAAGTTTTTACAAAGTAGAAGTGATGCAAGGAGAGAAGAGTATATGGAGAAAAAGAGAGAGGTTAAGAGATTGGTGAAGCAATGTAAAAAGAGAGCAAATGAGAGAGTGGGTGAGATGTTATCAACAAATTTTGTTGAAAATAAGAAAAAGTTTTGGAGTGAGATTAACAAGTTAAGGAAGCCTAGAGAACAAATGGATTTATCAGTTAAAAATAGGAGAGGAGAGTTATTAAATGGAGAGTTAGAGGTATTGGGAAGATGGAGGGAATATTTTGAGGAATTGTTAAATGTTGATGAAGATAGGGAAGCTGTGATTTCGTGTATAGGGCAAGGAGGAATAACATCTTGTAGGAGTGAGGAAGAGCCAGTTGTGAGTGTGGGGGAAGTTCGTGAGGCAGTAGGTAAAATGAAAGGAGGTAAGGCTGCCGGGATTGATGGGATAAAGATAGAAATGTTAAAAGCAGGTGGGGATATAGTTTTGGAGTGGTTGGTGCAATTATTTAATAAATGTATGGAAGAGGGTAAGGTACCTAGGGATTGGCAGAGAGCATGCATAATTCCTTTGTATAAAGGCAAAGGGGACAAAAGAGAGTGCAAAAATTATAGGGGGATAAGTCTGTTGAGTATACCTGGTAAAGTGTATGGTAGAGTTATTATTGAAAGAATTAAGAGTAAGACGGAGAATAGGATAGCAGATGAACAAGGAGGCTTTAGGAAAGGTAGGGGTGTGTGGACCAGGTGTTTACAGTGAAACATATAAGTGAACAGTATTTAGATAAGGCTAAAGAGGTCTTTGTGGCATTTATGGATTTGGAAAATGCTTATGACAGGGTGGATAGGGGGGCAATGTGGCAGATGTTGCAGGTGTATGGTATAGGAGGTAGGTTACTGAAAGCAGTGAAGAGTTTTTACAAGGATAGTGAGGCTCAAGTTAGAGTATGTAGGAAAGAGGGAAATTATTTCCCAGTAAAAGTAGGCCTTAGACAAGGATGTGTGATGTCACCGTGGTTGTTTAATATATTTATAGATGGGGTTGTAAGAGAAGTAAATGCGAGGGTCTTGGCAAGAGGCGTGGACTTAAAAGATAAAGAATCACGCATAAAGTGGGAGTTGTCACAGTTGCTCTTTGCTGATGACACTGTGCTCTTGGGAGATTCTGAAGAGAAGTTGCAGAGATTGGTGGATGAATTTGGTAGGGTATGCAAAAGAAAATTAAAAGTGAATACAGGAAAGAGTAAGGTTATGAGGATAACAAAAAGATTAGATGATGAAAGATTGGATATCAGATTGGAGGGAGAGAGTATGGAGGAGGTGAATGTATTCAGATATTTGGGAGTGGACGTGTCAGTGGATGGGTCTATGAAAGATGAGGTGAATCATAGAATTGATGAGGGGAAAAGGGTGAGTGGTGCACTTAGGAGTCTGTGGAGACAAAGATCTTTGTCCTTGGAGGCAAAGAGGGGAATTTATGAGAGTATAGTTTTACCAATGCTCTTATATGGGTGTGAAGCATGGGTGATGAATGTTGCAGCGAGGAGAAGGCTGGAGGCAGTGGAGATGTCATGTCTGAGGGCAATGTGTGATGTGAATATAATGCAGAGAATTCGTAGTTTGGAAGTTAGGAGGAGGTGCGGGATTACCAAAACTGTTGTCCAGAGGGCTGAGGAAGTGATGTTGAGGTGGTTCGGACATGTAGAGAGAATGGAGCGAAACTGAATGACTTCAAGAGTGTATCAGTCTGTAGTGGAAGGAAGGCGGGGTAGGGGTCGGCCTAGGAAAGGTTGGAGGGAGGGGGTAAAGGAGGTTTTGTATGCGAGGGGCTTGGACTTCCAGCAGGCATGCGTGAGCGTGTTTGATAGGAGTGAATGGAGATAAATGGTTTTTAATACTTGACGTGCTGTTGGAGTGTGAGCAAAGTAACATTTATGAAGGGGTTCAGGGAAACCGGCAGGCTGGACTTGAGTCCTGGAGATGGGAAGTACAGTGCCTGCACTCTGAAGGAGGGGTGTTAATGTTGCAGTTTAAAAACTGTAGTGTAAAGCACCCTTCTGGCAAGACAGTGATGGAGTGAATGACGGTGAAAGTTTTTCTTTTTCGGGCCACCCTGCCTTGGTGGTATTTATAGTACAATGTAGTATTAAGTTACGTATGAACTTTGGGTATCTAAAATTTTGAAGTGTTAAGATTTAGATAATTGGGAGATCTTTTGGCAAATTTAAGTATTGAGTATTGAATATTTAGTTTAGGGTGAGTAGATAGTTTTTGAGAAGTCTTAAATTGATGTGCAGATTGGGTTACTTTAGTATTTACTGGTAATGAATTCCAAATTTTGGGACCCTTTATGTGCATAGAGTTCTTACACAGTGTGATGTGGACACGGGGTACATCAAAAAGTGACCTGTGTCTTGTGTTATGGTCGTGGTCCTGTTAAGGTTGGTGAGGAGAAGTCTGAGTGAAGGGTTTATGTTTGAGTGTAGTGTTCTATGTATGTAGTAGGCACATGAATAAGATGGATGTTCTTTACGGTGAGTGGTTTTAGACTTGAATATTGGTGGAGTATGCTGTCTGGAGTGGGTATTTGTTATCATTCTGACTGCAGCCTTTTGCTGGGTTATTAGTGGTCTTAGGTGATTAATGTTGTTGATCCTCATGCACAAATTCCATATGTGAGATAAAGGTAGATGAGTGAGTGATACAGTGCAAGGAGAGCTGTTAATAATTTTTTTTGCAAGTTTAAGAAGCTAAGAGCTATTATACTTCAGTGCATTTCAAAGCCTGTTTCTAGTTTTAGTATGATATCCCCTAGTATGTAACCCACAGCAGTTACTGCTAGGTTAGTGAGTGGAGACAAATGGTGTAAGGGGACTATGTATTTTTTTGCATGTACAATAAAACATCAGTGCATTTTATAAAACCAGTGGTAAAAAATATAATTTAAAATTCTTCATAGATTATAAAAAATGAAAGTTTTACAGATAATTAAGGTGTGTGGAAGAATGCTGGATAATAAAATCTGAGAGGTCTCACATTTCTTGTTGGTTTCACACCAGAACCAGCAGCTGAGTTCAGATGTAGTAATTTGAGAGAGATTGTGGGCTACTCTCAGGTGTTTATTGCAAGATGAACAACAACAGCATATGTAAGGAAGTTACCCATACATCTTGCCTCATATTGCTAAGACTGCCAAATAAATGTCAATACTACTTGGCCATACCTATCAAGGCACAGTGATTCTTTGAACACAAATATCCCAATGTGTTAGGGCAACCAGTTAACTGAGTTACATGAATCTTTGTGTTACATGATATTGCTTGAGTTAACAAAAGAGCATTTGCCTAAAAGAATGAGAGTTCCATATGTTTGGGAATGCATGCAGTGTTGAGAATTTTTTTGGCCTGTTTATGAATGTACAGTTTTTGCTCAGCATCTGTCTCAGAGATCCTCTGCATTGCATCTATGCCAAAAACATTTGTAATGCAGTTTAGTTTGTAAATCTCACAACTATATAGATAATGAATTTCCAGTCTCAATGCTACAGTATTTTGAGTACCCACATATCATTTGGAAACTATTTTCAACAAGATTTTAGTGAACTGATGTTAGATTCCTAAATGGCTGTCAGAACCCTAAGACAGAGAACATAAGAGTTTCAAGCCAGAATACATCTGGTTTCAAGCCAGAACCAGAAGCTGAGATCTAATATAGTGGCTCACAAGAGTGTGTTGACCATCCTCAGAGACTTATTGCTAGAGGAATAGCAACAGCAGCAGTAAAGAGAATTGCCCACACATCTTGCTTTGTTGTATTAACACTACCAAATAAAGGGTGAACAACTTGATCTCGTCAATCAAGGCATAGAGATTTCTCAGAACATAAATATCATTTATATATAAAAGAATATAAAAATGGAGGAACACTGCAGAAGGCATACTGGCTTGCAAGACCCATTGGAAAATGAGGCAAGCTTCATGTTCCAACTATTTTGATAGTTGTTGTATATAATTAGAGCATCTTGTTTGATTCAAGAATTCAAGGCAATTATAAAATTGCCCAATAAATTTAGGGACATTCCTATTTTTAATAAACACATATTCTGAACTCAGTACAGTACTCTTATAACATCCTGAAGTCAGGATCTCTCCATCACACTTTTTTCTCATTTACAATTTTCTCACTATTATCAGTTACCAACATGAACAATAACTGTAGAATTGCAGTCTATATAGACTCATCATTGAAGAAGGCATAGGGATGTGTAACTATAGCACAGTTTAATATACTGAACATTCTCTCCCACTATAATTTCTATATAATTAAAAGCATCTTATGTGCGATTAAAGTTTTGGAAAACATTAATTAGGCTATGAGGAAGTGTAAAGAAGGAGAATGATGAATGTAGAGATGCAGTGAAGGAAGATACAGTGGAACCTCAAATTTCGAACTTAATCCGTTCCAGGAGCTAGTTCTAAATTCGAAAAGTCTGAAATTCGAAGCAATATTTCCCATAAGAAATAATGGAAATACAATTAATCCATTCCAGAAACCCAAAAATATTCACAAAAAAAATACATTTTATAGAGATTAATTACAGTTTTACATACACACAACAAATGCTATAGTCTTTAATTATATATAGTAATATAAAATAACATTTTTACTTACCTTTATTGAAGATTGATGATGGCATCTGGAAGATAGGGAGGAGGAGAGAGGGAGTTGGGGTTATTGTTTGGAAGGAGAATCCCCCTCCATGAGGACTTCCGGTATCAAAGCCCTCTCTGGGGTTGCTTCCCTTCTCTGTATTTTAATGCCACTAGGACCAGCTTGAGAGTCATTGGACCCCAGTCTCACAAAATAACTGTCTACAGTCCTCTGTTTCTGTCTCACAAAATAACTATCCACAGTCGTCTGTTTCTGTCTCACAAAATAACTGTCCACAATCGTCTGTTTGTCTCACAAAATAACTCCACAGTTGTCTGTTTCTGTCTCACAAAATAACTGTCCACAGTCGTCTGTTTCTGTCTCACAAAATAACTGTCCACAATCGTCTGTTTGTCTCACAAAATAACTCCACAGTTGTCTGTTTCTGTCTCACAAAATAACTCCACAGTCGTCTGTTTCTGTCTCACAAAATAACTGTCCACAATTGTCTGTTTGTCTCACAAAATAACTCCACAGTTGTCTGTTTCTGTCTCACAAAATAACTCCACAGTCGTCTGTTTCTGTCTCACAAAATAACTGTCCACAGTTGTCTGTTTCTGTCTCACAAAATAACTGTCCACAGTCATCTGTTTCTGTCTCACAAAATAACTGTCCACAGTCGTCTGTTTCTGTCTCACAAAATAACTGTCCACAGTCCTCTGTACATCCTGGCAAGCTCAACAAGTCTCACTCCAATCTCATACTTCTGTATTATTTCCTTCTTCACATCTTTGGTGTTTCTCACTTTCTTTACCATAGGGGTACCGCTAGCAAGTTTCTTTGGGCCCATGGCAGCTTATTTCACAGCCCCACAAGCACTAAACACAATTAAATAATCGTAAAATGTGTGAATGAGATTGCAGGTTAGTGTTCACTCAAGCATAAACAAAGCTAGACTGCTGACGGCGCCTGCGCAGGACGTGGACAAAGCGAGCCAGCGGACAGGTCCCATACCCGGCGGTCCGAAAATAGGGGCGTGTTCGATAATAGGGACACAGTTTGTCCGAAAAAATGGTCTTGTTTTCGAAACGTTCGATATGTGATATGTTCGATTTTTGAGGTTCCACTGTACTGGCTTGTCTTGGGGTCCCTTAGGCACCTATGCTGGCTCGCACTGTGTCTACAGTGCAAGCCAGATGCAGAAAATTATGTCTCATCGACGTAATTTTCAGAATTATGCTATAAGGCATATGAAATGATCTAGTTAACGAAAGCCTCTCCAAATACGTATACTGTACTTCAAATATTGGGCATGGAAGATATTGTTAATATACAGTAATATAAACAGTAATATATTTGCTGTTTGGAGTGACATCTGAACTGTCGCATCTGAGCCCCTCTGCAAAGACAGTGATTATGTGTGAATGATGGTGAAAGTGTTGAATGATGGTGAAATTGTTTTCCTTTTTGGGTCACCCTGCCTTGGTGGGAGACAGATGACATGTTAAAAATATGAACAGTTTTGTAGCAGTATAGAGTTAATAGTTAAAAATAGTATTTAAATAGTGAAAATACTAATTAGATAGTGTAGATAAATAATTATACAGCAGAGTTAATGCTCTAGGTGTAAAGGTGGTATTTAGCAGTACTGTAGCATAGAACCCCTGTATCCACTGATTCGGTATCAGTGGTTTCAGTTATCCACGCCTTACTGGGGCCCAAAAATACATCTTAATTTTGCATAATAATGACCAAAGTGCAAAAGTAGAGCAACTGGCAGTTCTTCAAAGTCTAAGAGAAGTCTTGAAGTGCTTCCCATCAGTGGAAAAGTGATAATTCTTCACTTATTGTGCATAATTTATAAATTAAACTTCATAATAGGTATGTATAGGACTTACATATAGGGTTTTCTACTATCCACAGTTTTGGTATCCACAGCAGGTCCTTGGAACGTATCCCCTACGGATACAAGGGTCCTACTGTATAGTGTCCCAGCACATACAGATATATTCTTCATCCTGCATTTATTCCTGTTTCATATATTTGCTTGAAGGTATTGGACTACTTTCCTCCATTGCCTCTTACAAAATTTACTAAAGGTCCACTTCTCTTATAGAACCTCCAGAGTTCATGAACCTTCCTCCGAAGGAAGTTTACGAGGTTGATGGAGCAGATCTGTTCCTCAATTGTTCAGTTACTGGTTCACCTGACACAATGGTTGCATGGTATAAGGAAGGTATCCCAGAACCAATAGAGGTGAGTGAATTGAATTTGAATCTGTCAGCATGCTAATCAGCTTTAATTTTTATATTGCTTTGGCTACTGAGTGTCTGTGCCTGATTTCAATAAGTAATTGAAAATCTAGACAGTATGATTTTGTTGCCATTTTATTGAGCATTCATTTCTACAAATTTACCAATAAAAGAGTTCACTATAGATGAATTATCATTAGTGAAGCATTTCTGAACCTATGGAGAAAGGATGTGCATATGGTACTGCATACTGTATTGCTTTCACAGTTGCATATTTTGGACATACAGCAAGGATGTTTGAGTGTGTTAGATTGGAGTGAGTGGAGACAAATGATTTTTGGGATTTGATGAGCTGTTGGAATGTGAGCAAGGTAATATTTTGTGAAGGGATTCAGGGAAATTGGGTAGCCAAACTTGAGTCCTGGAGATGAGAAGTACAGTCTAAAGGAGGGATTTGGGATATTTGCTGTTTAGAGGGACATCTAAACTGTCATATCTGCATGCCTCTGGCAAGACAGTGATAGTGTGAATGATGGTGAAACTGTTTCCTTTTTGGGTCACCCTACCTTGGTGGGAGACGGCCAGTGTGTAAAAGGAAAAAGGTCCTAAATTTTAACCGGGTTATACTAGTTGTTTGCTTCATGCATAAATATGCAAGTACTATGAACATAAATAATTTTGAAACAGTACAAAAATGAAAGACCAAAATACAAAGAACAGAATAGAATAGAACTTTTTGATGAAGGTTACTTTATCACACCTCCTCAAGGGAGGTTTCCTGATGCTGATATGTTGCTCTTGATCCAAGGAATTGGACTTAACCTTCAATTCCTTGACTTAAAACTGATTGTCTCTCATTTCCTTAGGCACAGTATGACATATGACCCTATGGGTTTAGTACTTCCCTCCAAATGTAATAATAATTAAAGTGAAAAAAAACAGTACTAAATGTAAGGGTAAATATTTTTACTTAATACAGTAAATGATATTAGACAAATAATATTATATTACGTGTCTAATTTCGTGGAACGTATCTCTGATTATAACACAAGTGTCTATGGAGAAATAGATTCCAAGTTATAAATAATAGTGTAATGTTTTACCCAAGAGGTACATAGACTTTGGCAGCAGATTTGTAATCACTATAAATTATATGATTAATTTACATGAGTAAATGCTTGTTTGTGGTAAATTATTTATAGGGTGCATGCAATGTTGTTTGAGGGCTGTGCACATTTTAAAAAAAGTTACCTTTTTTATTCTTGGTTATGATAATCTCATAACTCAGAATAAAATATCTTTCTTATTCACTAGAAACAAAGCAAATCAGTTTTACCTTACAGTTTGGTAGACTGAGTGCCTCACTATTCATACCAAGATTCACAACTACTGATGAAGGCTATTACTTTTGTCGGGCAGCCTTACACAATCGGGAAATCCAGACAAGTACGATTCTTAAATTGAGAAGTAAGTAAAGTCTTTTTTGTTAGTTCAGCATAATTATAATACATACAGTCCAAGCCATACATAAAAATACAGTACTGTGCTTTACACTATATTTTTACTTTTACCCAGTATCAAAATCTTTTGTTATGTCAGTATATTTAACATAAAAGGTTTGAGTCTTGCAAATGCATAAGTAAGCAAATTGGAGCAATACATAAAGAAAACATACCTTTTTAAATTGAATTACAGCATGGCAGTGAAAATGTGTGGATTTGTGAGTGGAGGCTGGTGTTTTTTTCATGATCTGACTGACTGTTGGAGTGTGAGCAAGGTAATATCTATGGGAGGGACAATGCCTACACTCTGTCTAGATATAGGGCCCACAGGGAAGCTAACTATGTCCTTGTTTTCCCATTTATGTACGAACATAACAAACAGATAAAGAGCAGGCAGGTTTAATTCTCTTCCACTCATATCCACTCTTGTACCTATTCAACCCACCCATACACAGTTATCTAAAGTATTTGCTTTAACCCGTAAACAGTCCAAATGTATATATACGTTCATACCGCTAGCGTCCCAAACATATACACCTACCATCCGACTTACGACCGAGTTCGGTTCCGAGAAACTGGTTGTAAGTCGAAATGGTCGTAAGTCGAACTTTACTACTGAATATCAACAAAACATTTTTGTAATGACTTTATTTTATTGTTTTATTTTGGTATTTCATGTTTTACTTTACTTTTTATGTTGTTAGTACTGTATTTTATACTGTAAGGTTTAGGATAAACACTGTGTACAACACAAATAGTTGTTTATTTCCCAGAAATTTGGCATAAAAAACACGGTTGTAAGTTGAGTGGTCGTAAGTCGAGCAGGTCGTAAGTCGGATGGTAGGTGTATATACATTTTATTTTTCCTGCCTCCAAATTTGGCACGATTGGCCTGAGATGCCTGGTCAGCATAGAATGGGTCTTAACACTTGATGTGCAACGTATTAAAAAAATCTGGGAGCACTTAGTACCTTGTGGGAACGCCAGTTATATTGAGCGCCAGCTAGAGCAAACAGTGTGGCAAACACCAAGGATTCACTGATGTAATGTCATATTAACACTCTCCTTTTAAGAGGAAATGATGTTAACCCCAAGTTTAGGGTCTGTCTATCTGTCTCTGTCTATTTCTGTCTATCTGTTTATCTCTGTCTGTCTGTGTCTATTCATCTGTGTCTGTCTGTCTGTGTCTATCTGTCTGTGTCTATCTGTCTGTGTCTATCTGTCTCTATCTCTTTTTATCTATCTCACAGGTACACACAAATACAATTATACATAGTGTAAATTACCTAGGATAACCTAAAAAATCCAAAATGCTATACTGTGCTTGTAGATATAATGCATAAGAATACCTGTTGGTTCACAGTGGCTCTCTCTGAGACAGACAGAGAGACAAGTAGAGAGATGGAAAGAGACAAGCAGACAGAGAGACAAGACAGAGAGACAGATAATCAGAGATATGAGCTCATCAAATGTCACCCCTTATTTCTGCACCCTCGCTGGTGCTCATCAAATGTCATAGCTTATTTTGTCTTATCTCTGCACTACCTCATCTTATCTCTGCACCCTCACTGGTGGCCATCATATGTCATCTCATATCTCATCTTATCACTGCCCTCCTGGATGCTTGTCTTACACATTGCTTCAAGGGAACTTCTTCCTTCTTCTTCCTTCTTCCTCCTCCTTCTTCCTTCTTCTTCTATAGACTCGTGTATCCAAAACATTGCTGGGACCTATAAATACTTTGTATATATTCCTAGACAATAGTAAATGACCAAGGCAGGTGTAAATGTCCACCTGTCAATGTGTTAGTGACAATTTGAGTACAATTTCAGTACCTAATATTAGTGTCAGAACAAAGATTGGTTATGAAATGACAAGAACTACAATAAATTGTAATTATCAAAACATAAATATATAAAATAATATAAAAATGACAAAAAATGGCATATCAGCTACACTTCTGCAAGCGGCAGGACTCGATGTTGCTGTCAGGTGAGCATTAAGTGCCAACTTTGCAGCCTCATATCTCAGTAAGTACTGACCCTAATTTTTTTATTTTAATCCTATAACGTTTAGAAAAATGTGCTCTTTATTTTCATTAAAAAATGATTTTTTTTATTTTTCAAAATATTCGGGGCACTGGGGTAGTGAATGTATACTATATACATTTGAACCCTTTATGGGTTAATATTACTCCATAGAATTTACAGTAAACCCTCAAAATGGAGTTAAATCCTCAGACAGTGTTTTAGTCCTTAATGATAATAATCCAGGATGGACCTCATTTAGAATTTTTTGTCAAAGTCAAATTTTACTTTCAAGAATTATGGGGTATTGATTAACCCTTTGACTGTTTCGGTCATAATACGTCTTGCAAGCCAATGTGTTTGACGTATACTCAAAAATTCTAGCGGCTTCAAATCAAGCGGAAGAAAGCTGGTAGGCCCACATGTGAGAGAATGGGTCTGTGTGGTCAGTGTGCACAGTATAAAAAAAATCCTGCAGCAAGCAGTGTGTAATGAGAAAAAAATAACTCCGACCGTGTTCTTGGATTAAAACGTCGACTTTGAGGTGTATTTTCATATAGTTTTTATGGGTATATTCTCATTTTTGTAGTTACATTTGATAGAAAGAAAATATATTATAGAAATGGTCATGATTTTGGTTTTACTATGAAAAGGACTTTGAAATGGTGTTCAAAGTAGGGGAAATGTTCGATTTTTGCCGATGTACAAGAGTAAACAAATGATGTCATTGTCCAATAAATGTCCAACTAGCTATTCTAATATGAAGTCATGAATGGGTTGACATTATTTATACAATTATTACAATATTGCAGTAGTCTGCATAACAGTAAATCTTCTATTTTTTGTTTGAATAAAAATTAAAAATAGAAAGCAAGAGTAATATCAGAGGGGCCTGGAGATGTGACTGATGAACAAAGAAAATGTTATTTTAGAGCCAGGAATGTCTGCATTGTTCATTCTGGACATTATTTTGAAATTGGCATATTTTTTAATTTTCGTGAAATTGGCCAAATGCCAATTTCTTACCACTTTATTGGGTAGTTGAAATTGGTAAATGGGCAGTTTCTTGTACTCAATCGATAGAACAAATGGAGTTCTAAAGAAATAGCTGTGAGTTTGGTCAACTGGAACAATGGAATTGGCCAAAAATAGGGCTCAAAGTGGGTGAAATTGCCAATTCGTCAATACTGCCGAGGTTGCTCACTTTGTAAGAGTGTAATTCCATAAGTTTTCCATCAAATTTTGTACTTTTGGTGTCATTACCATCAGGAAAAGATTCTCTATCATTTCATAATATTTTTTTTTTTTTCAAATATTTTTCGACACCAGGAGACACCTCAGGATTTGGGATTGCGACAGTCAAAGGGTTAAGCTAGGGAATTACATCTCTTTGTACATATTTTGGAAAGCCTCTTATTATATGCAGCATTTTGGGTACATTAAAACTGGTACTGGTTTACAAACTATTTAACACTAATACAATGATTTAAATAGTATTTCAACATGGAATTGTATGACAGTTCAGCAGGAATAGTTTCTGTACACAAGGGAGGTAGCACTTAATAAGTTAACAGTAGAAGATACAAATGACATAGTAAACATTTATGATTGTTTCATGTTAAAATATCGCATCAAATTAAAGAGGTGATTTTTGAGGAATTTTTGAAGCTATTGAGAGATACATAATGAACTTGTATATCCTGCAGGGTCCTTTGCCTTGCATGGAGTTTTTACTCAGGAAGAGTCAAGCATGTAGAATATCAAGAGATATTTACATTATGGAACAAAGTGGAATGACTTGGAGAATGTATAAATTTGTAGTGGAAGGAAGGAGGGGTATGGGTCGTCCTATGAAAGGTTGGAGGGAAGGGGTAAAGAAAGTTTTGTGGGTGAGGGGCTTGGACTTCCAGTAAGTGTGCATGAGCATGTTAGATAGGAGTGAATGGAGATGAATGGTTTTTAGGACCTGATGAGCTGTTGGAGGGTGAGCAGGGCAATATTTTGTGTAGGGATTTAGTGGGTTGGATTTGTGAAGGACCTGCTTAGTATGGGCCAACATTCCTACTGCAGTGTTCTTCCTTTCTTATGTTCTTATGAAACCAGTTAGCTGGACTTGAATCCTGGAGGTGGGAAGTACATGCCTGCACTTTAAAGGAGGGGTTTGGGATGTTGGCTGTTAGGAGTGACATTTACACTGTCTTATCTGAGTGCCTCTGCAAAGACAGTGATTATGTATAAATGATAGTGAAAGTGTTGAACAGTGATGGAAGTTTTTTCTTTCTTTTTGGGTTACCCTGCCTTGGTGGGAAGCAGCCGACGTGTTAAAAAAAATTACAGTATTTCTATTGTTATGCCTACATGATCTGTTGCAGCTCTCCAAGAATTGTTTTAGCTCAGGGTTAATATATGTACTCAGTGTTCTGTTTATGTAGTATGCATAGTGGAATGCATGGATGCTTTGTTCAACTCTTTGAGCAGTGGGGATGGGGAATGTTATCTGAAATCAGACTGAGCTGTCATTTTAGTGTAAAGTATTTTTTGTTGGGCTAAGATTAGTTTTAAATTATATGGTGTTGTGAATCCCATACACATGTACCATAGGAGAGGTAAGGGTAGATTAAAGAGGAGTACAGTAGCATATTCTTGAATGAATGTCATCTGTTTTGGAAACTTTCTTAGAAATGTGTTAGACTTCTTCTTTCTTTCAACTCACCGACCATATACCACCGAGGTGGGGTGGCCCAAAAAGAAAAATGAAAGTTTCTCCTTTTACATTTAGTAATATATACAGGAGAAGGGGTTACTAGCCCCTTGCTCCTGGCATTTTAGTTGACTCTTACGACATGCATGGCTTACAGGGGAGGAATTCTATTCCACTTCCCCATGGAGATACAGTAAGTGGAAATAAACAAGAACAAGAACTAGTAAGAAAAATAGAAGAAAATTCAGAAGGGTCTGTATGTATATGCTTGTACATGCATGTGTAGTGTGACCTTAATGTAAGTAGAAGTAGCAAGACCTATCTGAAATCCTGCATGTTTATGAGACAGAAAAAAGACACCTGCGATCCTACCATCATGTAAAACAATTAGTACAGACTTTCATTTTACACTCACTTGGCAGGATGGTAGTACCTCCATGGGCTGTTGCTATCTACCAACCTACTACCTAGAAATATGTTAGACATGGTTGTTAAATTTAAGTTTGCTGTGTATGCGAATGCCCAAAAATTTTCCATTATCTTGTCTTTAAATGTGTGTATTGTTTATCTTTATATTAATCTAAAAAGTTCATTTATGTTCACAATGAAGTATGTTTATTTTTTCTATATTATTTTGGTCAGATTTACTTTTAGTGCTCCTTTCTATTTCTGTTCAAATGTCATATCTTTAGTCTAATATTTTATGATGAAATAACTTAAGCTCTTACTACCAATATTTTCTTATTTTGCTGTTATATCAGATTATATTTGGTTGAAAAATAAAAGTCACAGTACTGTGGCTGGAAGAAAACATTGTCTGGAGTTTACCTTGAGTGAGTCCTGGGGGTCAACGCCCCATGGCCCAGTCTGTGACCAGGCCTCATGGTGGATCAGGGCCTGTCTAATTGTGAGTTATGTATTCATGAAATATATTTAGGCAAATAGTCACATGAAGGATCAAGGTTTTCAGAATTCTAAGTGTCTTTTTCAGCCCCTCAGCCTCGCGTTGAGTCAGTAGTGGCATCACCAGCTACAGTAGGAGGAGAATTTACCATAACCTGCACCACCTCTAGCTGGAATGAACAGGTAATTCTGGTCTGTTTCCCTCAATATACTGCATATTATCTTTGTCTATTTCCACACAAATGCAAGGGCATCCCAGGAAGAATGTTCTTGTGGGTAATCTGTTTGGTGGTATTTCCTTATCATTTTAATTTTGTGTATGTGTTTTAGGTATGTTAGTTAGGGTTATACAGCACCTGGGAAATGGAAGTTAATCAGGGTGAATCCAAGAGTGGGAATGGTAGCTCCAGATACTTGAATTAATATTTTTTTTTTTTTTAGTATCAAGCACTCCCTCCCTCTCCTTGAAAGATGATAAGCTTTCTCTTTACTCTCCTCTCATTTGTATGTGAACCTACAGTGAAAGTAGAGGTTAGTTACCGGATTCTTGTAACACTGAAAAAATTACAGGAAGATATAAGGAGGTTTTGTGGGTAAGGGGCTTGGACTTCCAGCAAGCGTGCGTGAGCGTGTTAGATAGGAGTGAATGGAGACGAATGGTACTTGGGACCTGACGATCTGTTGGAGTGTGAGCAGGGTAATATTTAGTGAAGGGATTCAGGGAAACCGGTTATTTTCATATAGTCGGACTTGAGTCCTGGAAATGGGAAGTACAATGCCTGCACTTTAAAGGAGGGGTTTGGGATATTGGCAGTTTGGAGGGGTATGTTGTGTATCTTTATATGTGTATGCTTCTAGACTGTTGTATTCTGAGCACCTCTGCAAAAACAGTGATAATGTGCGAGTGTGGTGAAAGTGTTGAATGATGATGAAAGTATTTTCTTTTTGGGGATTTTCTTTCTTTTTTGGGTCACCCTGCCTCGGTGGGAGACGGCCGACTTGTTGAAAAAAAAAAAAAAATAAGCAGGGTTTTCCGTTGGCAGTGGAGAACATAATAGTCATTGGGAATAAGTTCCAGCTGCTTTGGTATAGAAAGAATGAAGAAATTTAAAAAGAGTAAGAGATATGAAAAGTAGTGCAAAATAAATCCAGTGAAAAGCACGGATGCTGTAGGCACTGTAAGAAAACATTGTGTCAGCATTCATGGCCCCAGATCATTCAACTTCTTACCAGAAGATATCAGAACATGGCTGGGACAAGTGTAAAGTCTTCAAGAGGCAACTGGACAAGTATCTTCACCAGATGCTAGATCAACCAGGTTGTGATAGATATGTGGGCCAGTGGGCCACCAGGAGCAACAGTCTGGTTGACCAGGCAACCACCAGGCAAGCCTGGTCCAGGGCCAGGCTCTGGGAATAGAAAAACTCTTGACACCCATCAAAGGTAGAAAGGGTAGAATTTTCAGTTCTGTATTTAAAAAATAAAACAATGTTTGGTTTTCTATTAATTTGTACTGCAAATGGCAGCAATCATCCCAAGAAAGTCCCTGGTGGAGGAAATATTTTTGCAGTTAAATACTACTACTGTCAACTGCACATTTTGTCTTATTAACAAGAGGCATATGTATAGCATACTGTATCTTCCTGTGGAAAGGAGGATGCAGCTTGGTGTATGTAACACTTGTTCCTTTGGCATCTTTTTTCATAAATTGTGACTTATCATAATTGGATGTAATTTGTTATCGTTGCTACTAAGTATATCACACTGTATTAATATTTCTGATATCAAGTTGATAATATTGTTGCAGGTTCTGTTCATCCACAACAGGGAGCCTGCAGATCTCAATGAAGGTTCAAGATATTCAGTGAGCAGCCAGCTACTGCGCAATGGAAAGCAGCGTACCACTGAACATGTTCTTAAAGTAAAACATGCAACACTCCAAGATTCAGGGATTGTAGAGTGCTTCTTAACTCCTGATATTTTTGGCTCAACAGAGGTTATTGTGAAAGGTATTTTCATACTTGTTTTAAACAAAATTTTGCTTTAAAATAATGTTCATATTTGAGAGGTTACATTTCTACACTTTGTGTATACCTGGTAGTGTGTACAGCAGAATTGTTATTTAAAAAGTTTTGGGAAAGCATTAAAGTATGTAGTTGCTAAATTATCCTTTTACCTTTCATTTTTATGAATGCTGCTTTAGAAGATTATAGACTGTTACCAACCCCAATATCTACTGAAGTATCTGGTCTGCCAAAGCCAACAATATCTTTGGGACGTATTGTGGAGCTGAGAGGTCCTGACACAGTACAGGAGGGAGCAACACTCCTGCTCACCTGCCTTGTTAGTCCAGTTGTTCATCAGGTGAGATGAAATTGTAGACCTAGAGTAATTGTTTCTTTCTTAAATTTCAAATACAGTTCACAGTCAAGGACTATGGGTTGCTATAGGTGCAGTTAGATCTTTGTCTGTGGTCAGCCTTTATGTAGAGATATGCAGTCCATCATCATAGGATACAGTCAGAATTCTGAATGTTTATAAATAGTCAGTGTGTCACTATTGGGGAATGATTCTATCAATAAAAACCTAACCAGTTATGACATACCACAATGCCAGTAAATTAATTATAAGTTGAAAGGAATGTAAAACTTAGGAACATGAACAGAAAATGGGTACCCACCAAGTGCACAGTCGAATAATCATTAATAACAAAAAAAGGCACAATACCATGACTGGAACAATGCACAAATAACCTGCACATAGAATAGAGAAGCTTACGACGACATTTCGGTCTGACTTGGACCATTTACAAAGTTACACTAACGAAAGGGAGAGAGGGAGGGGTATATATAGGCAGGTGGTAGTAGCAGTAGCAGTAGTGGAGGTCATAGAATTGATGAAGGAAAAAAGGTGAGTGGTGCATTGAGGTATATGTGGAGACAAAAAACGTTATCTATGGAGGCAAAGAAGGGAATGTATGAAAGTATAGTGGTACCAACACTCTTATATGGGTGTGAAACTTGGGTTGTAAATGCTGCAGCGAGGAGACGGTTGGAGGCAGTGGAGATGTCCTGTCTAAGGGCAATGTGTGGTGTAAATATTATGCAGAAAATTCGGAGTGTGGAAATTAGGAGAAGGCGTGGAGTTAATAAAAGTATTAATCAGAGAGCTGAAGAGGGGCTGTTGAGGTGGTTTGGTCATTTAGAGAGAATGGATCAAAGTAGAATGACATGGAGAGCATATAAATCTGTAGGGAAAGGAAGGTGGGGTAGGGGTTATCCTCGGAAAGGTTGGAGAGAGGGGGTAAAGGAGGTTTTGTGGGCAAGGGGCTTGGACTTCCAGCAAGCGTACATGAGCATGCTAGATAGGAGTGAATGGAGATGAATGATATTTGGTACCTGACAAGCTGTTGGAGTGTGAGCAGGGTAATATTTAGTGAAGGGATTCAGGGAAACCGGTTATTTTTACATAGTCGAACTTGAGTCCTTGAAATAGGAAGTACAATGCCTGCACTTTAAAGGAGGGGTTTGGGATATTGGTAGTTTGGAGGGATATGTTGTATATCTTTATACGTATATGCTTCTAAACTGTTGTGTTCTGAGCACGTCTGCAAAAATGGTGATTATGGGTGAGTGAGGTGAAAGTGTTGAATGATGATGAAAGTATTTTCTTTTTGGGGATTTTCTTTCTTTTTTGGTCACCCCGCTTCAGTGGGAGATGGCCAACTTGTTAAATAAAAAAAAAAAATTATTTGCAGTTTTGAACTATAGTATCAGCCTCTTTCTGGCAAGACAGCGATGGAGTGAATGATGGTGAAAATGTTTCATCTTTTTTGGGTCACCCTACCTTGGTGGGAGATGGCTGATTTGTTGAAAAAATATACATATAAAAATAAAAGTATTTCACAGCAATACTAAAGAAGATAAAATATATATTCCTAGTGTGAATAATATACACTAAATACCAAAAATAATAAACATTGTCATATTAAACTAAAAGAATATTTTGAGCAGTTAGAAAATACAAACATAATGTCTGCAAGAATACCATAAATTTCCTCAATGATTAAGGGTGTATTGACTGGAAGTGATCATGATCTTGTGAAACTATGGAATACTGCTGCATTTATATTGACCTAATTGTAATTATCTAATTGAATTTGCAGGGAGGGTGAGCTGTAGCTCTTGGACCTTCCTCTTAATTTTCATCAGCCAGTCAAAAGGTAAGATGTGGGCCCAAGAGCTAGTGCTCACCTTATGCAAACCCAAATACTGTAGGTTATTACAAATAAATCAAAATGTGCAAAACATTGGGTCAGTACTACAGTATTTCATAGCTTAAAGTAAGTAAATTGCAGCCAGCACATCCTTAATCACAGCAGAACTTTATGGTATTTTTGTTGTTTTTTATCATACAGCATCCATAGCTCTAACAATCCACAAATAACCCACACTTAAGAGAGGAAACATAAGACAACATTTTGGTGTCTTTGATCATTATCAAGTCCCATATCTCACAAAGAGGGCAGAGCAACCCATGTGTTAATCCTGCCATATACCAATTACAGTATCATTGAACATACGTGTATTTTGATGCTATGTCCCAAGTATTCTGCCACCCATTGGAGAATAAAATTACTGTATATGTTTAAATAACATTTAACAAATAGTTCAAACTCAATGTATTATCTCCTTGCAAGCACTATTGATTTTAGAGGAGTGACAACTTATCCATTCAGCAACCATCCAGGAGAGCTTAACCATCCTGTTAAATGGTTTGCATGCTGGCAGTATTGTTGATCTTTTCTTTGTCTTATGAACATGTAAGAGGGCAGGTAAATCTTACAAACTTCTACTTACATTTAGTGCAAGCCTAGCTTTACTTTCCAGTAATAGTTTTTATTCCTGTAATATTCCCTCTTTAATTTTTGAGGCCTGGTCTGAAATCAGGCTCGGGGTCAATAACCCACAAAAAACTTTAAAACAGGTTATAGCGATATATTTTATGTCTTAAGTGGTAAAGACATCACATGCTACCACGGGGACATGGTACTTAAGTTTTTTGGATTTAAAATTTTATGTTCTGCATGATTCAGTTTTTCAACTCACACCTGAAAAAACTGTGTTAAAATTTTTGGGTTTTTGAGTCCTGAGTACAGCAGGGTTCTGGGCGTTTTTCTCTTTATAACCCCCCTACTCTCTTTATCTAGCAGAAACCATTGCAGTAGATACCTAGGGGGTCAGTGTTTTTGCAAGTTGCATTTTTGGGGAAACAATGTAAGGATCCCAAAGAAAAAAGCCATATTGCTGGGGTTTTCCCAAAAAGTCATTAACCCTTAGGGGTTAGAAATCCAAGGAAAAATTTTTTCCAGCCACATTATTTGAGCTCCTTTTTTAAACCAGCAAAAAAAATTAAAAAAAAAATTTAATATAGGGGTCCAACTAATCAAAGGCTTTGCAAATATGTAGCTGGTTTTTACCCCGAAAAAAAGGGAAATTTTGTGGGCAAATTTCTTTTACCATCACAAAAGTTTTAAATTTTAAAATTTTGATTATAGAAAGGTTTTGTGTATAGATAATAGTATAAAAAACTGGGGAAAATGAGGGAAAAAACACCAGTTTAGCTTATTTGGCCTGTCCGTGTGGGAAAAAAAAAAAAATAAATTTAAATTTTCATGTCAAAAGGAAAAAAAAAGTCTCCCCTTTATAAAAATTGAGTTTTAAAATAGTGTATAGTGTATACTACAGGGGGTCCCTAGTATATTGATGATTTAAAGGTAAAAAGGGGCATTTTAAAACAGGGGGAATTTGTAAATGGAAAATGATAGCCTATAGAGGCAGGGCCAAAAAGTCGCCAGAAAATTACCCCAGGTCAGCTGTTTTTAAAAATCTTCCTGGCTTGCCCCCGTGTACCGCATATAACTAGTGATTTTCCAGTGGGTTAGCAGAATACAGTGTTGTAGTAGCAACTAACCAGTTTATAATGGGACTTAGTGGAGTGGGGTGACTTTCATTGGGTTTTTTTTTCTTGAAAAAACGAGAAATTTTCTGTGAATTTTTATATAAAACCCGTTTGTTTCCCGCCCGTGCAAAATTTTTCACAACGAGAAGCAAAATTTTTAATACAGAAAAAGCGTCCTTCCTCCAAAATTTTTCCCCCAGTCAACTATGTGATAATATAAGGGATTTATTGTGGGGGGACGGAAAAAAGAAAAAAAAAAAAAAAAAAAAAAAGAGAAAACCAAAATACAGGATTTATAAAAAAAGGAGGTGACCGGTTTTTGTCATTTTAGGGCTGCCGATATCCCCGGCTCTTCAACACGCAAATTATACTTTTGTATCAGGCAAATCACATATTACTCGGGTAGATAATTTCCAGTAGATCCTTCATGTGTTAGCTCAAATCACCGACCAGTATGTTTTAAATAAGTGACCCACTGATCAGAGCAGATCGTCTGGCCGAACCCTTGCTGGTCCGAACCCTTGATGGTCCGAACCCGGGACTGGTTTCAAACAGTTTCGTTGGACAATAAAGCAGACTGTAAACGGATGGGGTTGTAGGCGCCCTATAAACACAAACATTAAAAATCAGGAACGTGACGGTAAGCTGTCCAATATACAAAAAGAGTTAGAAACAGAAATACAAATAGCTAGAGCTTCATTTAAGGTTATTAATAGAATTTTCAAGAGGTTGCTATTTGGAAATTTAAATTTAAATAAACCATTAAAATTCATTAGGGAAAAGCCCTGTGTAGTCTGTGGTCAGTAAAACAAACGGGTTTTCCACAGGGAAAATAAAATTGTCATTTTTGTGGAAATTGGTGTCACCCCCTTTGTGCAGATATCCCAGAATAGTTTCAAGCAGTTTTAAAAAACAGAGAAGGTTTTTGGGTATGCCAAATGAGGAAAATTGTGGAAAAAATCAAAAGGGGTTTTAAAAGGGCCCAACATAAAAGGGTTTTTCAAAAAAAAAACGGGAAGCTTTCTACAACAAAATGGGAAAAAAAAAAAGGTTGGGCTAAATTGGAAACTCCCCCTTGATACGGGGCCATGTAGTCAAAAAACTGAAAGGTGGAGGTGATGTCCTGGTAGTCAGAAAAATGTGGGGCTGAAGTGCTGTCCTGGGAGACAGTAATGGTGAAGGGGGGTGCTGGCCGGGGGAGCCCAGAAGGGTGAAGTGGGGTGTTTGGGTCCGGGGAGACATTTGGGGGAAGCTGGAGGTGCTGCCCTGGGAGACAAAAATTGGGGGAAGGGTGGGATACTGTCCTGGGAGACAGAAAATGGTGAAGCTGGGGTGCTGCCCCTGGGGGGCAGAAATGGTGAAGCTGGGGGATACGTCCTGGGAGACAGTAAGGGTAAAGCTGGAGGTTTTTGTCCTGGGAGACAAAAAAGGGGTGAAAAGGGCTGGAGTTTACTGTCCTGGGGGGGACAAAAAATGGTGAAGCTGGAGATATTGTCCAGGTAGGGGGGGAAATTTAACGCAGGAAGGAATACTATAAATGATTTTCATAGGGGACGGAGCCATGGGTGGGGAACCGTGTAGTAAAAAGAAAAGATAAAACCAATTTGAAAACTGGGAAATACCGAAAGGAAATAGCAAACAAGGGGAAAACCCCAATAGCAATAGTAAAGGATAAATTAAAAAAAAAAGGGGTGGGAGCCCCCTTTGTTGGTGTAGGGGAGGATGAAGTAAGACGGGGAAACATGCACCAACGGGGAAATACAGTCACAAAACCCCAAAAGGAAAAGGGGGAAACCCAAGCCTGGGGCACATACTTTTGCCTTGGTATATGCTGGCTTTGGGAAATCGGGGAAAAAACAGAGGGGACTTGAAAAACTAGGGACCACCAAAAAAATGCCATGCCCATTAAAAACGGGGAAAATAAAAAAATTTCCCTTCCGAAAGTTTTTTCCCTAAAAATGTGTACCTTTTTCAGTAAGGAAAGACTGTGTATAATTTAAATTGCCAGGCAAAACACCCTAAAGGGGACAAAAAATACAAAAAAACCCGGGCCCATGGGAAAATGGGTGGCCACGCCACTCAAGGGGGAGATTTTTTTTTGTGCCAGGAAGGAAAAAAACTGGCGGGAAATGGCAGAAAGCGTACCCCCAAATCCGGGTCTTTCCCTGGAGTGGAACCACGTCGATGGCCTCCACCCCAAACCCAACAGATACAGATACTAAGGGCCGGGAAAAAAAAAAAAAATTCCCCCCCCAAAAGGGGTACCAAAAAATTACCCCCCCGGGGGGTCCAAATAACATTTTCTTGAAAATTTTTTCGGGTCAAAAAGCGGGCTTACAAACAAAAAAATACCTTTCTCCGTGGACTTTTGCAGGGGCAAAGGCAATGTTCGCGGCTTTCACTGAGCCACATAAAGGACACTTGGAACAAGTATGGATCCCCGGTTACAACCTATACAGATTGTGCAGAAATGAAAAGGCAAAAGGGGGGGGGTTTGGGCCTTTTACATTGCAGAGTCCCCTTGTTTGCCCGAACTCTTAATGCCCCAAATGAGTAGTGGGGAAATTTTAGCAGTAAAGGTTTTGGAACCAAAAACCCAGTCATTGTTTGGAGTCTACAAAACCCCCGGGTTTCCCCAAAATCCCCGCAATTCCAGGAAAAAAGCTGTTTAAAAAAAATTGACCCCTGTCTGGAAAAAACTTCCAGCTCCTTTCCCCCCAAAATCTTGCTCCTGGGGGATTTCAAATTAAGGGACCTAAAATGGAGGAATTTTGGGAAATAAAATTGGGTTTCAGTTTAAATTTTAAAAACCCGGAGGCAGCTCTGATGGGGAAAATCACACTAAAAGAGCTTTTTTAAAACTCTGCCCCAAAATTCATTTAAAAACCCGCAAATAATAGGGGCCTACAAGACTGGAGAATACAAAAAGGGGCCTAAACTTTACTAACAAGATGATCTGATAAGAAAAAGTCACCATATCAAAAAAAAAATTTTAAATCAGTCACAAAAATAATTTAGGTTTTAGACATGTATGCATGGAGCCCCCGACCCACAAAAAGAGTTTGTCACGAGGGGCATTCACCAAATTTAAAATTTTAATAACAAAAAAAATTAAAATGGGCCAAATAAACCAAGTCCTAACCGATATAAGCTGGGGAAAATATTTCTAAGCAACACAGACCCAAAAATTATGCCCAGAACAGATTAACTTTGGGGGGCACTCGATGTTGCACAAGGTTATTTTCCCCTAAAAAAAAAGGAGGAGTAGATGTTTAAAAAAGGAAAAAGAGAAGGCGCTCCCCTTTTCAGGCGACGGGAAAAGAATAACCCGGGGCCCAAAAGAGGGTCAATTATCTGAAATGCGCAGGGAGACACGGTCAGAGAAATAGCAAGCATCGAACTTAAACTAAAAGAATCCTTTAGGAGTTCCCGGAAAAACGCGGGAAGAACTAAAAGCCATAAATGAAACGAAAGAAACCCAAAGTATTTCTTCTCTAAGCCCAAAACAAAATCCCGGGAAAACGTCCCGATTGGGCCCCCCTTAAACAAAATGGGTCCTACACAGATGCCGCAAGGGAAAAGAGTGGGGCTACTCAAGTCCCCCAAAATTTTACTCAGTTTTTAGCAAACCCCTAACCCGACTGAGAGTCAAAACCAAAAAGAATTTTTTATGAAAAGAGCCACAAAATTTGGGCTAAAAACAAGCCTATCCCCCCTGTTATCCTGACGCCCAAATGACCTTCGAACAGGCGATAAAAGGGCATGCCCCTGCAATTTTGCCCCAGGGCCGACCTCATTTGGGAACCTGGGGTTCCCTCAAGAACTTTCAAAAAAAGCCCCCATCACGAGCCTTTTCCATCCTATGGAGAGGGAGCATGGACACGGGGGTCGTTTCCCCCGTTACTTTAAAAAAAAACAGACAAAAGCCCCCACTCCACAAAAGGGGGCAGTAAAGCCCAAAAAACAAAGAAAATACAGACCAATAGCACTAACATCCCCTATCATAAAAATTTTTGAAAGGGTCCTAAGAAGCAAGATCACCACCCATCTAGAAAAACCCATCAGTTACACAACCCGGGGCCCAACATGGGTTTAGAACAGGTCGCCCCTGTCTGTCTCAACTACTGGATCACTACGACAAGGCCCTAAATGCACTAGAAGACAAAAAGAATGCAGATGTAATAATACAGACTTTGCAAAAGCCTTCGACAAGTGTGACCATGGCGTAATAGCGCACAAAATGCGCGCTAAAGGAATAACAGAAATGTCGGTCGATTGGATCTATAATTTCCTCACTAACAGACCACAGAGAGTTAGTCGTCAACAGAGTAAAGTCCGTGGCAGCTACGGTGATAAGCTCTGTCCCACAGGCACAGTACTAGCTCCCATCTTGTTCCTCATCCCTCATATCGACATAGACAAGGATGTCAGCCACAGCACTCGTGTTTCCTTTGCAGATGACACCCGAATACTGCATGTCAGTGTCTTCATTGCAGACACTGAAAGGCTACAGGGGACATCAACCATATCTTTCAGTGGGCTGCAGAAATCAATATGAAGTTCAACGATGAGAAATTTATTTATCAGATATGGTAAACATGAGGGAAATTAAATCTTCATCAGAGTACAAACAAATTCTGGCCACAATATAGAGCGAAACACAAACGTTCCAAAGAACCTAGGAGTGATTATGTCGGCGGATCTCACCTTCAAGGGACCATAACATTGGTATCAATCGGCATCTGCTAGAAAATATGACAGGATGGATAATGAGAAACCTTCAAAAACTAGGGAGGCCAAGCCCATGATGACACTCTTCAGGTCACTGTTCCTATTAGGCTGGATATTGTGCCCCAATAACCCCCCCACTTATCTAAAACACCACCTTTCAAGGCAGGTGAAATTGCCGACCTAGAAAATGTACGAGATCTTTTCACGGCGGCAATAACGGAGATAAAACACCTCAATTACTGGGAGCGCTTGTGGTTTCTAAACCTGTATTCCCTGGAACGCAGGAGGCCGAGAGATAACATGTTTATATACACTGGAAAATCTAGAGGGATAGTACCAAACTTGCACACGAAATCACTCACTTCGAAAGCAAAAAGACTTGGCAGACGATGCACCATCCCCCAATGATAAGCTGGGGTTGTCACTTGACGTTAAGTGACCTACAATAAGTGTCAGGGCCGAGTCTGTTCAACTGCCTCCTCAGCACACATAAGGGGGATTACAAACACGACCCCTGGTCAGTCTTCAAAAGCTGGCACTGGGACAAGCAAACTAAAGTCAGTTCCTGATCAGCCACTGGGCTGTGGCTCGTACGTTGGTTTGCGATGCAGCCAGCAGCAACAGCTGGTTGATCAGGCGCTGGGCGCTGATCCACCAGGAGGCCTGGTCACAGACCGGGCCGCGGGGGCGTTGACCCCCGAAACTCTCTCCAGGTAAAACTCCAGGTTAATTGATGGATTTTTTTCCTATGACATTGGCTTTATCAAGCCGCAACAGGGATATTGTTACACGCAAGGAGATGATGGGTGTGTATATAGTAGATTGCCTGAAGTGAGGTGTGGAGTAAGTGAGGTGGGTGGTAGATCACATCAGTTCCTAAATGTTTCAGAAGTTTCCTGAGCCACAAGTTCTGTTAACTGCTGTTCTGATTGAGGTTCAAAATGCTGATGAGCACTTACTCAAGATACCTTCTTTGACTGTCAGTCAATTTGGCAACCAGTTGTACTAGATTCCCACTTACCAAATGCTTATGGTTGCCAAGGAGATCAGCATTCAAAAGCAAAGGTGTCTTGAATTAGCCCTCATCAACATTTCAATCAACTCAGTGAGAACTTGGTTTTGTTACAGTTTAGGAGAGCTTATGGCCAGGACACTTGTGGGATGTTCGGGAACCGATGTGACCTGATGCCCATCCCACTTTTTCCTCACCTCACTTCTGGCTCTACATTCACCTTCCCTTTGCAGGTTTATCTGTTTATGATTTGATAAAGCCCCTGTATGGAAGAAAAGGTTGTCATTAAAGCTAGAGGTTGTAATGAAAAGATACCAGTAGTAGAATTAAAGTTTTATAATATTTGTACTGTAGTATGATATTTTTCTCTTTAATTAAATTCTTAATTTTATGATTTACATTTAATTTATACATATCTGTATTTTTATGGCAGGATATTGTGCTGATACACGACATATTCATACTTCATTCAGGACATGAAACATTAACTGAAGATCCTCGTATAGAAATCATGCAGGATGTGTCTGCTGATGGATCAAGGTTGCTGTATCTCAGGATATCACAGGTATTACTTGTAGTTACTTGTAATAATATTTATTATACTTACTACCAGATAATAAATGTATTACTGTACTAAAAAAAAGTAAGTACCGTGTTCAAACATAAAGCAAACAAGACTTTTCCATATCTCATGACTATTGAACAATTTTTTATCTATTTGCTAGAACTTTATAAGAATGTTGCAGTCACTCCACCTGTAATAACTTGCTGGACCAGAAAGGTTGGCTAATTTGAAAATGCTTAAATTCTTGTGCTGGTATTATAATTTGTTAAGGGTTTGGTTATTGCTTTTTTTTAATATTGTATTATATCTTTTAACCGTAAACGGTCCAGGGCAGATCTAACGTTCACATGTGAACGTGCTCCAAAAGTAGAATCTACTTTTTTTTACATATTTTAAATTTTTTTTTTTTTTCAAACAAAGTCGAGCCGTTTTCTCCACCGAGGCAGGGTGACCCAAAACTAAGGAAAATCCCCCAAAAGGAAAATACTTTCATCATCATTCAACACTTTCACCACAACTCACACATTATTCACTGCTTTTGCAGAGGTGCTCAGAATACATCGTTCAGAAACATATACGTATAAAGGATACACAAACATATCCCTCCAAACTGCCAATATCCCAAACCCCTCCTTTTATGTTGCAGGCATTGTACTTCCCATTTCCAAGGACTCAAGTTGACTATATGAAAAATAACGGTTTCCTGATCCCTTCACTTAATATTACCCTGCTCACACTCCAACACAGACGTTGGTCCCAAGTATCATTCGCTCCTCCTCAATAGTCATCCTTATCTAACACGCTCATGCACGCTTGCTGGAAGTCCAAGCCCCTAGCCACAAAACCTCTTTACCCCCTCTTTCCAACCCTTTCGAGGACGACCCTACCCCTCTTTCCTTCCCCTATAGATTTATATGCTTTCCATGTCATTTTCTACTTTGATCCAGTCTCTCTAAATGACCAAAAAACACCTCAACAACTTCTCTTCTGCCCTCTGACTAATGCATTTTTTAACTCCACACATTCTCCTAATTCCACACTCCGAATTTTCTGCATATGTTTCACCTACACATTGCCCTTAGACAGGACATCTCACTGCCTCCCAACCGTTTACCTCCTCGCTGCTGCTTTTACCACCCAAGCTTCACATCCATATAAGAGTGTTGGTATACTATACCTTTCATTAAATTCCTTCTTTGCCTCCTTAGATATTACGTTATTTGAATCACATATACCTCAAACGCGCCTCTCACCTTTTTTCCTCATCTATTCTATGATTACATCTTCCTTCATAAATCCATCCGCCGGAAGTCAACTCCAAGGTATCTGGAAAACATTCACTTCTGCCATTACTCCATCCCCAATTTGGATATCCTTTTTCTTTATCTTAAATCATTTGATACCTCATCACCTTAATCTGTTATGTTCACTTTCAACTTTATACCTTTACACACATTCTCAAACTATCCACTAACCGCTTTGCAATTTTCTTTAGAATCTCCCATAAGCACAGTATAATCAGCAAAAAGAAACTGTGTCAATCACATTTTGAATTTGTTTCCCATAATTTAATCCCACCCTCTCCACGTAACACCCTAGCATTACTCTTTTACGTCCCAATCTTTTAATATATTTAAACATAAACCATGGTGAATTAAACATCCATTGTCGAAGACCTTACTTTTAACGGGATGTATTCTCCCTCTCATTCTTCACATCTCCTAACTGAGCCTCACTATCTTCGTAAAAATCTCTTTCAGCATTTAGTAAACTTACCTACTTTTCCATTTTACTTGCAACATCTGCCACATTGCTCCTCTTTCCACTCTATTCATATGCCTTTTCTAAATCCATAAATGCAATAAAAAAATATAACAAAAAAATATAACAAATTTTATTATTTTATTATCACACCGGCGATTCCCACCAAGGCAGGGTGTGGCACTGAGAAAAAGAAAACTTTCACCATCATTACTCCATCACTGTCTTTGCCAAAGGGTGCTTTACACTACAGTTTTTTAAAACTGCACATTAAACCCCTCGTTCAGAGTGCAGGCACGGTACGTCCTTCTCTGGACTCAAAGTCCGGCCCCTTGCGGTTTCCCTGATCCCTCTTCATTAAATGTTACTTTGCTACACACTCCAACAGCACGTCTAGTTATAAAAACCATTTGTCTCCATTCACTCCTAATAAACACGCTCTGCATCATGCTGACTGGATGTCCAAGCCCCTCGCTCACAAAACCTCCTTTACCACCTCCCTCCACCCTTCCTAGGCCCGGACCCCTACCCCGCCTTCCTTCCACTACTGACTGATACACTCTTTGAAGTCTTTCTGTTTCTGCTCCATTCTCTTTACATGTTCGAACCACCTCAAAACCCTTGCCTCGCCCTTCTTGGACAACAGTTTTGGAATCCGCACCTCCTCCTAACTTCCCAAACTTTCGAATTCTCTGCATTATATTCACACCACACATTGCCCTCAGACATGACATCTCCACTGCCTCCAGCCTTCTCCTCGCTGCAACATTCATCACCCACGCTTCACACCCATATAAGAGCGTTGGTAAAACTATACTCTCATACATTCCCCTCTTTGCCTCCAAGGACAAAGTTCTTTGTCTCCACAGACTCCTAAGTGCACCACTCACTCTTTTTCCCTCATCAATTCTATGATTCACCTCATAACAAATATAACAAAAAAAAAAAACATAACAAAAAAAAAAAGTAGACCAAAGTTTTTTACACATTTTCAAATGTAAAAAAAAAAAAGAAGATCTACTTTTTTTACATACTTTCAAATGTTGAAAAAACGTATGTATACGTTTGGACCATTTACAGGTTAAGGAGTGAGTGATGATGAAAGTGTGTCTTCTTTTTTGGATCACCCTGCCTCGGTGGAAAATGGCCGATGTGTTAATAAAAAAATATATAATAAATATCTGTCAAAGAAAGTTATTACTACAGAAGAACCTTTAGCCTTCAGCCTAGAGTGAAGTCTGCTGACTGAACTTTTTTTAACTTTCTTTTACAATACTGGTGCAGAAGTTACAATAGTGGATTTCAGTCAAATGAATTCAAGTTTAGAAATTATATAAGAAAGTATTTATTTTTCATTGCTGTAATGGTATGAGTTGAACAAACTGCCAAGTGGCATCATTAAAGTAAATTCAGTAGACTCCCACATATTGCTTGGGTTATATGTATTCCTGAAAGTTGCCATTATACAGGAAATCATGATATGTGGACTAAAAAATAGATGGGAAAAATAATTGCTTTCTTGATAACTTCAAAAACCTAACTTTTTTAATTTCATAATTCATCAAAATTAATAAGGTTTTTGATTGCATATATTGCAGTTATCAGTGCTTGTTGATCTAGAAATATGTGGAGAGGGTTGATGTAGTCTTTCTAAACATAGATATAGTGATGTTTATGCATTAAAAAATACAGTATGTGTAATTAAAAGGTCATGTAAAGCAATTTTTTAATCCTTTGACTGTCGCAACCCCAAATCCTGAGGTGTCTCCTGGTGTCGAAGAATTTTTGAAAAAAAAAAAAAAAATTCTTATGAAATGATAGAGAATCTTTTCCCGATGGTAATGACACCAAAAGTATGAAATTTGATAGAAAACCTATGGAATTATGCTCTCGCGAAGTTAGCGACCTAGGCGATATTTATGAATTGGCTATTTCACCCACTTTGAGCCCTATTTTCGGCTAATTCCATTGTTCCAGTCAACCAAACTTACAGCTATTTCTTTAGAACTCCATTTGTTCTATCGGTTGAGTACAAGAAACTGCCCATTTACCAATTTCAACTACCCAATAAAGTGGTAAGAAATTGGCAATTTGGCCAGTTTCACGAAAATTAAAATATATGCCAATTTCAAAATAGGGTCCAGAATGAACAATGCAAACATTCCTGGCTCTAAAACAACATTTTCTTTGTTCATCAGTCACATCTCCAGCCCCTCTGATATTACTCTTTATTTTTATTTTGAATTTTTATTCAAACAAAAAATAGAAAATTTGCTGTTATGCAGACTACTGCAATATTGTAATAATTGTATAAATAATGTCAACCCATTCATGACTGCATATTAGAATGGCTAGTTGGACATTTATTGGACAATGACATCATTTGTTTACTTTTGAACATCGGCAAAAATCAAACATTTCCCCTACTTTGAACTCCATTCCAAGGTTCTTTTCATAGTAAAACCTTTTTGTATAAAATAATGAATAGATATCAAAAATAATCATAAACAGTCGTAAAAATTCATTGGCGCTTAGCAGCATTAGGCTAAGGTAAACCAGGTGATGGATTTGCATGGACTGCGGTAGTATTTTTGCTCACCTCAAATGATCCTGATATTAAGGGAACATTATCAAATATAAAAAAGCAAAAGTAAAATTGTGGCATGTTAAAAGGGATTCATATAATGATACATACCAGTATACAGCAGTATACACAAAAGCCCCCATTTGCACACTGTAGGTTTGTTGGTCGTGTAGCAGTACATGACCAAAATAGCAAAATCAGTAAACTTAAAAACTTAAACATGAAGTACTATTTTTAAAACACATGAAAAAAACATCACAAGTCCTAGCCATAGACACATCCACTTGCACACATCAAGACAGTAACTCAGTGAGTAGAAAGAGAACAAGGTCAGTCAGGTCCAAATCATGTACTGATCATGACTCAAAAGAGTGATAATGTCCTACAACTGTTCAATTGCAGCTAAATTGAGTGGCATTGAAAGACACAAAAATATTGCCAAGTGCAAAAAATTGTTGAACCATCCAGTACCAAAGACAATAATAATAATAATAATAATAATAATAATCATAATTATAATAATAATATCTTTATTTCTACAAGTACATGTACAAGGTATACAGGCCTAGCTGATATCGATGACATACTACTACATGTATATAGAAAGCCGCTTGTTATGCAGAGCATTTCGGGCAAATTAGGTCAGTTTTGTCCCAGGATGCAATCCACACCAGTCGACTAACACCCAGGTACCCATTTTACTAATGGGGAACATAGATAACTAGTGTAAAGAAACATGCCCAATGTTTCTACCCTTGCCGGGAATTGAACCTAGACCCTCGCTGTGTGAAGCGAGAGCTTTAGCAACCAGGCCACGGGGCACCGTAGATGGAAATCAAGGACCCCAATGGAAATTAAGGACTCTGTGAAAATGAAGGGTCCCCATGGAAATAAGTCATGTTATTCTAGGTAATTTACACATGCATATAATACTATGTATGATAATTTGTGTAACTGTATTTACATGTACCTGTACCTAAATAAACTTACTAATTTGAAAAACTAATCGATGATGTAAGAACAGAGGGAGAAATGTGTCTTTGTTCATTGTTGAGCATTGTTCATTACGAATAGTTGACCATTTAACCCTTTAACTGTCCAAATGTAGATACAGTATACATTTCCTCATGTAGCAATCCGAACGTAGATCTATGTTCGATTTTACATTCTTATGTGAAAAAAAAAGTAGATTTACATTCGGAGCACTACGCGAGCAAATGTATATATCTACGTTTGAACAGTTTAAGGGTTAAGTTAACTCTGACATTTCTGGATGTAAGAACCTTTTAAAATCAGGATTGGTGTTTAGCAGATCTAAAATAATTATATATATACTGGCATGTTTCTTAGTGCTGTTTCACATAAATTTAGCTGTGTCATGTAAATTTAGGGGGCAAGGGGGTAAGGCAGTTGGGATTGATGGGATAAAGATAGAAATGTTAAAAGCAGGAGGGGATATAGTTTTGGAGTGGTTGGTGCTATTATTTAATAACTGTATAGAAGAGTGTAAGGTACCTAGGGATTGGCAGAGAGCATGCATAGTTCCTTTGTATAAGGGCAAAGGGGATAAAAGAGAGTGCAAAAATTGTAGGGGAATAAGTTTGTTGAGTTGTAGGTAGTAGGTTGGTAAACAGCAGCCGCCCAGGGAGGTACTACCGGCCTGCCAAGTGAGTGTAAAACAGAATCCTGTAATTGTTTTACATGATGGTAGGATTGCTGGTGTCTTTTTTCTGTCTCTTAAACATGCAAGATTTCAGGTACGTCTTGCTACTTCTACTTACACTTAGGTCACACTACACATACATGTACAAGCATATATATACACACTCCTCTGGGTTTTCTTCTATTTTCTTTCTAGTTCTTGTTCTTGTTTATTTCCTCTTATCTCCATGGGGAAGTGGAACAGAATTCTTCCTTCGTAAGCCATGCGTGTTATAAGAGGCGACTAAAATGCCGGGGGCAAGGGCCTAGTAACCCCTTCTCCTGTATAAATTACTAAATTTATAAAGAGAAACTCTCTTTTTTCTTTTTGGGCCACACTGCCTTGGTGGGTTATGGCTGGTTTGTTGAAAAAAAAAAAAAAATAGTTGAGTATATGTACCTTTTAAAGTATATGGTAGAGTTATTATTGAGAGAATTAAGAGTAAGACAGAGAGTAGGATAGCAGATGAACAAGGAGGCTTTAGGAAAGGTAAGAGGTGTGTAGACCAAGTGTTTACAGTGAAACATATAGGTGACCAGTATTTAGATAAGAGTAAAGAGGTTTTTGTGGCATTTATGGATTTGGAAAAGGCGTATGACAGGGTGGATAGGGGGGCAATGTGGCAGATGTTGCACGTGTATGGTATAGGAGGTAGGTTACTGAAAGCAGTGAAGAGTTTTTAGGAGGATAGTGAGGCTCAGGTTAGAGTATGTAGGAGAGAGGGAGATTATTTCCCAGTAAAAGTAGGTCTTATACAAGGATGTATGGTGTCACCATACATCCGTGTTGGCAAGAGGTGTGGAGTTAAAAGATAAAGAATCAAACACAAAGTGGGAGTTGTCACAGTTGCTCTTTGCTGATGACACTGTGCTTTTGGTAGATTCTGAAGAGAAGTTGCAGAGGTTGGTGGATGAATTTTGGTAGGGTATGTAAAAGAAGAAAATTAAAAGTGAATGTAAGAGAGAGTAAGGTTATAAGGATAACAAAAAGATTCGGTGACAAAAGATTGGATATCAGATTGGAGGGAGAGAGTATGGAGGAGGTGAATGTATTCAGATATTTAGGAGTGGACGTGTCAGCAGATGGGTCTATGAAGGATGAGGTGAATCATAGAATTGATGAGGGGAAAAGGGTGAGTGGTGCACTTAGGAGTCTGTGGAGACAAAGCAAAGAGGGGAATGTATGAGAGTATAGTTGTACCAGCACTCTTGCATGGGTGTGAAGCATGGGTGATGAATGTTGCAATGAGGAGAGGGCTGGAGACAGTGGAGATGTCAGGTCTGAGGGCAATGTGTGGTGTGAATATGATGCAGAGAATTCGTAGTTTGGAAATTAGGAGAAGGTGTGGGATTACCAAAACTTATCCAGAGGGCTGAGGAGGGGTTGTTGAGGTGGTTCGGACATGTAGAGAGAATGGAACAAAACAGAATGACTTCGAGAGTGTATAAATCTGTAGTGGAGGGAAGGAGGGGTAGGAGTCGACGTAGGAAGGGTTGGAGGGAAGGGGGTAAAGGAGGTTTTGTGTGTGAGGGGCATGGACTTCCAGAATGTACAGTGGACCCCCGCTTAACGATCACCTCCCAATGCGACCAATTATGTAAGTGTATTTATGTAAGTGCATTTGTATGTGTATGTTTGGGGGTCTGAAATGGACTAATCTACTTCACAATATTCCTTATGGGAACAAATTCAGTCAGTACTGGCACCTGAACATACTTCTGGAATGAAAAAATATCGTTAACCGGGGGTCCACTGTACTTGATAGGAGTGAATGGAGACAAATGGTTTTTAATATTTGACGTGCTGTTGGAGTGTGAGCAAAGTAACATTTATGAAGGGATTTAGGGAAACTGGCAGGCCGGACTTGAGTCCTGGAGATGAGAAGTACAGTGTCTACACTCTGAAGGAGGGGTGTTTAATGTTGCAGTTTTATAATTGTAGTGTAAAGCACCCCTCTCGCAAGACAGTGATGGAGTGAATGATGATGAAAGTTTTTTTTTTTTTCAGGCCACCCTGCCTTGGTGGGAATTGGCTGATGTGTTAATATAAAAAATAAATAATGTAAATTTAGCATGTTTCACCTGGGATAACATTTATCTTTTTTTTCTTTCAAAATTTAGCCAGTCAGAACTGGGGGAAAAGGGCATCCTCGACACTGGAGCATTGGTAACTGACCACATGGGTGGCTGTTTACACTAAGGAGGGAAGTCAGGACTCTCAAAACACTAGCTTTGAAGAATTAGACACATGCGCAGTGTCTGGGTATCTTGTCGGTAGTGTATGCCATTTATGTACAACTTGTCAGACACGGCAGCATCATGGAATCTAGGTACAGAGGACATCTACACAATCTTCTTCCTTACTACTGGCCCATTTCTTGGGTATAACGTACTTCCACTGGGGATTTCCACGTACCAATGACAATGCCTTCGTCTGCTGCATGTCCTACACCTGTCACCAGTATTTAAGTGCCAAGCTCCATGACTATGCTTGAGTTCCATTCAAGACTACAGTGCTGTTCACCATCTCCAAGGCTGAGGGATTGATTACCTCATCTTTTGTATATAATTAATAAACCACTAGCTTGCAAAATGTCTACAATTATAGATACCCAGATGTTGCACATGTGTCTGATTCTTCATCTTGTCAGTAGTGTATACTATTTATGTACAACACTAGCTTTGTCCTGTGCATGTAGGAAAAATATCCCACCTTATAGTTAAGCTAAATTTCATGTGAAAAGTGGACGTGTGTTTATTTCCCCAAACTTTACAGTATGATTGTGGGGTCACATTCCTGCAAAGCATGAGCTAGTAAACAAAATTTCAGTCATGATTTATTGAAAATTCAGTTTGTGGTGACCCAAAATGTAAAAGTCTACTGTACTTTGGTTAACTTTGAAAATTGGTTTGACAAATACATTAGTGAGAATAATTGTATATTTGTAGGTTATGGCTAGCATGGGGAAGGCTCCATTGTGTTTCACTGATTTATAAATAATATTTAATGAGCAGAAAAAAATATTTGAGCCTTTTTATTTTCTGTCATGATTATTTAACCCAGAATTCTTTGCCGAAGTGATCTTTTTTTTCTTACAACAGATTACAAAGGATGATGGTGGGGAATACCAATGTGTAACGTCAACTAAGCCACCAGCGTACTCGGTGTTCAATGTGCTTATAGTACCAGAGGATACTGATTTAGGTGAGTAACACTACAATACAGCACTGACACCACTTACCACCTCCACCTACCACTATCACCTACTCCTAAGGCCACTGTCACTACCTAAGGCCTAAACTTCCCAAGATATTTTGGTAAATGTTTGGTTCATATAATGTTGGTGTATATTATATGCTTCATAGCCAGAGCTTGATGATTTGACTTGTTTGAGAAATATAGTTTTCCTGAACAAATGAAGCATATTTTGCTGAAACTATGATAAATATCACAGATTTAATATATTTAATTGATGTTAAGTAATACTAACTTCAGTTAGCATAAGTTGTAGATTTAGGCTATATTATACACAAATTCTAGCAAGGTAAAGTTTAGTGTAAAATCTTAAATATGTTTACCATGTTAATTCTCATTAATATATTTGTCAATTGAGAAGAAAAAGCAATTTATAAAAAATTGAATGTTTGAGCATTCTGGTTAAAAAACATGACATGCTTATGCTGTATAAGCATGTCATGCTTATACTATACTGGGTTACGTCTGGGGAATTTCCATCTGTGATTCTCCAACCTATTCTAGGTCCAGTGGTGGTCAGATAACCTGGTCTTCATTGTACATGTTCCATTACAAGTATGACTCATATATATATATTTTAACACATCGGCTGTTTCCCACTGAGGCAGGGTGACCCCAAAAAGAAAAAAAAAGAACTTTTATCATCAGTCAACACTTTCACCATTGCTCATACATAATCACTGTCTTTGCAGAGGCTCTCAGATACGACAGTTTAGATGTCCCACCAAACTTCCAATATCCCAAACCCCTCTTTTAAAGTGCAGGCATTGTACTCCCTGGCTGGAAAAATTGACAGCCATCTTATAAACTGGAGACGAAACTTGGACAATGTTTTTAGTCTGTCCAGAAACATTAAATCTTGCCTAATAGGTTTCCTTTAAAATTTGATAAAATGGGGTGATTATAAAAGTACTTTATACCTAATTCTGAGTTGTAACTGGATGTTTTTCAGAATTACCTGAAGCGAGTACAACTGAAGTGCCATATCTTCCTACAACAACAGAGGGTAAGACTACAGGTAATTGTACCATTATTTGTATTCAAAGTCAAGCTTTTATTTCTTATCTAATAGCATTACTTCATGTTATATACAGTCAAACTCTAAAATTCATGAGGGTTACAGTCCTAGAGTCTTCACAAAACATAAATTCTTGAAAAATACAAAATGATGCATGTCTGTATATCTGTAATTGAATTTTTGTATTTTACAGTGGTACCTCGAATGTTGGCCTTAATTCGTTCCAGAAGGTTGTTCGAGTGCCGTTACCAAACGAATTTGTTCCCATAAGGAATAACGTAAATTAGATTAGTCCGTTTCAGACCCCCAAAAATACACTTACAAAAGCACTTACAAGAATACACTTACATAATTGCTCAAGTTGGGAGCTGTTTGAAATTCGAGGTACTTCTGTACTTGCGTGTACATTAATAGAACTGATAAATAATAGTAAATAATATTGTTCAATAAATAATGATGAGTGTATACTTTACACAGATAACTGTATTTTTGGAATTCCACATATGAAATAAATTCATTAAATATGGCTGCTGCATAGTGGCATACGGAAATTTTTCCTGACCTTAGCACACATTCATGTTTCATATTACACTGTATCTTTATTATTGCACCCACATTCAAAAAAATATTAGAAATTAAACTTTTAAATTGGAATAACACTGCTCTGTGCAAATTCCATGTAAATATCAAATAAGGTATCAGGGTTTGAGATTTGTGTTAGCTTTATTTTTTATCACTTGAACTTAAACTGAGTTGACATTGTTGTTGCTGGTGTGTAGAGAATTACTAAATTCCTGAGGCCATATGAACCCTGCAGCCAAAATCATCTATATTACAAGGTGCAGTGAGGATAGATGTTGGAGCTCACCACTATGATCCATGACCCACAAGGTCATATGTATGGGCCAGGATATCTCAGTAGTCCAAATGGTAGTAAGCTGGTACTGAATCTTGCCAGTTGTGAGTTTCTTTGAAATTACCCAGCAACCTGGCCTTGGGTTTGACCATCATTGCTTGTTGGAAGAAACTGTGGAAAAAGGCAGTGAATGACTTCACTGCTCCCTTCAGCACTGAGTAGAGTTGCAAGAATTTTGAGCTTGGCTTGTCAATTTGAATGAAAAGGTTTTGTAGATATGTAGCATGGAGTGGTGGAAGAACTGCTTGCAAAACACAGTGAGGTACTGACTAATGGTGAAATTGCAGAGATGCTAAAGATTAAGTCAAGAAAACCAGGATTGGGCTCCTCATGTCTCATTGAATAGGAATAACCTACTGCAAATGAAATTTAAATAACCTACTTTATGAATAGAATGTTTATTCTGGATCCAGTGTTGGAGAGGAGCAATAAGTTCACAAGAAAGTGGAAGTGCAAGTGATTGAATAGTTATAATGTAGAAGAGGATGACAATTCATTGTTGATTTCATAAATATTTTCATTCTGTGTGAACTTAATAAATGTAATTTGTTATTCTTCTTTCAACAAGCCAGCCGTATCCCACTGAGGCAGGGTGACCCAAAAAGAAAAACAAAAGTTTCTCTATTTAACTTTAGTAATGTATACAGGAGAAGGGGTTACTAGCCCCTTGCTTGTTATTTATTTTTTGTTATTATCTCTTAATATTAAAGGTGGATGTGAGTTCCCCTCCCAGTGGATTGGTAGCTGGTACCAGACTGACTTTGACCAGAAAGTGACCATTGCTGCTTATGAATTTGGCAAAAGCACATGTGTTAATTCTTCAAGCAATAGTTACCTGGTTCAGCATTTGTAAGTAGGTTACTTCAATAGCTTGTATATTTTCAAAATATTTAATAGGGAGGCAATATTATTAAGAGTGACTGTATAATTATATTTGTTCTTTATCTTTATATACAGACTTAAGAGAGTGCACTGCATTTCCTTCAGATTAACACAGTTTTCAGTGCTGCAACAAATTATTAATCAAAGAAAGAAAGAAAGAAAAGAAAGTTATAAAGGTTTAACTGCGTATTGTGAAGTACATAAATTGTAAGTAAAAAATTTACAAAGTAACAGAGAAAATTTAAGATACTGTAAATGCCATTCTTGGTGTTCCACAATTATCCTAGCTTGAGAGGAAAAAAGTGCAGTACTTAACCCTTTGACTGTCGCAGGCCCCTTTCTGAAACTGTCATTCTATGTCGATAAATTTTTGGAAAAAAAAAAATTATTTTTTCTTATGAAATGATAGAGAATCTTTTACCGATGGTAATGACACCAAAAGTACGAAATTTGGTCGAAAACTCACGGAATTATGCTCCCACGAAGTTAGCGGTCTCGGTGACATATACACATCGGTGATTTCGCTGACTTTGAGCCCTGTTTTTGGCCAATTCTATTGTTCCAGTTGACCAAACTCATAGCTATTTCTTTAGAACTCCATTTTTTCTATGAGTTGAGTACAAGAAACTGCCCATTTACTGATGTGAACTACCCAATAAAGTGGTCAGAAATTGGCAATTTGGCCAATTTCATGCAAATTAAAAAAGATGGCAATTCCAAAATAGGGTCCAGAATAAGCAACATAGACATTCTTGGCACTAAAATAACATATCCTCTGTTCATTAGTCACATCTCTAGGCCCCTCTTATATTACTATTGCTTTCTATTTTGATTTTTTATTCATACAAAAAAATACAAAATTTACTGTTATGCAGACTACTGCATTATTGTAAAAATGGTATAAATAATATCAGTGCACTAGTGAAAGAATATTAGACTCCCCAGTGGAAGTGTATTGGACATGTGGTGTGATCTGCTTACTCCTGAACATTGGTAAAAATCGAACATTTCTGCTACTTTCAGCTCAATTTCAAGGTCGTTTTCATCGTGAAAGTAATCAAAATCATCTCTATTTCTGTAATGTGTTTTTCATTTTATCACCTGAGACCATGAAAACGAGAATACAACAATAAATACTATACAAAAATACACCTCAAAGTCAGCGTTTTAATCCAAAAAAATGGTCAGAGTTTTTTTTCTCATTACGCACTGCGTGCTGCAGGATTTTTTTTATGTGGTGCACACTGACCACACAGACCCATTCTCTCACATGTGGGCCTACCAGCTTTCTCCCGCTTGATTTGAAGCTGCTAGAATTTATGCGTATAAATACATCAGAAACAGTGGCGCATAAGACGTATATATACGACCGAAACAGTCAAAGGGTTAATAGATATAAAATATGCCAGAAATGTGTTGCATACTACTGTAGTGGCTTTCTTTTGTGCCTAACAATGTTTTATTACATGTAAACTACATTATCTTTGTACTGCATAAAAAGAAATAAAAATTTGAATTTGAAAGCTAATGTTAATCCTTTCAGGATTTCGGACGTACTAGTACAGCTTACGCACCAGGGTTTTTGACATACTAGTATGCCTAAATTCTAGCGCCCTCAAATCTAGTGAGAGAAAGCTGGTAGGCCTACATATGAAAGAATGGGTCTATGTGGTCAGTGTGCACAGTATAAAAAAAATCCTGCAGCACACAGTGCGTAATGAGGAAAAAAAAGCTTTGACCATGTTTTTGGATTAAAACAGTGACTTTGCACTATATTTTCGTATGGTATTTATTGTTGTATTCTAGTTTTCCTGGTCTCATTTTATAGAATGGAAGACATATTACAGAAATTGAGATGATTTTGACTGGTTTTACAATGAAAAGTACCTTGAAATTGAGCTCAAAGTAACAGAAATGTTCAAGTTTTACCGAAGTTCAAAAGTAAACAAATCATGCTAAGCGTCCAATACATGTCAACTGGTGAGTCTAATATTCTTTCACAAGTGCGCCGATATTATTTATACCATTTCTACACTAATGCAGTAGTCTGCATAACAGTAAATCTTCTATTTTTTGTGAGAATAAAAATTCAAAGTGGGAAGCAAAAGAATGTAAGAGGGACATGGGGACGTGACTAATGAACAGAGGAATGTTATTTTAGTGCCAGGAATGTCTTTCTTGTTTATTCTGGACCCTATTTGGAAATTGGCATCTTTTGAAATTTGTGTGAAATTGGCAAAATTGCTAAATTCTGACCACTGTATTGGATAGTTGAAATCGGTAAATGGGTGGTTTCTTGTACTCATTCGATAAAAAAAATGGAGTTCTACCAAAATAGTTATGATTTTTGTTGACTAGTACACTGGAATTGGCCGAAAATAGGGCTCAAAGTGGGCAAAATCGCCGATGCGTAAACATCGTCGAGACTGCTAAGTTCGCGAGAGCATAATTCCATAAGTTTTCCATAAAATTTCATACTTTTGGTGTCATTATGATCGGGAAAAGATTCTCTATCTTTTCACAAGAAAAAATAATTTTTTTTTTTTTAAATTTGGGCGACCCTGAGAACAAGTCTGGGAGAGGGCCTGGGGACCCTGAAAGGGTTAATTGTAAGGAGGGTTAAAAAATGAAAGTCAGGAATCCAGATGAGAAACAAAAAAAAAAAATATATATCGTATAGTCACATGAAAAATTACAGTGGGGGGGGGCATTTTTGTTCATTATGACATAGACGTCTTTGCTGTTGAAGCATACTGCACCTAGGAAATAATCATGCATACAAGGCAATGATCCTGCTGGATAATGCTTCATCCCATCCCATTAATTTACTAATCTTTCGTAGTCTCTTCTATTTGAAAAACTTATAATTAAATAAATTTTTTTTCTTTGATAAAATTCTTTGCAAATTTGATTTTTTTTTTTTAACAAGTTGGCCATCTCCCACCAAGGCAGGGTGGGAGAAATTGAAATTGTAATGCTTAAATTCATTAGAATTGTAAGCATGAGAATTCTGACGCATGAAATCATAATGACATGATTGCAAACAAACCATACCACAAGTGGGGTTTGAACCTGCGATCAGAGAGTCTGTAGTTTTGAGACTCTCTGATCGTGGGTTCAGACCCCATCTGTGGTATGGTTTATGAGAATTCTGAATAAGAGAGAAAAGATTGTCATGATAATTATTTGATATTTTGGCACTAGGAGCTAGACCAAGAGTTTACCTGTTCTATCTATGTATTTCTTTTCAGCATCATTCATTTTTGTTTCTGAGGTAATGGTTTTCATCTTAGCAATTACTGCTTGCTTAATCACTCCTTAATCCATTAAAACTCATTTTGGGTGTGGACCATTAACATTAAGCAAGAATGATACCTGTCCCTAAGCTAAACAGGTCACATGATTGACTTAAGTAATACGAAGGGAACAGTTCAACCTTGAAGTTCCTTATTTGCAATTATACTGCACTTTTAACTATGTATTTGTATTGACAGGAGCAGAGCATTGCTTGTGTAGTCACAGCATCAACATTTAGTTTATGATCTAATTTTTGTTATGTTTCTGGTGGTTGTATCATATACTATCTCCTTTTGGATTCTTTTCAGACATTTGAATGCTTTTTGCTTAGAAATACTTTCTAATCTAATTTTGGTCTCTGTATATCACTTGATCTGTATGTGCCAGTTTTATTGTGCCTTTCATTGAACACATCTCTCAGTGAACTGATTTTCCTGTCCTATCCTACTTTCCTATCTTACTTTGATTACCTAAGTGGCACTTATCAAGACTTCCTCTACCTGTCACTAAGAAATTCTACAAAGGTAACATCAATAATAAATGCACTAAAAACAAAACAGGGAACAGAGTAAGTACACCAACATACATGCAATAAAACTGGATCACAGTAAACAAGTGATAACACAATATGCAATATAACTCTAATGAAAAAACAGTGAAATTCAAAGTTTCATGATTTTTCACATTTTCAAAGAATAGTGCACCACCATTCATATAAAAGACAGCTGTCCATGTACTATCTCCTGTTATTGAAACTAAAACTTTCCCTAATATACTTCAGCTAGCTCATGGTGCTCCAGTCCACAAAGGAGGAGACCCAACTGAAATCATTTATAAACCAATCTCTAACTTACCATTATTGTCTAAAATCTTTGAAAAGATAATACTTGGTAAAGAGGGTGAGAAACACTATAGAATTCAAGATAAAGTTTGTAGAAAGATACGAAAGTGGTGGTGGTAGTGGGTGGTAGTGTTGGTGGTACACCAGCCAGGGTACTTCCCCACACACCAGCCAGGGTACTTCCCCATACACCAGCCAGTGTACCTCCCCATACACCAGCCAGGGTACTTCCCCACACACCAGCCAGGGTACTTCCCCACTCACCAGCCAGAGTACTTCCCCACACACCAGCCAGGGTATTTCCCCACACACCAACCAAGGTACTTTCCCACACACCAGCCAGGGTACTTCCCCACACACCAGCCAGGGTACTTCCCCACACACCAGCCAGGGTACTTCCCTACACACCAGCCAGGGTACTTCCCCACACACCAGCCAGGGTACTTCCCCACACACCAGCCAGGGTACTTCCCCACACACCAGCCAGGGTACTTCTCCACACACCAGCCAGGGTACTTCCCCACACACCAGCCAGGGTACTTCCCCACACACCAGCCAGGGTACTTCCCCACACACCAGCCAGGGTACTTCCCCACACACCAGCCAGGGTACTTCTCCACACACCAGCCAGGGTACTTCCCTACATAGCAGCCATGGTACTTCCCCACACACCAACCAGGGTACTTTCCCCCACACCAGCCAGGGTACTTCCCCAAACACCAGCCAGGGTACTTCCCCATACACTAGCCAGGGTACTTCCCCACATACTAGCCAGGGTACTTCCTCACACACCAGCCAGGGTACTTCCTCACACACCAGCCAGGGTACTTCCCCATACACTAGCCAGGGTACTTCCCCACATACTAGCCAGGGTACTTCCTCACACACCAGCCAGGGTACTTCCTCACACACCAGACAGGGTACTTCCCCACACACATGATTTGATTTGAGTGGGACTTATGCATGAATGAACAGAATTATGAAAGCTTATTGCTTGGGAAGCACTGAAAATTGGGTTGGGCAAATACGATTCTGTTAGATGGATGGGTTGTGAAGGACCTGCCTAGTATGGGCCAATAGGCCTGCTGCAGTGTTCCTACTTTCTTATGTGCAAGCATTTATGGACGAAGATTACCCTGACACAGCTGTTTTAGGCCATGCTGGCAACATCTACAATGACAATGTTGTGTCCCATTTTAGAGAAATCTTAAAGAGACTCCAAAAACAGAGCTTTCTGAACAGATATTTAGTGCCACACTTGTACAGTGACTCTCAAGCTGGTCCTAGTGGCATTAAAAAACAAAGAAGGGAAGTAACCCCGGAAAAGGACTTGGTACCTGAAGTCTTTATGGAAGGGGATTCCCCTTCCAAACAATAGTACACCTCCATCCTCTTCCCTCCAACCATCTCATCACTCATCAATAAGTCTTTAATAAAGGTAGGTATCATTTTAGCAATGTTTTACTCTGCATGTCTCATTGTTTTCTGTGTAGAGAAATGTATATTTCAAGTAAAAAAATTATTTTCTTTAATACTTTTGGGTGTCTGAAATGGAATAATTGGATTTCCATTATTTCTTTTGGGAAAAATTAATTCAGATTAAGTCAGATTCGATATAAGACACTCTCTCTGGAATGGATTAATCATGTTATCCGGGGGTCCACTGTACTTTGCTGGTACTGCCTGGCCAAGTTGACAACCCGCACACCTTGCTCGTGTTTATCTATGGTTTCATTCTTTAATTCAATGGACATCATCCTCTTTTTCTTCTCAGCACTGTCCTTTGCACTTACTTTCTTAGGATCCATGGTTAGAAAAAAGAAATTTGGCAAAATAACTGCACAAAATGCAAGCACAACACGAGAAATGCTTCCACTGTGAGGTAAACACATGCACTGCTGAGCGAATGTTGTGGTGTTTGCTGCACCAACTAGTGGCGGCGTTCTGAAGCTTGCTCATAACTCGGATTTTGGCTTGTAACTCAGAGCAAAAAATCGACCAAGCGACAGCTTGTAACTTAAAAAACTCATATGTTGGGGCACTCGTAAGTCGAGGTTCCGCTGTATAGGGATGCCTCAGTGTAGCATCCTGGGCCCACTCTTATTCCTCACCTACATCATTGACCTACTGAATGCCTCCCAAGACCTTAAACCAGTCCTGTTTGCAGATGATGCATTTGTTATATCTAATCTAGGTCCTGTTGTCCTCAACAACACATTAAATGAGGAGTTTGTGGAGATTCCTACCTGCATGGCAACCAATAAATACTTATAACATTGACTAGACCTTCTACTTGTTCTCTGGATTTTTTTTTTCATCAAACTGGCCATAAAAATATTTCAATATAAAAATAAATAATTCTCACATAGAAAGGCAAGATGAGGGAAAATTCTTAGGGTTTCACTGCAACCTTGAATTCAGCACTCACATCCAACATATATCTTAAGAGAATTTCCCAAACTGTGGTTATTTCATCAAAAATACACTATTATGTTCCCTAAACATTACTAAGTCTGTACTACTCAATCTATCCTTAACTCACTTATGATATTTGGGATCTACCACAGCAAATTACCTAAACCAACACATGCACACTTACCACTGTGCATTTTATATAAACAGAACACTCAGAACAGACCTCAATCCAGCTCTGAGTCTTCCTGGAGAGCTGCAACAGAACATATAGACACAATATAAGAAATAAATATCTTTGATATACCACATGTTCAACTTAGCCTATACAGGAACTCCATGCAAGTAAAGGGCTCTAAAATTTGGAACTTCTTTCTAGAAGATGCAAAAAGTTTCTCTTCAGAATTATTGTCAAAAAACACCTCCTTAATTTGACTTAAACCCTACTTAGACAATTCATGTTTAACCCTTTGAGGGTCGAGAGGCCCTCTCCTAAACTTGCTCTCAGGGTTGAAAATTTTTCAAAAAAAAAAAAAGTTTTTTCCTATGAAATGATAGAGATTCCTTTCCCGATCATAATGACACCAAAAGTATGAAATTTGATGGAAAACTTACAGAATTATGCTCTCACAAAGTTAGAGGTCTCGATGATGTTTACGCATCGGCGATTTCACCCACTTTGAGCCCTATTTTTGGCCAATTCTAGTGTACTAGTCGACAAAAATCATAACTATTTTGCTAGAACTCCATTTTTTCTATTGAATGAGTACAAGAAACCACCCACTTACTGATTTCAACTATACAATAAAGTGGTCAGAAATTGGCAATTTTGCCTATTTCACACAAATTTCAAAAATGCCAATTTCCAAATATGGTCCAGAATAAACAAGACAGACATTCTTGGCACTAAAATAACATTTCCCCTGTTCATTACTCATGTCCCCAGGCCCCTCTTACATTTCTTTTGCTTTTCACTTTGAATTTTTATTCTCACAAAAAATAGAAGATTTACTGTTATGCAGACTACTGCATTAGTGTAGAAATGATATAAATAATATCAGCGCACTTGTGAAAGAATATTAGACTCACCAGTTGATGTATATTGGACGTGTGGCATGAATTGTTTACTTTTGAAAGTGTGCAAAAATTGAACATTTCTGCTACTTTGAGCTCAATTTCAAGGTACTTTTCATTGTGAAACCAATCAAAATCATCTCAATTTCTGTAATACGTCTTCCATTCTATAAAATGAGACTAGGAAAACTAGAATACAACCATTAATGCCACATGAAAATACAGTGCAAATTCGCTGTTTTAAACCAAAAACACGGTCAAATTTTTTTTTTCTCATTACGCATTGTGTGCTGCAAGTTTTTTTTTATACTGTGCACACTGACCACAAAGACCCATTCTTTCTTATGTAGGCCTACCAGCTTTCTCTCGATAGATTTGAAGGCGCTGGAATTTATGTGTACTAGTATGTCACTAACCCTGGTGCGTAAGACGTACTAGTACGTCGGAAACCCTGAAAGGGTTAAACAATCTTATCTTTCTTCCAAATCATATTGGCATTTATAATGATGTTCACATTATCACTAAATTGTTGCAACATTTAAGTAGACAACCTACTTTTCTTATGCACATTAGTAGGATATGACTCATCCCAGAGTCAGAATGTGTGTTAAAACCAACCCCCAATAAAAAAGATCATCATATAGAATATACTAAGCCGTAAATGAGGTCACTCTTATCTTGTACACACTTTGTTAATATCGTAATTTTTGGAAGTCAAGAAGGTGAAGCCATATTAATATAATTAAATATTCTTAGACCATTGCTAATATTTATTACAATACATTAGAATGCTTATGGAAAATTCAGACTTTAAGAGATCAGCATAGCTTTAGATTTTACAAGTTTTCCCCATGCTTTGCCAAGCAAAATAATGTATAATATTTAGCCTGAGTGCTTTTAAAAATCCGGATTTGCTTAAGTATTGTTTTTTAATTATTATGATTTTTTCCAGAAAAAAAGAGTGTTATCGATGTGTTCAGATAACAGAACAGCATCAAAATTTACTTCAGTATAAAAAATGTAAGTTTACTTTTTTAGTGTACAGGCTCTCCTCACTTAACGACGGAATTTCAAATTCGTCACTAAATGAGGAACATACTATAATGGTAGTGGGTTTGTGTCAACTATCTTTGACAGTGTTTTAATGTCACCTTTGCATCATTTAAAACATTTCTGGTATATTTTTAAATGCTTGTATTGTACTGTATATTGAATAGCTATGTACTGTATATTGAAATAAACAGAATAGTGGGAATCAGCTCTAATATACATTATTTAGGTATAAATACTCATCATAGACCCTGTCATAAGCCTGAGGCGTCGGTAAATGAGTACGTTGCTAAGTGAGGAGAGGCTGTATTTATATATGTATGTATGTTGCTGTATGTATACAATTGTCTGCCATGACAGTTCATTTGTATGAAGTACAATCAGAACTATTATAAAATTCCTCCATTATTTTATTATGCTGCTATGAAATTTTAGTTGAGCTTTTTTCAATTTCTCTATAACAAAATTGCATTAAATGATATTGCATTTTCCGAGGGTCTACTGTACCCGAGTTATTTAATGCACGCCACTTTTAAAAATAAAATTGTCAAATTGGCACATACACAGTCAAGTTATTACCAATTCCAGAATCAGAAATAGTCTGCTTGCAATTAGGCAGAGGGTACTTGCACATGCCAATACAGTAAGTCCTCAATTAGTGTCATTTTGTTGTAATGTTGATGAGAGAAAAAATCAATTTCCGGCTGGGGCAACTGTCTGTTTGGAGTTTGCACATTAGTTTTTGACTTGTGTGTTGGTAGGAGCTGCTCCTTACAATTTTTGCTTTGCAAACATTTATTCCTTGATTTCACCCTGCTACAACGAGTGGTAAAGGTGCACTGTGCACCCCTGATGCTTTTATCAAATTAGCCTGTCTTAAAATTGGTTTTGTTATACGTATGTTTTTTCACTTAAAGTTGACGTTTTCAAGAACCTGTTGACAAAGTTAAGTGAGGACTTACCGTAGTTGCACGACCGTTTCCCTAGCTACAGTAAATCAGCATTGAAAATTTGAGGCCGATCAGATCAGGCACTTTTACAATATAAACAATGCGATAATTGGTTTTGAAAACTGACAGCTTGAAGAATTGAGGCACTTATGCAACATATGGGAATCTTTTTTGAAGAAACTTTTTGCCATACAGTGGCTTCATTCCCCAATAAAAAGCAAAGGTATAAGGAAGATATTTAGGAAATCAGTCCCTCATTGGAATTGATGGTTCAGTCCACCCTTTTGTGGAAGTACAGAAAAGGGCCAGAGAATAGCTTATATACTCCAGTCGGGTCATCAACAGGGGGGGGGGATCGCAGTGGGACCCCACAGTGTAAGTGGGTCTTCGCCAAAGATTCAAGCGTTGAAGAATTCTTTGTATCAAGACCAATGATGTTACAGTGTCTGACGATGTATAAAGGGTTTTTTGAAAACGACAGCTTTATTGGGAATCTTTTTTGAAAAAAATTTTTCCCATAGTTCATAAGTTTCAATCTTCAAGCTGTGGGTTTTCAAAAATTTTATACATTTTCAACACTAAACCCAAGGGGTCTTTACTAGAATTCTTCAACACTTGTCCAATCTTTGGACAAGACCTATTTATTAGGGGAGGGTCCCACTATGATCTCGCCCCTCCTGCTTTGACTCACCTGACCCTATGCTGTCTTCCACAATAGTGTGGTGAACACTCAATTCCAGGCTAAGGACTGATTACTTCAACCCCCCTTCCTTCCCTTCCCTCTTTGTATTGGACTAAGCCACTGTGTGGAAAAAACGTTTTTTTCTAAAGCCCCCCCCATATTTGCATAAGTGCTCAGTTCTTCACTATAAAAAATAACCTTTAATGTAGGAAAAATCTTAAAACCACTTAAAGGTCCCCCTTTGTAAACCCTGGAAAAGTCTGATGTAAATTTTCTTTGTAATTGGGGGTAAAATAAAGGGGATGATCATTTATGTTTTTAAAAATGGGTAAATGAAAAATGTAATCTAAAACTAAAATAATTTTTTTAAATAAATTTATATAAACTAACAATGATTTAAATATTAAATGTTATGCTGAAAAGAGGAGTGATTGGGGGAATGATGATGTAAAGAATAAAGGGAAAAAAAGTTAGCATATGAAAGTTTTTACAAGTAGAAGTGATGCAAGGGGGGAAAGTAATGGAAAAAAAGAAGAAGTAAGAGAGTGGTGAAGCAAGTAAAAAGAGAGAAAATGAGAGAGGGGGTAGATTTTATCAAAAAATTTTTTGTTGAAATAAAAAAAGTTTTGGAGTAAATTAAAAGTTAAGAAAGTAAAACAAATGGATTTGTCATTAAAAAAAGGAAGGGGAGATTATTAAATGGAGATGGGGTTTTGGGGAAGATGGAAGGAATATTTTGGGGAAATTTTTAAAATGTTGTGAAGATGGGGAAGCTGTATTTGTGTATAGGGCAAGGGGGAATAAACTTAGGAGGAGGAAGAGCCTTTGAGTGGGGGGAAAGTTCGGAGGCTAGAAAAAATGAAAGGGGAAAGGCGGGGGATTGAGGGGATAAAGATGAAATTTTAAAAAGGGGGGGGATATAGTTTTGGAGGGGTTGGTGCAATTTTTAAAAAATTTGATGGAAAGGGAAGGGTACCTGGGATTGGCAGAGAGCATGCATAGTTCCTTTGTATAAAGGAAAAGGGGGAAAAAAGAGAGTGCAAAAATTATGGGGGGATAAGCTGTTGGTGTACCGGAAAATGTATGGTAGAGTTTAATTGAAAAAATTTAAAGTAAGAGGGGAAAATAGGATACAATGAAAAAGGGAGGGCTTGGGAAAAGGTGGGGGGGTGTGTGCCCAGGTTTACAGTGAAACATTAAGTGAACTATTTAATAAGGCTAAAGGGGTTTTTGTGGCATTTATGGTTTGGGGAAAAGGCGTATGACAGGGGGATGGGGGGGCAATGTGGCAGATGCAAGGTAGGGTTTAGAGGTAGTTACAAAAGCATGAAGATTTTTTCGGGGATAGTAGGCTAAAGTTAGAGTATGTGGGAAAGGGGGAAATTTTTTCCCATAAAAGTGGCCTTAAAAAGGATGTTGATTTTCCCGGGTTGTTTAATATATTTTGGAGGGGGTTGTAAGAGAGAAAAAGCGGGGGTTTTTGGCAAAGGCGTGGATTAAAAAGAAAAAGAATCACAAAAAAGGGAGTGTCACAGCTCTCTTGCTGATGACACTGTGCCTTGGAGAGTTCGGGAAGAAGTGTGCAGAGATGGTGGATATTTTAGGGTGTGCAAAAAGAAGAAATTAAGGGTAAATACAGGAAGGGATAAGTTGAGGATAACAAAAAGATTAGGTGATGAAAGATTGAATATCAGATTGGAGGGAGAGAGTTGGAGGAGGTGAACGTATCAGATATTTGGAGTGGCGAGTCAGCATGGTCTCTGAAAGTGAGGTGAATCATAGGAAGTGATGAGGGAAAATGGATGTGCATTTAAAGGAGTCTTGGAGACAAAAAAATTGTCCATGAGGCAAAGAGTTCTTTGTATAAGATCAGTTTTACCATGTCTTATATGGGGTTGAATGGGTGTTGAAGTTGCAGCTAGGGAATCTTTTGGAGATATTTCATAGATGTCATGCTGAGGCAATTCTTCACTGTGGATTTAATGCAGACCAATTGTAGTTTGTTAGGCAGAGTCATTCCAAACGTTGTCCATGCTAGAAGTTTCCATTGAGGTGGACGAAACATGAAAGAGAATGGAGCGAACTAAATGATCTCAACATGTATCATCTGTAGTCGAGAAGGCGGGTAGGGGTCGCCATATGAATGGCTGAAAGCAATAGGCTAAAGGAGTTTTTTGCAGGTCCTTGACTTCCAGCGGCTGCGTTGTATTTGATAGAAGCAAGGGGGACAAATGGTTTTCAGTAATACCTTACTTGCTTTGAGTGTGAGCAAGTACCATTATAAAGAATTTCAGGGAAACCGTAAAGCCACTTAGTCCTGGTGATGAGTAGCCTGCACACTGAGGAGGGATGTTATGTTGCGGTTAAATAATGTAGTATTTGATTTAAAGCACCTTTGGTAAGACAGTAGAATGGAGTGAATGATGTGAAAGTTTTTCTTTTTGGCCACTGACCTTGGTGGAATCGACATGTGTAAATAAAAATAAATAAATGACTGAAAAGTAATTTAGTGCCACACTTCTATCCTATTTACATTTCCTGCAGCAAAGTGCAAGAAAACTCAAGTTATAGAAGATGTCTGTGCCACCATTGCCAGAAATGCTGATCTTCACACTTTGATTCGCATGCTTGCTGAACCATCCCACTGTCCATTCATTGGCCCAAGGAAATTCACCTATGAATTACCACAGGGAGAATGCAGTGAAAGCCTTTCAGAGATTATATCTTATAAAGCAACTGAACTGAATTTCATGTATGCCCCATGTGAAGATTTTCTGAGCAGATATGAGCCAGGAATTATAAGTAAGTACATATTACACTTGTTTTACCTGTTAAACTTTAGGGTAGTTTAGCTTTAATTTTTGGTCTATTGAATAAAATTTGGTTCTACTTTTTGTTATATACATTAAACACCTCTCAATATCCATGCCCCCTTGCTCATGTGGCATTGGTAAAGAGCCTATTCTTGTCTACCCTCTCTTTGCTTCATAGTATTTTGTATGCTTTCAGCATATTCACTCATGTTCTTAGCTCTGTCAGTAACATAACACCTAGTTCCCACATTCTTTTTATGTAGCTCATTCTCTTCAGCTTATACACCAGTCTAGATGCTCTCATTTGTACTATGAAGTTTTACTTTGTTTTTACTAAATGAGGGGGTTCAGGAATGGGTTGCACACAAGAGGTAAAGAGTGCTTTGAATAATAATAATAATAATAATAATAATAATAATAATAATAATAATAATAATTTTTATTTCTACAATACATGTACGGTATATACAGACCATAGCTGATATCAGTGACATACTACTATATAGAAAGCCCCATGTTACACAGAGCATTTTGGGCAAATTAGGTCAGTTATCCTTCCTGGGTGAAATCGCTGGTGTGTAAATATAGCCAAGATTGCTAACTTCACGAGAGCATAATTCCATAAGTTTTCAATCAAATTTCATACTTTTGGTGTCATTACCATCAGGAAAAGATTCTCTATCATTTCATAAGAAAAATATTTTTTTTTTAAATTCTTCAACACTGAGAGCAAGTTTGTGAGCAGGGGTCTCGACAGTCAAAGGGTTAAAATCCATGTTCCTCTTTTATAGGTAAATATTTTAAGAAACAAATCAACTGTTGCATAATCACCTAATAGAGCAGCTTAGAAATTCTCAACATATTTCAACCTTTCCTAGCTGCAAAAATCTGAGTCCAAAAGTCTGTTTCTATTTCTCAGTTTTGTTTTATTAACTTATGTAATATTGCCTTATGTTCCACAGGTGAAGAGTTTGACTGTATTGCCAATTGGACCGAAGGCAGTACCTATTACCTGATTGGCAAGTTACGTGGGCCTTTTCTTTCTTTGGAAGAGCGTTACAGGTGCTTTACATACATACAAGAAAAAAATGAGAGCTATGTTTATCAAATGAGCCATAGGAATTCTGCAACATGTGGTGTGTTGGGGAAAAATTTCAATAAGGCATATAAAATCTTCAGCATTGTAGAAGGTAAGGAGGAACTATTATATTTCTTGAACTCCATTTACTATTTTTTTTTTAACAAGTTGGCCTTTTCCCACAGAGGCAGGGTGACCCAAAAAGAAAGAAAAACCCAAAAAGAAAAAAAAAACAAAAAGAAAGAAAAAACTTTCATTACTCAACACTTTCATCATCACTCATACATAATCACTGTCTTTGCAGAGGCACTCAGAAATGACAATTTAGACATCCCTCTAAACTGCCAATATCCTAAACCCCTCCTTTAAAATGCAGGCACTGTACTTCCCATTTCCAGGACTCAAGTCTGGCTAACTGGTCTCCCTGAATCCCTTCACACAATACAGTGGACCCCCGCATACCGTACGCATCGCATAACGTTCAATCCGCATACCGCTCACTTTTATCGCAAAAATTTTGCCTCGCATACCGCTCAAAAACCTGCTCACCGCTCTTCGTCCGAGACGCGTCCAATGTGCACCCTTAGCCAGCCTCACATGTGCCGCCGGTGGCATTGTTTACCAGCCAGCCTCCGCGGTAACATCCAAGCATACAATCGGAACATTTCGTATTATTACAGTGTTTTTGGTGATTTTATCTGGAAAATAAGTGACCATGGGCCCCAAGAAAGCTTCTAGTGCCAACCCTACAGCAATAAGGGTGAGAATTACTATAGAGATGAAGAAAAAGATCATTGATAAGTATGAAAGTGGAGTGCGTGTCTCCGAGCTGGCCAGGTTGTATAATAAACCCCAATCAACCATCGCTACTATTGGTGGTACAGCTGCTGCTGCTGCTGTACCACCGTCAGCTGCTGCTGCTGCTGCTGCACTGTCAGCTGCTGCTGCTGCTGCTGCTGCTGCTGTAGCACCGTCAGCTGCTGCTGCTGCTGTACCACCGTCAGCTGCTGCTGCTGCTGTAGTACCATCTGCTGCTGCTGTAGCATTGTCTGCTGCTGCTGTAGCACTGTCAGCTGCTGCTGCTGTTGTACCACCGTCAGCTGCTGCTGCTGCTGTAGTACCGTCTGCTGCTGCTGTAGCATTGTCTGCTGCTGCTGTAGCACTGTCAGCTGCTGCTGCTGTTGTACCACCGTCAGCTGCTGCTGCTGCTGTAGTACCATCTGCTGCTGCTGTAGCATTGTCTGCTGCTGCTGTAGCATCGTCTGCTGCTGCTGTAGCACTGTCAGCTGCTGCTGCTGTTGTACCACCGTCAGCTGCTGCTGCTGCTGCTGCTGTAGTACCGTCTGCTGCTGCTGTAGCATCGTCTGCTGCTGCTGTAGCACTGTCAGCTGCTGCTGCTGTAGCACTCAGCTGCTGCTGCTGTAGCACCGTTGTTGGTGTGGCTTATTGAGAATACCAAGAAACAATTAACCCCAGAGGATTTGCCACCCAGGATAACCCAAAAAAGTCAGTGTCATCGAAGACTGTCTAACTTATTTCCATTGGGGTCCTTAATCTTGTCTCCCAGGATGCAACCCACACCAGTCGACTAACACCCAGATGAACAGGGAAAAATGCCTGGAACTAGTGCTCATATTGGTGAATTTAAAGCCATCAAAGGTTGGTTTGAGAGATTTAAGAATCGTAGTGGCATACACAGTGTGATAAGGCCTGTTCTGGAAGAAAATGCCAAACAGGACTACAGTACTCAGGAGGAAAAGGCACTCCCAGGACACAGTGTCTCATCAGTCATTGCTGCATCTTCAATAAAGGTAAGTGTCATTTATTCTTCATTTAGTAGAGTAGTACATGCACAATATATATTGTGCATGTACTACTCTACTATTGTGCATGTATCCTTCTCTTTGTGTGTAGGAAAATGTATATTTCATGTGATAAAATTTTTTTTTTCATACTTTTGGGTGTCTTGCACGGATTAATTTGATTTCCATTATTTCTTATGGGGAAAATTCATTCGCATACCGATCATTTCGCATAACAATCAGCCCTCTTGCACGGATTAAAGTCGCTATGCGGGGGTCCACTGTATTACCCTGCTTACACTCCAGCAGCTCGTCAGGTCCCAAAAACCATTTGTCTCCATTCATTTCTATCTAACACACTCACGTATACTTGCTGGAAGTCCAAGCCCCCCACAAAACTTCTTTTACCCCCTCCCCCAACCTTTTCGGAGATGACCCCTACTTCGCCTTCCTTCCCCAATAGATTTATACGCTCTCCAAGTCATTCTGCTTTGTTCCATTCACTTTAAATGACCAAACCACCTTAACAGCCCCTCTTCAGCCCTCTTTAGTAACTCCACACCTCCTAATTTTCACACTACGAATTCTCTGCATAATATTTACACCTCACATTGCCCTTAGACACGATGTCTCCAACCACCTCCTTGCTGCAGCATTTACAACCCATGCTTCACACCCATATCAGAGTGTTGGTACCACTATACTCTTGTACATTCCCTTCTTTGCTTCCATGGATAACGTTCTTTGTCTCCACGGATACCTCAACGAACCACTCACTTTTTTTCCTTCATCAGTTCTATGATTTACCTCATCCTTCATAAACCCATCTGCTGACAAGTCAACTCCCAAATATCTGAAAACATTCACTTCTTCCATATTCAAAACCTCCAATGTGATATCCAGTTTTTCTTTATCTAAATCGTTTGCTACCCTCATCACCTTACCCTTACCTATACTCCCTTTCAACTTTATACCTTTACACACCCTCCCAAACTCGTCCACTAACCTTTGCAACTTTTCTTTAGAATCCCTCAAAAGCCCAAAATCATCAGCAGAAACTAACTGTGTCAACTTCCATTTTGTATTTGATTCCCCGTAATTTAATCCCACCCCTCTCCCCAGTGCCCTAGCATTTACTTCTTTACAACCCCATTTATAAATATATTAAACAAACTAGTGACATTACACATCCCTGTTTAAGATTTACTTTTACTGGGAAATAGTCTCCCTCTCTCCTACACACCTAACCTGAGCCTCACTATCCTCATAAAAACTCTTTACAGCAGTTAGTAAATTACTACCTATTCTATACACTTGCAACATCTGCCACATTGCTCCCCTATCCACTCTATCATATGCCTTTTCTAAATACGTAAATGCAATGAAAACTTCCCTACCTTTATCTAAATACTGTAGACATATATGCTTCAATGTAAACACCTGATCTACACATCCCCTACCCATTCTAAAGCCTCCTTGCTCATCTGCAATCCTGCTCTGTCTTACCTCTAATTCTTTCAATAATAACCCTACCATACATTTTACCTGATATATTCAGTAAACTTAGTCTCCTATTATTTTTACAGTCTCTTTTGTTCCCCTTCCCTTCATATAAAGGAATTATACAAGCTCTCTGCCAATCCCTAGGTACCTTCCCCTCTTTCATACATTTATTAAAGAAAAATACAAAAGCAATATATCTCCCCCTGCTTTTAATGTTTCTGTCATGATCCCATCCGTTCCAGCTCCTTTACCCCCTTTTATTCTACATAATGTCTCATGCACTTCCCCAACACTCATACCCTGCATTCTTCACTCCTTAAAGATGTTATACCTCCCTGGCCAGTGCATGAAATTACTGCCTCCCTTTCTTCATTGACATTTAAAAGTTCCTCAAAATATTCCCACCATCTACCCAATTCCTCTAGCTCCCCATCTACTAACTCCCCTACTCTGTATTTAACTGACAAATCCATTCATTCCCTAGGCTTTCTTAACTTGTTTATCTCACTCCAAATTTTTTTCTTATTCTCAGTAAAATTTCTTGACACTGCCTCTCTCACTCTATGATTTGCTCTCTTTTTGCACTCTCTCACCACTCTCTTCACCTTTCTTTTACTCTCCATATACTCTGCCCTTCTATATTCACTTCTACTTTGTAGAAACCTCTCATAAGTGACCTTTTTATCTTTTATTGCACCCTTTACCTCATCATTCCACCAATCATGCCTCTTTCCTCCTACACCCACTCTCCTATAGCCACAAACTTTTGCCCAACATCCTAATACTGTAGTGCATTTTTAAAACTATCCTATCCCTCTTCAACCCCTTCCTCCCCACTACCCATACTTGCACTAACCCATCTTTCTGCCAAAGTTGCTTATATCTCACCCTGACTTTCTCCTCCCTTAGTTTATAAACTTTCACCTCTCTCTCTTACTTACTTTTTGCCATTTTCCTTATGTCCCATCTGCCTCTTACTCTAACTGTAGCTACACCTAGATAATGATCCGATATATCCGTTGCTCCTCTATAAACATGTATATCTTGAAGCCTACTCATCAACCTTTTATCCACCGATACATAATCCTTAATCTAACAAACTACTTTCATTATATTCCTTTCATTATGTACCTCATATTACTGGCCAAGTCTCCCTCAGCCATAAGATGGTGGAGGGAGGAGGGTGGGTGTATTTTGAGGCTTCACAGATGGGAAGTGAATCTACCTCTATCACCAAACTTTCGGTAGCCTAAAAAATAGTTTCGCTGCTTCTAAGATGCAGTTTATAGGACTTGTTTTAGTTTCAATGGCTCAGCATCGGACATAACTGGGAGAGCTACAGCCCACCCCACACCCCAAACTCCTGTCACTGACCTTCAGTTTATAGGACGCAGGGTGGTTTTTGAAGACATTTTATGAAAAAAGAAAAAATGCGTCTAATAAGCAGTGAAAGACAGTACATAAGTTTAAGAGCAAGCCTTACTGCTGCTGACTACTAATGGTAGTCAGCAGCAGTAATGTGCTGTGAATTAAAACAAGTGCATTTGAGTTATTGTTTTCTTGAATTCACTGAATTAATGTATGTAAATTTACTGAAACACAAGTGTTTGCTGCATGCACCTATATCATCAAGCAGTGGGTGCCTGCATTGGTATATTACTCAGAAAAGATGTACTTGGCATAGGAAACTGAGAAAGGAAAGCTACCTTTTTATATTTAAGTGAATCCCTAAACCCTTCCCCATGATGTCTCTTAAATACAAAATAATGAATGTATGATATAATAAATTTTTATAATAACTTTACTGGTTAATGAAATTTTTATATTAATGAACTGGAGCCTAATTATGCATTTCATAATTAAATATTTCATGAAAAATATTAATAACATGTATTGCTTTTTCTTTTCTTATTAGAGGCGCCATTATTATTAACTGGATCACAGGAAACTAATCTTACACTGCAGCCTTCTCAAGAAGTCAAACTAACATGTGAAGCATCAGTCCAGATAGACTTTGTAAGTACTATGAATATTATATATGAAAGAAGGAAAAGTATGATGGTAGAGATCGTGTGTACAGGCGGGCCCCACTTACACAGCAGGTTAAGTTCCAGGTTACTGCTGTAAAGCAAAAATCCCTGTAAAGTGATAAATAGCCTTTTTTTTAATTTCAAATGCATATAAAAGCCTGATAACATGTTTACTATTATATATTAAGTGAGCAATATAACTAGGTCTAAAAAATATAGGCCTAGCTATAATCTGATTCTATCTTTAATGTCAATGAAAATAACTAATTTTACCTGTCCCCTAGTATATCTTCTTTTATTGTAACTGCTTTTACATAGTTAAGATACTTACCTGTTTTTAAATTTTCAATATAAATATTACATATCACAAGGACGTGTAACTGTATTTGTGTATACGTGAATAAACTTACTTACTGACTTACTTACAATGAGGGGTGAATATATATTTATTGTAGGAAGTCTGCATAAATGAAGAATGGGTATAATTGAAAACCGCTGCATTAGCGAAAAGTCATAAAGCGAAGCGCTGTAAAGTGGGGCACACCTGTATTGTCTTTGAATAAAGGGAAAGGGAAGAAGAAAGTACTTAAGAATTATAGGGTAGCAAATCTGTTGAGTATACAAGGTAAAGTGCATGTCAGAATCATCAGTGAAAGAGTTATGGTAGACAAAGTAGGATTATTCAAAGGAAGCATGCAGATTTAGGAATAAATGGTATGTGGCTCATATGTTTGCCATATATGGATCTAAAAAAGGCATGTGATAAAAGTAGATAGGACAGTGATGTAGCAGGTGTTGCAGATGTTTAGAATAGGTAGAATGTTGTTGAAAGTTGGAAAGATTTTTTGTAAGTAAAGTGAGACTCAGGTTAGGGTATGTAGGAGAGAGAGGGGAATATTGTCCAGTAAAAGTTGGTCTCAGATAGGAATGTATAATGTTGCCTCTCACTCACCTGCTTCAATATGTATTGGTTCTAGATTAGGATGGTTTCAAAACAGCATCTATTGTCAAATTGTAGAGCTCTGCCTAAGTGTTGTCTTCCTTCCTATTAATCGTAAAATGCCATTTCATAATCTTAATTTTTTTTTACAGGATGAGGTGTACTTCTTTAGAAAATATGTAAGTAGAAACCATTTTTAAGTGCATAATTAAATAAATAATTGACATTTTGTTTATGACAAATACAGTGGAACCCTAGTTTTCATGATTAATTCATTCCAGAAAGTTTGATGAAAACTGAATTGTACGAAAACTGAAGCAATATTTCCCATAGGAAATAATGTAAATACAATTAATCCATTCCAGACACCCAAAAAATTAACAAAAAATACATTTTATAGAGAATAACTATAGCTTTACATACAGAAAACAATAAGAAATAAATATAAATAACTAATGAAATGGATAAATGTGCATTTAACATCACTTTTACCTTTATTTAAGACTCTTGTTGGCATATGGAAGACAGCGAGGAGGGGAGAGGGAGGAGGAGAGGTTATTGTTTGGAAGGGAAATCCCCCTCCATAGAGTCACTGAGCCCCTGTCACATAAAAAATCTGTCCAGAAAGGTCTGTTTAAGATTTGCCTAAAATAGGACAAGGCATTGTCATTGAACATGTTGCAGACATGACTTGCAATAGCTTTGTTAAGGTGATATTTCTCCACAAAACTCTGCAACTCATTCCACTTTGCGCACATGTCCTTAATCACTGAAGAAGGTACATTCTTCCTTCTCTCTTCCTCCTCTTCTGAAGCAATTTCCTCAGCTGCAGTCTGTTGTTGTTCCAGGTGAAGGTCTTGCAGCTTTTCAGTGGTTAGCTCTTCCCTGTGGTCGTCCATGAACTCTTCCACATCCTGGCCACTCACATCCAACCCCATGGACTTCCCCAAAGACACAATAGATTCCACAATAGGCATAGGGTCCTCAGGGTCAGCCTCAAACCCTTCGAAATCCTTCTTGAGGACACATTCTGGCCCACACATTCTGTGTGGGCACGGGCAGGCGGATGCATTTGGTGCGGTGGACCATTGTCAACTCTACAAAAACAGAGTGGATGTACAAAAACAGACAAAATTTTGAAGAAAAAAGTCGTCGAAAACCGAATCCTACGAAAACCAGGGCATACGAAAACCAAGGTTCCACTGTAATGTGGAGTATTGAGAGCAATGTGTGGCTTAATTATTATGCAGAGAATTCATAGTTTGGAGATTAAGAGGTGCAGTTGCTTTAAAGTATTATTCAGAGGGCTGAGGAGGGGTTGTCAAGGTGGTTTGGTCATTCAGAGAGGACTAAGCAGAAGAGGATGAGTTAGAGGGTAGTGGAGGGAAGGAGGGGTAAGGGTCATCCTAGGAAAGGATGGAGGAAAGGGATGAAGGAGGTTTTTGTGTGCAAGAGGCTTGGACATACAGCAGGCATGTGTGATTGTGTTAGGAGTGATTGGAGACAAATGCTTTTTGGGACTTGAGCTGTTGGAGTGTGACCAAGGTACAGTGGAACCCTGAGTTTAGAAGGCATCGATTATTGAACTCTGAGTTTTGACCGCTTTTTTCAAACCAATTTTGTCCTGATTATCGAACATGCCACGTCTTTCGAACCGCTGGGTACTGGACCTGTCCGCCAGCCCGCTCTGTCCGCGTCTCCGTGCAGGTGTCATGAGCTAGTCTGGCTTTGTTGATGCTTGAGTGAACACTAACCTGTGTGCTCATTCAAACATTTCATTATTAATTCGGATTGTAATAAAGTTGGTAGAATTACCGACAATATGTAAAGTAAAAGGACACAAGTGCAACTAATGTGACATTTATTGTGGCAACGTTACGCTCTCCAGGAGCTTTATCAAGCCATTACAAACAATACATGGACACAGAGGGTATATAAAGGCTCAGAGTGAGGTGAATACTAGTGAGGTACCATTTCGATGTTCACTAGTGGTAGTAGTAGTAGTAGTAGTAGTGGTAGTGACAAAAGTAATACAATATGGTAGAGCAATTAATTCGTACATGAGTAAAAGGATAAAAGAAATTGTTGCTGGTGTGGATCAAGGATAAAGAGATGGCAGGTGATAGTGTTTTGGAGTAGATTATTTGTGAACAGGCAAGGAAGTTGCATGCCGATAGTGAATTTAAGGCCAGCAGAGGCTGGTTTGACAGATTTAAGAAGCATAGTGGCATACACAATGTTGTAAGGCATGGTGAGGCAGCCAGTTCAGACAAACGGATGGCTGTGTACAGGAATTTAAGGGGTATGTAGACACTGAAAATTTGAAACTCCAACAAGTGTTCAGTTGTGATGAAACAGGCCTGTTTTGGAAGAAAATGCCAAACAGGATCTACATTACTCAGGAGGAAAAGGCACTCCCAGGACACAAGCCTATTAAAGACAGGCTAACTCTTTTGTTCTGTGCTAATGCTAGTGGTGATTTTAAAGTGAAGCCTTTACTTGTGTATCACTCAGAAAATCCCAGAGTGTTTAAGAAAAACAATATCATTAAGAACAAGTTATGTGTCTTGTGGAAAGCAAATAATAAGGCATGGGTCACGAGGCAAATTTTCAAAGAGTGGTTCCATGAAGTGTTTGGCCCCAGTGTGAAAAAATACCTCCTGGAAAATAATTTGCCACTCCAGTGCCTCCTGTTAATGGACAGTGCTTCTGTACATCCTCCAAACTTGGTAGACCTACTGTCTAGGGACTATAGTTTCATCACAGTGAAGTTCTTGCCTCCTAACACCACTCCTCTTCTCCAGCCCATGGACCAACAGGTCATTTCTAACTTCAAAAAACTCTACATGAAAGCAGTGTTTCAAAAGTGCTTTGAAGTGACCTCGGACACTCAGTTGACCCTAAGAGTTCTGGAGGAGTCACTTCAATATCTACAGCTGCATAAGCCTTATAGGTAAGACTTGGGAGGGAGAGACTTCCAGGACTTTGAACTCTGCTTGGAGACAATTGTGGCCCCATTGTGTCGTCCAGAGGGATTTTGAAGGGTTTGAGGCTGACCCTGACCCTGCTGACCCTCTGCCTGTTGTGGAATGCATTATGGCACTGGGGAACACCCTGGAGCTGGAGGTGAGTGGAGAGGATGTGGAAGAGTTGGTGGATGACCATAGAGAAGAGCTAACCACTGAAGAGCTGGAAGAGCTTCATCTGGAACAGCATCAGACCACAGCTCAGGAACTTGCTTCAGAGGAGGAGGAAGAGGGAGTGGATGAGGTGCCTTCTTCACAGATTAAGGAGATTTGTGCTAAGTGAAATGATGTGCAAATGTTTGTGGAGAAGTAGCACCCTGAGCAAGCTGAAACAAGCATCTCTGCAACAAGTTCAATGATAGAGCCATGTCCCACTTCAGGAAAATCCTAAAGAGGCACCAGAAACAGAGGACTGTGGACAGTGATTTTGTGAGACAGGGGTCCAGTGACTCTCAAGCTGGTCCTAATACCGGTAAAAGACAAAGAAAGGAAGTAACTCCAGAGAAGGCTTTGATACCTAAAGTCCTTATGGAGGGAGATTCCCCTTCCAAACAATAACCCCAACACCCTCTCTCCTCCCTGTCTTCCAGATGCCATCACCAATCTTCAATAAAGGTAAGTAAATATGTTATTTATATGTACAGTACTATGTATGTTTGTTGTGTGTATGTAAAACTATAATGTAATCTCTATAAAATGTTTTTTTTTTATTTTTGTGAATATTTTTGGGTTTGTGAAACAGATTAATCATATTTCTATTATTTCTTATGGGAAATATTGGTTCAACTTTCGAACATTTCGACCTTAGGACTAGCTCCTGGAACGGATTAAGTTCAAAACTCAAAGTTCCACTGTAATATTTTTGTGAAGGATTCAGGGAAACTGGTCAGCAGGACTTGAATCCTGGAAGTACAATGCTTGCTTCTTCAAGGAGGTATTTGGGATAGTTGCTGTTTGGAGGGACATCTGAACTGCCATATCTTTGCACCTCTGGAAAGACAGTGATAGTATGTAATCATAATAATAATAATAATCTTTATTTCTACAAGTACATATACAGTGGAACCTCGGTTTTTGTATGCCATAGTCTGTATGTAAAACTATAGTTATTCTCCGTAAAATGTATTTTTTTGTAAATATTTTTGGGTGTTTGGAATGGATTAATTGGATTTACATTATTTCTTATGGGAAATATGAACAAAAAATACATTTTATTGAGAATAACTGTAGTTTTACATACAGACTAGGGCATATGAAAACCAAGGTTCCACTGTACAATGTATACAGGCCTAATTGACATCAGTGACATACTATTATATAGGAAGCCCGTTGTTATGCAGAGCATTTTGGGCAAATTAGCTTAATTTTGTCCCCAGGATGCAACCCACACCAGTCGACTAACATCCAGGTATCTATTTTCCTGCTAGATGTCTTAACCCTTTCAGGGTCCGTGCCGTAGTTCTACCGCTTTGAGTTGAGGGTCCAAACCATAGATCTATGCCATGAGCTCAGTTTACCCTGATAAGCTGTGAGTGGTAAATTTGGGCTTAGATATGAGAGATACATCTGTGTGGTACATGTGCATCACATAAAACAAATCCTGCAGCACACAGTGCATAATGAGAGAAAAAAACTGAGACTGTAATTTTCGATTACAACAGTGACTTTGCAGTGTTTTTTCGTATGTTTTTTATAGTTATATTTGCAATTTCTTGGTCTCATTTGATAGAATGGAAGATATATTACAGAAATAGAGATGATTTTGATTGGCTTTAGTACTGGAAATGGCTTGAAACTGAGCTCAAAGTAGCAGAAATGTTAAATTTTTGCTGATGTTCAAGAGTAAATAAATGACCTCAAACGTCTAATACACGCCAGCTGGTGGGTCCAATATATGTTTAAAACTGTGGTGATATTATTTATACAATTATTACAATGTTGCATAACAGTAAATCTTCTATTTTTTGGTTTGAATAAAAATTCATTATGTGAATAAAATAATCAAAATGGAATTCATTTGTAAAGCCTGAAAACGTAACTAATGCCTGTGTTTTTTATTCTGGACCCTACCTTGAAACTGGAATATTTTGAACTTTGCATTAAATTGGCCAAATTACCAATTTTCAATCACTTTATTTTGTAGTTGAAACAGT